CAATGAATGTGAGATGATTTTTGTTGGTCTGGTGCAGGTATCAAAAACAACCAAATCCAGAGTTTCACTTGTCGTATCTTGCAATTGACTGGGCAGACCTTTCGACAGTATGTCATGATGTCATATCGCAGGAGCAACGCCTTGCTGTACGAAAGTGGCGAGTTCTGTACCCTGCACAAAGGATCCTCCGTGTTTCTTCTGTTAAGGCCTTTAGCCCCAAAAGGAGACCGTGTCGCAAAGGAGGTGGTTGCCAGCTTTCCAACCACGAAATATTGGTCAAGGGGATTTCTCATATTTTGCGGTAGAACAAATATAGTTGAAACCACCAACCTGTTCATTGGTTGCTTTCCTCGGCAACTTGCTCAAATCAACATTTTTCTCGGATATAATTGTGACACAGTGACACATATCCGATTTTCTTGATAGCCACCATTTTCTATGCCCAGTAGTTATGCAACATGTGTTAAATATGGACATATATATATAATTATATATATATATATTATACATGTAATAATATATATATATATATTGTAAATATATACATTCCATACATGTATTGCATTACCATGAGCCATTCTGAACCTTTCCGACAAAACTCTCCCGAAATTCTCCACGCACAACGACCTCTGGTCAGTTGCACGCACGACTAATCGGCGCCATGGTATCGGTAGCCGTGGATCCATAACATCGGTCTTGAAGATGGGGGTTGTCCATTGAAAAATCGCGGGCTTCAATATACCCTCTGGTTATGTCAAGATAGCTATTGAAAATGGCCATTTATAGTGGTTTTTCCCATAAAAAGTTGTGATTTTCCAGAGTTATGTTAGTTTACCAGAGGGTATGGCATGGTTCCAAAAAACATGGGTCATGCTCATATCTTGAGAAAAACATCCCTTGTTCCAGCGAAGCTCTGCAGATCTTTTGGCTGTCGAACAGTAGCCGTGACCCAATCGACGCCCTGTCAAGCATCAGCAGCATCAGCAGAGATTTGATCTGCCTCTGGGCAGGAAATCGGGGCTCTGCTTTCCTTGAGTGTGGGTACCTCCAAAAAGCACCATTCATTATAGCTATGAATGGGATTATATGTATGGGATTATCTTTGGGCGATATTGGGAGTGGGTTTGGGTAGGTACTTTCTGCTTATATGTATATATATATACAGACACACAATATGTTAATGTGTGTATAATATATATAATCAAATACACTATGTATAAAATATTATATATTTTTTTTAAATATATGTTTATATCGTTGGAGGTATAGGGTATTAATATGTACTGACAGAATTCGACACAGCAGTGGAGAGGGGAGCCCCAAAATAGAAATTCAGCCTGGCAAAACCACGTTCGGAACAAGGGGCCTATAGCGGGTAGGGCTTGCGGTAGTAGATATCAGAACCATGCCGTCCATGTCTATATATATAACTAAACTAAACTAAACTAAACTAACTATACTATAGATACTATACAGCAGTATACTATACTAATCATTCTATACTAATTAACTATACTATACCATACGATACAATACGATACCATGCTATACTATGCATATATTAAATGCATTATATATATATATATATACACATGAGTTTGTTGCTGTATGCTGAGCAGGTTCTGAAGTTCATTCTAGTGGTTGCAAGTGCAAATTGGAGATTTTCACTTCGTTGCGAAGACAACAAAACTGTGAGCACAACAAATTGGATGTTCTCTTGTCTTGCTCAAATCTCTCTGAAACATCAGTACCCTCCTGAAATCGTGCAATGGATTGCAATGGAATATCCCCATTTCAAGATGTAAATCATCTACACTCTACACAAACTGGGAGGATTGATCCAATGCCATCCAATGCCAACAAACTGGGAGGAATGGACAAATTCAAGAATTGGGATAAATCCTGAACTGAAACCTTTTTCGGATGGACTGTCATAACTACAGTTTCACCATGTCCAACGTCCACCGCTTTTCAGCTGCGGCCTCTGTCAAGCGACGACGCTTGGTTGCCGGGTCCTTCTGAAGCTCTCCGCTCCGTTGCAAGCGATCCAAATGCGCAGGGAAACTGGCTGTGGGGCCTCGATGGGAGGATGAGCCAGGAGACTTTCCGATGTGAAATTGCACTGTTTTAGACCGCATTGAATCATTCCAGTGTAACTGCTAGTTGATTAGTAGGGGTTCTCGGTTTATGGGTTATGATAGTCCTCAAGTATTGGGAAGTAAAACAACATTTCAAAAAAAAACAGCAACAAAAGGAGAGGTTTTGCAGCCACCGATCCATGCACCAATGAACACTCTGACAGGATGTGCTCAGTGTCCGCACCAAGAATGATCAAAACAGGCCCACCGCTGCCAAACTGGCAGAGAAAGGAAGCAAATTGTGGTGGAAAATGGAAACAACGTTGCCCCTTGCGGCTCTATCACGCCATGCATGTCATCATTTTGGGATCACCATTTTATTATATAATAATATATAACATAATTTTATGAGAATACGTCCGTATAATACCAATTAAGCACATTATCTGCACACACAGCAACTGCAAAACCAGCATATGCGTCATATGTTGGAAGACGCACTGACTACCTTCAGGCAATCCAATATGGTAGTGCTGCTAGTGGCAAATCTATGAATTAAAAATCGATCAGACACTGTTCGATATGGCAGTGTGTCAAAACCTTGTACCCCTGGTGAACATCAAAATAGCTGGTAAATGGATGTTCATCCCCCTAAAAATTGATAAAACATGTATTAATAGGTATTGATCCATACCCATATCTAGGTTGACCATCTGCAGCGCTCTTTATCAGCTCGGACCACAAGAGGACCTAAATTCATCTAAATTCCATTCAATATCAATCAAAGCTGTGCTCGCCTGTTGCTTCACAATCTCGTCTGGCCTGGGGATGTTTCGATGGTGCACGGCTGCATGGTTGGTTCGTAGGCTGAGGGGCTGGGTTGTGTTGAAAGAGATAGACTCCACTGGTCACTGTGACGATAGGAAGCTACCATGACAAATTTGCAGGTTCCGTGGTTGATTGGTTTATTGGACAAAATTTTCTTTGACTAATTTTTTGAGACCCGGGTTTTCTGATTGACACGTTAAATTACCGGAGGTGTCCACTATGCTGGTGAAAAAGTTTTTTTGGATTGATTTCAAATGTCGTGTTGGGTTCAAACTGGTTTCAACAACCCAACTCAACCTCACTCACTTTCTGCTCGTGAACTGATATTCTGCCATCGAATCAGCATGTGTTTCTTCATCAACTCATTGCATGTTTGTGCTTTCAAATAATAACCGGCCATAACCTATAATTTGGATATGTGGATCATCATCCCATCTCTCTAGAACAAGCGTCTTCGAAGCTCTTCGCATTCGATTTTTGGTGGATCAACGCTTGAAATCACCAGCATTCGCTTCAATCCCCCGTGGCCCCCTTCGGCTGGGGCAGCCAGCATGGTCGCCAACGTTGCATGGATGGACTGCTCACGCGAGGAAGTCGCGGACCTGGGCAACTTGGGATGATTTGGGGCCATGGGAAACAAACAATGGATTTTAGGAAACCTCTGGTGATTTTTTAGCGGCAAACATGGTGATTGAATCAGGAAGAAACAAACAACCAAGTTGCAGATTCTAAAGCTGCTTGCCGAGGGTTTTTTAGCAGGAGACAGTCGACAAAAATGCAACTAGTTGTCAACTGTTTGGCCGTGCGAGTCGAATCCAAGAATGTTGTGCTCGACTGGGGTCGCCATCCCAAAGGAAATAGGCATGGAAAACACAAAAGACATTTGAAAGATGGCGGAGGCACCCAGTTGATGTATTCAAATCATGGAAGAACCCGACAGTTTTTGAGTCCCAGTTCCCAGCAGGTACAACTAGATAGTAATCCCCTAAACATCCCCGTTAGACAATGGCAATGGAGGTCTGAACCCTAAAACAGCTAGCCAGGATCGAGTTTTTGGGGGGTCTAACGGTCTAATCCACTAGGGCGCACATCTGAATCATAAAATCTAGGTGAATATTCCGATGTTTTGATTTTAGGATTCAGCCTTCATGTAACCCATGGTACCCCAAACACGCCAGATCGCGGCCTTGGGCTCCTACGATTTCACAAAACCGATCTTGGATAAAATCCGAGAGCCCCAATTTCTAGCTGTCTGGTTTTTATATGTTGTTAGATTAGTTATATTATATATTATGTAATATTTATGTATTAAATATATTATAATAATATATCATTTAACTTGCAGGGGACTAAAGCCAATGGATTTCAGCCAGTACTACCATACTCTAGTAGGATTATTGGTTTTGTCTTTGGGATGGCTATTTAATTAGAAGCAATCATTTCTGACTCGTTCTTTTTGGATTCTTTTGGGATCGTTATTTCACAATCTTTGCCAGTAATATGACATCTCCGTGTTTGTTGCTTGTCTTCTTGCAATCAATCATGGCAGTCAAGAGTCCATCCATTTATAGTTCGATGAATTTCCCTTTCAAACCATGAAAACAGAGATTTTCCCATGGATTTTCCCATGGATTTCAAGCCCCGGCCCCAGTCTTTGGTCTTCCCATGTTTTCATACCCCGAAAACGAAGCATCACCGTCCCATCGTCCGCGAGGGACTCCACCAGCATCATCGGGGTGTCATCCGGTGCTCCATGTTCCCTGGCTTTCCACATTTCGAACATGTTGATTCTCAGCTTTTTTTAGGTTTGACAAAATAGACTTAATACTTCATATATCTTAATATAGTTAAACTTCACAAGCTTCAAGTATAATCAAATAATATCAACTTTTTATGTCAGTTCCTGCTCTAGATGCAGTCGGGTCATTCATGTTGTCATCCCGTGGCTGGAAAAACTTGACGGCACTGGGACGCTTGAAATAGTGCCTCACCTGCATTCAACACATCGGCATATCCTCTTTATACTTCTCTATAAAATGAACTGCATCTGGATATATCATGATATATCTGGATATATCTGGATGTTGCCTTTTTCTGATGTCTCCTAGCAGTCTTTTTTGTCCATGTCTGTGGTAGTTCATATCAGCAGTAGTCGACCGGGCAATGACGCACAGCATCACCTTGGAAATAACATCACGTAAGGCGCCACCAATTCCCACAACTGCGACTTTGACTAGGCTCTTGTGCTTGGTAAGTTACTTTGTGCAGTGAAACATGGTGAAACCCTGGTGAATGTTTTCACACAAGCCATACAAAGTGGCCCAAGACATCGAATTGCCCTGATGCATCGCAGGCGGTCCTTTCGGCAGCCCCAGGGGAATCCGGCAGCGAAAGCCATGTTGGAACGGACCGCCACCTTTCTGAACGTCGCCTTGAAGAAACATGAGTTCAACTTCTCAAAGCTCTTCGATGTTCTTCCCTTCTCAAAGGCTTTGAAGGATATCAACGTCCTTCTCACGGGTCTTCTCAAAGTTATTCTCAAAGAATATGAACGACTGAAAGAGATCACAGTTCTTCCCTTCTCAAATCATCAAAGACTTGCTCAGCATCTCTCATGGCATCATCGTTAACATTGGGTCCCGGTCGCCGACATCCCTCTGCAACAATCTCCTGGAGAAACGACGTGGTGAATCTCAAGATCGGATCCTTGGAGTCGTTTGGGAACGATTCCAGGGCGAACAGGGAGACCTTGTAATTTTGACCCAGATCATCCTAGATCAATGATGATCTGGTTGGTGGTTGACCTACCCCTCTGAAAAATATGAAAGTCAGTTGGGATGATTATTCCCAATATATGGAAAAATAAAACATGTTCCAAACCACCAACCAGTGATCAATGTACCGCTGTAAAAAAAAACATGATGCCAACTTGCCAACTGAACTCCCCTAAACAGTGGATTGCCTGATTAACTATATCAAAAATTGCAAAGACAAAACACTGCCTGCATATGCCGGCATTGAAATCCAGGGATCTTGAGTGAGGGCATCCAGGGCTGCCTTCACTTCATCATTGCACAAAACCTGACGTCATGGCATCGGGGCACTGTGTTTAAGGGAATTTGGCAAGACCATCATCATCCCTTCAGAAAAACAAGCATGAGATGTATATTCAAAAAAATACGGTTGTATAAATTGTATATAATAGATACACATCGGAAGAATATGTGAGCGGTGTTCGAAACAGGTCTGGTATTTCATTATAAGACTAAACTAAACTTTCGCAAGTTCTTCCGCGGCCACACTCCCGGCTCTCGCACGGTGAGCATTTGACGGAGTTGCGAAATCGCGGAGCTCTCGCCGAAAAAATGGTCTAACATTCAACTTAATTTCATACAATTTCCCCATGATTCATCATGCATCGTCATCCATCACCACACATCCATCATTTCTAGACCCTCAATATAGGTTTGTCTGAAAATATGGTATATTCCCAATGAAATAGCCATAAAAAATAGGGATAATGATCAGCAAAACCATTGGGTTTAGGGGTACACTATTTTCAGACAAACCCATATAGAATCTAGTAGTTGAGGGGATCCATGAACTCCACCAAAGAATTGGTCGCATTAAGTCCCATTGTTCAGAAAGATGTTCGGTTCGGCAATGCGTATTACCATAAAAACCCTATTCGAATGTCCCTATGTTTGAAAAAAAATGCATTCATCACCTTAAAGATATGGATTATAGTTTGATTTACATTCCCTGAAATCCCTGTTCCAATATATAACTTTTCACTAAAATCATGTTGTTAATAGCTAAGCATAGTGACTTAAGCTCATCATTCCTATCTTAATCTCTATGAAGTAAACCCTGTCTTCGATCTTCAAATCATGTGAACTCACCCATCCCCAGTGCCAAGGCACTGAATAGAGCCCAGGTGGCAACTTCAAGGCAGCGCCCAGGCTGTGATGACTCAGTTCCTGGGCCAACCTCTGACCGCCGATCTGCAGCCTACGGCGGCCGTTGGAAATGCAGCTGTTGATGGTTGATGATTATGATTATATATGACTATCAGGAATCTCATGAGCTATTAGTAATTAGTGTTGTCATTGCCTGTTACCATCATGATGATTCTTGTTGCTTTTGTTGCTTTTGTTGCTTTTGTTGCTCGCGTTGTTCTTGTTCTTGTTCTTGTCCTTGTGGTGGTTGTTGTTGTTGTTGTTGTTGTTGTTGCTGCTGCTGCTTTCATTTTTTGAAACGGGTCGTATTTCAATGCCCCTAATCATACTAGGTGTCTGTCACTTATTACATGCTGCAAAATGGATCGGTAGAAGCCATTTGTCAGTGATAAGAACATGCCCATGAGAAGCCTCCACAATGGCAACTGTGGTGACTTCACAAGGCAGCGGCTAGGCGGTGAGCCATCATAATTCAGCCAAGCAACATGATGTCGCACGCCACATTAAAAGTAACAACCAATATGAAGATGATCAGCACTGAACAGCCTCGGAATCGAACACTCCAACACGTCAACCAGCGCATTTTCCAAGACTTTCATGAACAACATCCTGCGTGGCACCCCTTGCGACAAGAACTCCGTTTATCGATGGGTCCCATAGCCACATATACATAGGATGATATAGATACCCTTGACTCGGATTGTCTGCTCCCCGTAGAATTACATTCTTACACCCACTTAGAAGTGGTAGGTGGCTATCATTGTGGCTTTACGCTTTTCTTCGCGAATACACGAGCAGAAACACTGCATTCTTCCCAGCGGCAACACTTCATGTGGGAACTGCAGATCGGACTCCGAACCGCCGGCCGGGGTCTGGAGCGTGTGGCTTTCAACAGCACCTGAGCTGGGAATATCATTGGAAAACTTGACAATGGATGCTTTCATCAACGGTTGGTTCTTAAGATTGTGAACCCCATTTTAAACATAGCATGATTGACTACAATGGTTTCTTTGCTTATATGGATGTTTCCTAAAATAGGGGTACTCCCAGTTCTCATCCATTTTAAAGGGACTTTCTCTTATAAACCATCCAGCTATTGGGGTACACCCATTTATGGAACTCCCCATGTTGCGTATTTTTTCGATTCAACATGACCAACAAGCCAGCATTCGTCGTTGGCGTCCATGGGGGACGCCTTAAAACATCACTAACAAAAACTGGGATGACATAAAGAACCAAAGGTGGGTATATTTATACGTTATTTATACATTATTTTTGCATTAATAATGCGTTAATAATTGTCTATAACCATCTATAACATTCTAAAACCATCTATAACCAACAATAATGGGGATATTAATGATACTTACTGATGATATGGGCTAGATTGGAGATATAAACAACAATGACATATTATGACAAGTAATTGTGATAACTATTGATAACCATTGATAACCATTGATGACCCGCATCAAGGCGTTCCGAAGAATTTCGATCAAATGATATGAAATTTAGTTTCTCCTAATCACATCCAGATGCTAGGCACAGCATACAAGAGATCTCCAATTTCACGCACTCATTGCCTGTCATTTACCCAACAAAGCTATGACGTCAATTGTCATAGGTAAATCATCGAACCAAACGGACATCTATACCATGTCAAACTGTTCACTTTTGGATGGTAATTTCCATCAGAAACCCTGGCTGAGTCATGGCTGGCTGGCCAACCCTGGGTGAAAATTCATATGTGTCCAATGTGTCCAAGTCTCTGACAGGCAATCCTTGCAGTTTGCATCCTCATATCCTTGGATTTGCTCAATCAGGGCCCCAAAAAATTACGAATCAGCGCTCATAACAAACTTGATACCCATAATATTGCCATACCATAAATACATATTTCCCATAAATACAAATGATATTGGTTTCCCATATCATAAATATTGATACCCAAATGTGCTAACAAATACATATTTCCCATAATATACCTATACCACAAAAAAGAATGTATAATTGCCAATCTATACCTACCACAGCCCCCAAAAAAATTGAACAATTTTGAGTAATATACAACATTCCCTAAAGATTCCCCAAATGGATCCGAATGGATGTTCCGTAAAAACTCAAAACATCAAATCACCTTCAGCACAACCGAGGCATCCCTGGCGCACGTCAATGTCACGTTGGCACATGGGACACCGCGGCGCCGTCGCCGTCTTCGCCGTTGCCGTGGCTCTTCGCTCCCACTGGGCCCAGCAGGGACCGCACGCCGTGTGCGATGCTAAAATCTCCTGGAGGCCACCAGCGTCACCAGCTATGGCCCTGTAAAGGGGGCCTTAAATGGGATGAAATAACTCCTAACTGTTGAGGGCCACAACTGTATAAGTCATTATAAATCTATGGAGGCACTGTGGATGGTTGCGAAATCTTGCACCAGTTGGTAACTATTGGGATTTGTATAAAACCCTGTAGATTCTGTGATTATAGAGGGACAAACCATATACCGACTGGTGCAGGATTTCTTCCATCAAGAGTATGTGGTTCAAGCATGTTAAGAGCAGAAGTAACATGTATACTATATATATAATATAATATATATATATAATATAATGTATATATAATATTATATTATATCTATGTATATTATATTATATATATATATTATATATATATTATACATGTTATATGATTGTATGATTATGTGGTGCTTGTAATGGTCATTGGGTTGGCAATACCGGAATCATTGGGATCGTCATGGATGGTCTACCATTGGTATGGGGTGACATAGCACAGTCGTAAGTGCTGCAGGGGCCCATCATTGACTGAGGGAATGGGGGGATATGACCAGTGACCAGCTGTGGATGCAGTGGAGGAACGCGTCAGGTACAGAACCCGTGACCACTAAGACTCCCGATGACTGGTTTCATTGCTTAGGAACACAATTAATCATAATTAATCCTTACATATCCTTGCAAAGCAATACTGCGAATGGATGATGAATCCTAGGTCCAAACACCAACCGGTGTTTAGCGCGTTGGCAATTTGGGTGCCATGCCATGCTGTGCCATCGCCCTTAAAACGGCCAGGTCTCGCTGTAGCGCACTTCTGCTCGATCCCCCTTTGTTGTTCTCTCCTGGGTGAGTCACGATGCCTGGATTAATGCTAGGGGATGTCTGATGAAGTATGATGGTCTCGTATGCACAAAGTAAATGCAAACACCTGCCCCAACATCAGTACCTTTAAATCATGTCAACCTGACTGGCTGATGGAGAGGACCCTCCGGAGAATTCACCACCTGCCCCGGATCCAATCCATCAGCACCGAGCAACAAAGTGGAGAGGAACATATTGCCAGCCGTCAGCACTTAGGCAAAAGATACCTCATTGGTGGTGGATGCAATGGCTGAACAAACGTTGGCCATGGTTGTATCAGTTTGGGTGGGTGTAGCAACCATGGGACCGTGAACACAAATAACAAATAATAACACTATATGACTACAGTAATTATACTAGCAGACGCCCTAAGTTACCCCATTTGCCCATTAGTTACCCCAACCGCAAGGCACACCGAGTTACCCCAGGGCAGACAGTAGTTACCCCAGGTGTCAAATCCCCAAGGCACAGCGGCTCAGATGCATCATGTTTTGAAGTCGTTGCAAACTTTGAATCATGTTATTAGGTTGCATTTAGCTATGCCCGGAATCAGAATATGGGAAGGCGCGACCTGTCAACAGGGAGTCAAATCTCAATGGCGCACCGCCAAAAGCAATTCCAGGTCAAAAGCTTAGCCAAGCATTGAAACAGCATCACCAGCTTGCGCTCTGGTATTTTCAAAAAAACAAATTAAAGGGTGTCCATTCTGAAAAAAACTGAAATCCCAATGGCACACTTGCAGGAGAGTGGAAGACTTTCACGAAGTCGTTGCAGACTTTGAAGCATGTCCCTAGTTGCATTTAGCTATGCTAGGAATCAGAAAATGGGAAGGTGCGACCTGTCAACCTGGAGTCAAATCCCAATGGCACACCGCCAAAAGAAATTCCAGGTCAAAAGCTTAGCCAAGCATTGAAACAGCATCGCCAGCTTGCGTTCTGGAATTTCCCGAAAAACACAATAAAGGGTGTACATTTTCAAAAGCAACTAAAATCCCAATGGCACGCTTGCAGGAGAGCGGAAGACTTTCACGAAGTCGTTGCAGACTTTGAATCATGTCCCTAGTTGCATTTAGCTATGCTAGGAATCAGAAAATGGGAAGGTGCGACCTGTCAACCTGGAGTCAAATCCCAATGGCACACCGCCAAAAGAAATTCCAGGTCAAAAGCTTAGCCAAGCATTGAAACAGCATCGCCAGCTTGCGTCCTGGTATTTCCCAAAAAACAAAATAAAGGGTGTCCATTTTCAAAAAACAACTAAAATCCCAATGGCACACTTGCAGGAGAGTGGAAGACTTTCACGAAGTCGTTGCAAACTTTGAATCATGTCCCTAGTGTTGCATTTAGCTATGCCCGGAATCAGAAAATGGGAAGGTGCGACCTGTCAACTTGGAGTCAAATCCCAATGGCACACCGCCAAAAGAAATTCCAGGTCAAAAGCTTAGCCAAGCATTGAAACAGCATCGCCAGCTTGCGTTCTGGTATTTCCAAAAGAAACAAAATAAAGGGTGTCCATCTCAAAAAAAAAAACCCAATGGCACACTTGCAGGAGAGTGGAAGACTTTCACGAAGTCGTTGCAAACTTTGAATCATGTCCCTAGCTTGCATTTAGCTATGCCCGGAATCAGAATATGGGAAGGTACGACCTGTCAACTTGGAGTCAAATCTCAAGGGCACACCGCCAAAAGCAATTCCAGGTCAAAAGCTTAGCCAAGCATTGAAACAGCATCACCAGCGTGCCTTCTGGTATGCCCATAAGAAACAGAATAAAGGGTTTCCATTCTCATGAGGGCCAAAACCCCAACGGCACACTTGCAGGCGAGTGGATGACTTTCACAAACAAAGTTTGAAATTAATCACATTGGAATCACACCCTGCCCTGCTGTAACGGAATCCGAGACATATGGAATATGGATGTAATACCAGAATCATGACTCTGGAAAGGTTTTTGGACGAGGTACCGGACGAGATACCGGACGAGGTACCAGAATTACATTTTGCCATCCCAGCCAGAACCCACCCCACGTATCCCCACGTCAGATCAAAAACTGTAAATGGTAAAAACGATGTGGATAGGTCCGAAAAATCCAAGCAATAAGGTCCGGAAGATGAGGTGGAGGAGGATAATGTTGCGGAAGATGAGGTGGAGGATGATGATGTAGAGGATGATGAGGTAGAGGATAACGATGTTAAGAAGGAGGAAGATAATGATGTTTAGGATGATCATGTTGAGGAGGAGGATGGAAAGGATGATAATTAATATTGCGGAAGAGGAGGTGGAGGAGGAGGATGTTGCAGAAAATGAGGTGGAGGATGACGATGTTGAGGATGATGATGTCAAGGGGAGGACGAGGATGATGCTGAGAATGATGATGTGGAGGAGGAGGAAGATGATGATACTGAGGAGGAGGAGGAGGAAAAGGAGGAGGAGGAGGACCGATCACAAGACCCCCGAGTGTGTACACACTGTGTGGGAAACTCACGTTGCTTCAGGGATTGTTAGGGGGCAAATGGATATAACTTGATACAACTAATGTTTGCCATGTTAAGAATCCCTGCGTGCCTATGCGTTGTGCTGTAAAGATCATACCAAATAACAAATCATGTAGTAATTCATTCCAGTGGTTGTGTCACTTCTTCCGCATGGCACACCGAGATGAGACAACAAAGTGCTATCTGAGACAAGAAAGGGCTTACCCCATCATTGCGAGATCGCTTCTTGCGGGGGGGTTCCATTGCCATTGAAACACCAATCAAAGCAATCTTGGGCCAAAGTGCCCAATCATTCGCGCATCTGCTGATCTTTGCTGATTGAATTGAGCTTGTCTAAACCTCATTTTGTAACAATATACCATTCCACCAAAAGCCAAAAGGCACCGCTAAACTCCATAAAAGTAACCCAGGGATTGTTAGGGAGGCAAATGGATATAACTAATGTTTGCAATGTTAAGAATCCTTGCGTGCCTATGCGTTGTGCTGTAAAGATCATACCAAATGACAACTCCATTCCAATGGTTGTATCACATCTTTCGCATGGCACACCGAGATGAGACAACAAAGTGCTGCCTGAGACAACTTAGGGCTTTCACCAAGTATGTGATGACCAACTTGATCTGTATGGAAGTCATACTGATCTCATTTCTCGACCATGAGCTGTAGTGATCCCCAAATAGTTCAGGAGTAAATGTTCTATAACTGAACATCACCCAACCAAAGAGGGTATTTTCAAAATCCCTCAAAACGCGACATTTACCAACTCCCCGTAGTTTAGAATGGTTTTTCCTACCGTTTTTTCCATGGCTTTCCTTTTTCATCGATGTGGTGGATTCTGGGTGTTCCTGGAGCTGAGATATTCAGCCACAACCATGGAATCTGGCTTAAATAACTATTGACAATAATAACACCAGTATGTATATAATATATTAATACTCCAGTATAATATATATATATGTATATTATAAGTTAGTATTAAATATTGTAGTACTAATCATTGAAGACATGCTCAAAGCCAGAGCACACACACCACTTTGATCAGGTCTACTGCCAGTATGAATTGGGCTCCGTCAGCCTGTGATGTTGTAAAATTTCCAACTTTGGGTTCCTTAGAAATTCACCAATTTTTACACAATACCATTTTTTTGATCTGATCCCGATGTTTTTCTGTTAAATTTCCAACTAGTGTTTCTCAATTTTCCCCATTTTTTTCTGATGGTCACATCCCCATTTGCCAATAGAAATCGGTTTGTTCAAAACTAGGGTACAAACAAAATGATCATGGTTTATTATAGTTTTCCGAATCGATTTTGGGCTATCACCATTTTTGGAAACGAAACAGGCTGTTGGATACACCCTATTGATACGCATTGACTGTATTAATATATCACCATTGTGGTGTACATTGGTCTTACACTACTCCTTGGTGATTGACTCTGGTTGGTTAAAGTCAGACAGCTTCTGGAGAAAAAAACACCTAGGCCGACCTAGGCATGCTCGATGTTATATGGTTTATGGTCATCCCACCATCATTCGGGACTCCTGTTACGTTGAATGGATTGATGACCATCCAAACATCTGCTTATAGCTGATACATCCCATGATTTCAATAATTTCACCACTAAGAGCCTATTTAAAGTCATGAAATCACCAAATTTTTAATGTTCCCTTCGAGCTTCCAACTTTGGAGTTCTGGCCGTTACAAATGACAAACATTTTCATGATATCGAACCGTTGTAGGAGTTTTTTCCGATGGCCATACCCTCTGGTAATTTGTGACATAGCTATTGAACATGGCCCATTTGAAATAGTTGATTTACCGAACTTAAAGCTGGGTGGATTTTACTGTTCGCTTTTTAAGCATGATTATGGAAAATCACCAACAGTAAACTAACATAGCTGGTTATTTTCCATACCTATATGAGTGTACCCTCTGGTTAACTAACATAACTATGGAAAATCACCATTTTTAATGGAAAATTCCACTATAAATGGCCATTTTCAATAGCTATGTTAGTTTACCAGAGGCTAACTGTTGCCATAACGACTATGGCGACTATGGCGGTCCAGACACATTTCTCCTCCGAGGACGCCACCGGGCACAGTCCGCCGCAGGGCCGGCGCGGCGTTGCCCGGGAGTCAACGGTCATCAGCTACAAAAGAGGTATATCTATATCTACAGTATATCATATCATATCATATCTTATCTATCTACAAATATATATATATAAATATACACATATGTATACATATATATACATATGTGTATATATATATCCATATACCCCTGGTACATGGATGTATATGGTGTCAGCGCATGGAACTACCATCAAACACAACACAATTCGACCATTATGTTTCTTTCTGGAATGCCACACATGTTCTCCTGGGATCTCCTGGGATTTCTCTTGGGATATCTTGGGATAATAATTTATCCTCATGAGGACATGCATCTGACCAATGACGACGCGTGAAGCTGTTCCTGAAAAAGACTCTAAACAAAATTACTGGTTTCTGGGCTGCACTTAAGAGGGGTACCTTAGGGGGAGGTCAATTATCATCCCATGATGCAACAATACACCAATATACAGTTTATACAGTGGCATATCAAAACTGGTCACTGCTCTGCTACACTGTCCATCTTTGAGGTCCAAATCAGAATTCTGCCTCAATTTGGCGCAGATCTGGTCCAGCAGCTTCAAACCCATATAGAAGACCTGGGTTAAGGAGACTCCAGATCGGTGTGCTAAAGCTGCTACTGCTAAAGCCAATGCCATAGAGCTACTAGATAAACAATCCATGGTTTAATCTAATCGGGATGATTTTTACAATATTTGTTTAAACCATGGTAATGTTGGGGATGGTTGATTATTGGATTTACCACATTATCTACCTAGATGGCTTGGAGATCTTTAGGGCAAATGTGGATAAACAATGATAAAAAAATGTTGAAAAACTCTTGTCTTAAGACCACACACGGATGATCTGCGTGGGGCTAACTTACCAGATATACAAGTGGCGTTTGACGACAAAGACCCTATGGTATGATTCGGTATGATGTATGATAAGAAGGATAGGCAAAGAACAGCCCAGGATCTAATTAAATCTACCCTCTGGCTATTTAACATAGCCATGGGAAATGGCCCATTTATAGATGGTGTACCTATTAAAAATGGTGATTTTCCATGGCTATGTTAAAAGGGTAATTAAATCATTCCAAACCTCCCACACTCCAGATCACTCCAGAGCTGATGTGCCCCAGCATTGATCTGAATTATCAGACTTAACTGAATGAGAATAAAGTTCAGCCATTTTTTCTCATGCTTCACCCTACTAATTGGAGGTGTCCCAAAATGGGGATCCCCAAGTCACCGTGGCTTTCAATACTAAATCTAGGCCATGACTTGGATGATTTGGAGTACCCTCATGACTTGGGAAACCTCCAATTTAAGTTTGTTGGTTTATAAAGCGATTAACCATAGAATTACACTATAGAATCTCTCTAGATATATACTATAGTTATACCTAGTTATCTAGAATCATAGTTATACCTAGTTATACTATAGTTATAATTACACTATATTACACTATAGTTATTTAGAATCATACTATAGTTATACCTCTGGGCTGCCCGGCAGCTGTCTGTTTCATCGATCGCTTGGCCATTTCACACCATTCCAGGTCCTGAGTGGTGATGACGGGCCGATGCGATGCTGTGACTCCCAGGTAACAATTTGAATAGCCCAAAAAAGGTCCAAATGAACAGTTGGAAACATGTGGATTCATGGTATTTAAATATTTACCCTCTGGTAATTTAACGTAGCTATTGAACATGGCCATAGAAATAGTGGATTTTCCCATTAAAAATGGTGATTTTCAATAGCTATGTTAAATTACCAGAGGGTAAATATTTAAGTTGTATTGATGTGTAGTATTTGAAGGAATTGGATTGAGGAGTGTCCCAAAAGGTTGGGGAGCACCTCCAAAAATTGATGGTTCAACCAGGGAACTGATGATTGTTCAGCAACATGGGCATAGAATGTGGGTGGTGGCGCAAAGCTATTTACTGCAAAATTACATGAATGAATGTTAATTTGTAGCCCATTGGTACCCCATGAGTCAGGGCCAGCTATCAGCAGTAATGGGCGGGTAAAATATCCTATGTCCTGTCGCGTAAAGTTTCCCGTGAACCAATCAGATGCATGGCTGGTGTTTGAAGAAACACAATTAAACAAGACTTAATAGACTCTTTTAGCAGACCCTTAACATTTTGCATCTTGCCATTTTGTGTTCTTCTTTACTCGGGGCACTTTGGGTTTGAATAAGTTTGTGGCATGGCCGTACTTCATGGTCTCCAAATACATTGCTCCATCACTTTGTTCTTCAATTGCCTATCTTGACATCTAGCAGATTCATGTTTTAGGCTTCCCAGCCATCCATGTCCACGCAACACGGGTCTTAAAATTTCCTAATGTTTCTTGGTTCAGCATCACCTAAACTGGTGCTTCAACCGTGGTTCTCACCCTCGAATGTTTTGGCAGTCCCCACCCCAGGCAAACATGTCCGAAAAACACATGAAGTTGATGAAGGGAAGTATCTAACAAATGTCTGTTCTTCTTGAATTCTGGCAATCTGATGTGTCTATATATATATATATATACACACACTATATTATATATATATATGTGTGTATATATACACATGTAATATTCATACAGCAAAGGGGTCGTGAAATTAAGTCCCAAGTCGTCCCCAGCCCGCTGGAACCAGGCGGCTGGGAGGCTCTTGGCCTTACTTTGCCCCACGCAGAAATGCAGGTGATTGGTGCTGAAGCCCCGATGGGTCAGGGGCACCTGAACAGCGATTCGCAGGGTCTGGCGACTTGGCTCTCAGACTTTGAGCTGCAAAGATATGGAGGTTTCCTAAAATAGGGCTACCATGGGCTACCTCCAAATCATCCATATGATTTTAAGATTTTCCATCATAAACCATCCTTTTTTGGGGTACCCCCATACCCCCCCCAGATGAAGAAACGAGCTCGTCGGCCTGGCAACTGGCAGCAGCTCCAAGTGCCGATGTGATGCCTGGCACCACCTCGCATGGAACCTGGTGGTCGTCCATCTCATGGCGACAAAAACGCTATGAAAAAAGGATGGTCATTGATGACTGGTTGGTGGTTTCAACCCCTCTGAAAAACTTTAGTCAATGGGAAGGATTATTCCCATATATTATGGAAAAGTAAAAAATGTTCCAAACCACCAACCAGATGATCAATGAGAATGGATGATAGCCACTTATAGCCGATGATAATCCACTATCAGTGCATCAGAATCTGGAATAATCTGGACAATGCGCAGTGAATGTCCAAGCTGATTTGAGGCGTCTTAAGGTTGTGTTTGCCTTCACAGACTCGTGAGTGACCATCATTGGGTTAAAGGTCGCTCGAACTTTCAAATCATTTAGACTCATGCGTCACAACGTCATTTTCAGAAATTCGGACTGTTGCGTCACAATCATCAAGAAAAACGTGGGATGTAAATGATTGTCGTGGATCGCTCGATGTTCAAATACGTTGAAGTGAAATCCTCGCAGCGTTCGCATCATCCCGGCACATCCATCTCCACCCCAGATGATCTTCTTAATCAACCCGTCAATCAAATCAATTAGTAGCTGTACCTCGAAAAAAACCATTTCAAATCCTTGGGATATATTGTCAACCCAACTTTCACATACCAACTGTCCTAAATTTGAGTCACAATTCCGATTCCGATATTGTCCAAAATTTCCTTGCATCTGCCTTTGTTGTGTCACAAAAAACGCTGGGACGCCTGGTGCTCTGCCAGAAATTCCAGCTCCTGTGCGCAGGTGCGATGGCGGGATGGAGGCAGTATTTCACCACCAAAAATGGGGAGAAAAACCGACAAATCGATGATATGGAGATTAATAATGTGCTAATATCACCAACAGTTCTAACATGATATTTGAATGGGGGTTTAGATTACCGGGGGTCAACCCACCCCTAAAGTTAGAGGAAATCTGAACCCCCATATATTTGATATATTTGGATGTATTTGGGTGTCTGCGAATGGGGGATCCGACACCGCCCAAAAGCAAAGAGAGACCCGAGTCCTCGCCGCCGCGGCCAAAAATGAAGGGATCGCCGCCTCAGGAGCAGAGGCCCTCGGCTGTGGCGGTCAAAAATGGGGCACTGAGTTCTGGACATTTCAATCGGACGACCTTGCATCCGCGGCGGCTATTCACCAACATCAATTCGTGGATCTCCTGGCGAATCTCAAAGCTAGCCAAGTAACTTCCAGATGCAAAAGCAAACAGTCTTGTATCAAGGCAAAGTGAAATCACCTCTTTAAAGTATCTGAAAAAAAAGGTGTGGTATTGGGTCTGAATATGGACACTTCTAGTTGGCAGATTCCCTCACATAACTTGCAGGGTTTTCGTGATTTGGGGTCCTCATCCAGGCTGGAATTCGATAGAATTCCTGTTTCTGGTGCTGCACATTCCCATTGTTGATGAAGTTGATCTTGATTCCCTTTCTGAAGCAAGTTGAAAGCCATGAAAGTTGGCAAGATCATTTATATACATATTCATATTATATGTATATATATATATATACTATATACATTATATATATATATATATTATAATATTATATTATACATATATTGATTTCTATTGGCTATTGTATTGGCTCATTATTGGCTCAATCTCCATATTTCGTCCAGACTTCCCCCCAAATTGCGCCTGTTGCTGGAGACCTCGGTCCTCACACAACTTGGAGGTCTCAAAGATAGCAACATAAAGAATATCTATGGTTAATATCTATGGTTATAACTATGGAAATCATAGATTTCCATATGTGGCCTTTTCTGAACTGAGATCTGAACTGAAGATTTTGAATTTCTTCATTGGTTTGTTGGTATGTGTTTGGAATCTTGACCTGATTTTGGAGTGGTTTCAAGAGAACAATGTGCCGGAAAGCATGGTTTCTACCTCCAACTATACGGGTGATTTCCTGTTCCCTTCATTCAAGTCTGGGAAGCACACTCAGTTCTCCTGCATTTCACATAGACAAGCTCAGCATTTTCTTGCTGTTTTTCAGTTATTATGTGTTTCTGTCGACTATATCCAACACGACCTGTTGCTTCCTGTTCCTTTTGTTGAATCAGTGAACTCCAGATAACTCCAGTGTGAGGATACCCTCCAATCAACTCACGTTTCTAGGGGAACATGAGAAAATGGCCCATTTATAGATGGATATTCTATGATATTCTCATGTTTTCCTATGACATATGGTGATCTTCAATGGTTTTTCTCTGATTTCCATGGTGAAAAAAAATCGCCAACGTTGAACCCCCCGCCTTCACATCGCCACAGCGCTTGCCGACATTGATCAACTTCGCGGCCTTGGGCACGAAATTCAGAACCTGGACGCGGAGCGACAAAATCCGGGGGACTTTGGGTTGTTTCAATATGGATTGGTCTGGTCTAAGGGGAAAACTATGAATATCTACAATGAAACCATGGTTTTTGTTTTTTCAGGGGAAAAACTATGAACATCTACAATGAAACCATGGTTTTCAAAGGAACAAGTCTACAAGAAACATCAAGAAACCCATAGTTTTTGGCGGAAAATTACAAGAATCAAGAAACCATGCTTTTATTTTCCATCTTGGTTGGGGTTTCCTGTAGATTTTCCCTTAAACCAATCCAATGGTTGTTGTCAACTCTTGAACGCTTAAAACTGTGAAGGACGTGTTTTGGATGTGTTTGGGCAATGTTTCAGATGTTCATATCACATATCATTCGATTCATATCTATCATCATCTCTCGTCATCTACTGAAACTATTTAAGGAATTTTAGCCTCCATACATTCATGGGATGATTTTTTTAATTGAGTAGCTGACGATCATTGTTCCAATAATGATCAATGATGTAATGACCTACAGTGCAAACAACATCAAACAACAATGGGATCCGTGATCCTCAAAATGTTCAAATCTGATCAATATAGTTTTCAGAGCTTATTCTGACGCATGCTGTGTCCATACTCTCAAGATCTCTCAAGTTTGACGCATTTCGGACTCAACAAAACAAATCTGCAACATATGTGGTTTGGATTGGTTTAGCAAAAATGACGCATGTCTCAGGCCCGTCCCACCTCTTCGGGAATCAAGCTGTCGTGCAGTACAACATCGGCAGCCTGTCAAGCGGCTGTGAAATACCTCTGACTGAACAAAAAAACAAAGACATCACGACCAACCAACAGAAGCAACAACCAAAACATGAAGGATTCTCCGTTGAAAACACCAGGAAGGTGCTCTTTCCGCATCACACTTTCTTCGACTTTCTTTGCGCCGAGGGGCTTCAAGCTTTCGAAGGGCTCGCCTGATCAACACTGCTTGGCCACCGAAGGTGAAATAACAAGAAACATGACTGCACAGCTGACATGTTCAACTGTTCAAGGTCTGGTTCCTCCTAGCCATATTCCATGACTTGGAGGGGAAATAATGGTTTTTATTCATCTACAAATAAACGGAACGTTTCAAGAGCCTCTACTTGGCGGAAGTTGCACAGTTCCTTCCTTGAAGATTCACAGAGGTATGACTCGAACTTGTAGCAGCTTTGAATCGTATGAAAAAACAAGAATAACTCCTTTTCCTATCCCTTACATATCTTACATATCTTATCTCTTGCGGTTCACCCTTTTCGACATATTCCACTCATGGTCAATCCCCAAAATACCCATCACTCATCGACGCCGAGCAGCAGGGTCAACAGTTCGGGATCCCCTGGGCCGGCACCGACCAGTGCTACTGGCCCCGGCCTGAGCTGATCAACGATGGGAATGGCTAACCTGGCCACCCCAAAATGGATAAACATGGGATGGTACAAAGGATAAGCAACATCTGTGGCAAGTTTCTTTGGGTGAATTTTGACCCACAGCTGTATTTGAAGTTGCTTTGAAAAAGGAACCTCGGCCACAGGGCCACAGCCATCGTATACGGATGTATACGGTGTGGAGAAAATGGAGGGGATTTCGGGCACCCAACTTGAGACTTTTGGACATAATTGGTGAACCTGGCCCATTTCAGGTTCTATGCTATCAGCAAAATGATACAATATATATATATAATACAATATATATATATAATCTAATATATATATATATATAATAATAATATATATATATAATAATATATATATATATAGTGTAGCCCTGTGGTATTCCAACATTTTGCTGGAACATTCCCTGCATCTTCGTAGACGCAGATGGTCTATGATTATCCACCTCTTGGGGGGTTCATTTCCAGGTTCAATGACCATATCGATGTATCTCAGCCCTCCAGGACATCTGCATTCCGTCCCACCACCAACCACCACCAGAACCAATGTCCAACTGCTTGGACCACCCACTGTGCAGAGTGGCCTTGGTTGGGGGCCGCATGCCAGTCGGCCAGTCAATCCGGTTTTTTTTGGGTTCCTCCGCTGGGATTTTTTCACGATTCATGAAGATTCCATACCCAACGTTCTGTACACCTGTAGGAATGAGGAAGGAACTGGTCATGGCGCCATGGCATCAATCCTGAGCCAAAAAAAAGACTGCCAGCTAGCAAGAACTGGGATACCCAACCGCTCATCACCTGAGTCAAGCAACGAATCCCGACCATCTTGACACCCTTGGTGCTGCTGGAATGGTTGTCACCAACAGCACTTACCAGCAATTGGGCCCCACAAGAAGCATCACGAGCCCGACTACCAGCATTTTCAACATAACAAAACATAACCAACATCATTTCCGTCAACATTGGCAAGTCCCATCTGACTGACATGGTACATGGGTGCAGGACAACAATAAATAACTAAATAAATAAATAAATAAATAAATATATATATATATTATATACATATCTATTATCTATTATTATCTGGTAAATTGTTCAGCACGTTAAAGAACGCTACTATAAACAAACAACTACAAGTACAAACAATGCTGCTAGGATAGATTTTAAAACAAGTACAAACAATGCTTAACAAACACAAACCATGGTTCTGATCTCCACCCAATCTGCAGGTCTTTGCTCCTCCATCCATCCTCACTGCAAGGTGTTGAATGGTGCCTAGTTTCTCACTGAAAAATGTCCAATGTTTGGATAACTCACAAAAATAATGTATGCGCTAAGGACACAACATTCCCATCCAAACAAACGTTGTATATGTTTTTGTTGAACATGTTCCAACATGTTCATTTCCCCATCAAAAAAAAACAAACAACATCACCTCCCAACCTCCCAGCATCTGCGCACAGAAAACCCCTGGGAACGTGCACGGAGTCGCTTTGCGAGGTTACCTCAAACCCTCCCTTGGACCGTGTGGCAGCGGATGGTAGCGGAGTTTCTGATTGAAAACCATGGCTCTGATGGAAACTCCTGATTTTCAAGGAAGAAAACATAGAAACTCAACGAAAATCACCAATAAAGAAAAACATTGGACATAATCCAAGTCCGGTTGTCATGATTTTTCCCATTTATATAAATGGCTTTGGGTACACGGCTCAACAGATATGGGTCCCAAATGATCCCCACGTCTGACCCTGGACCCTGTCACCGCTCTCGGTCAATATCTCCCGGCCCTCATTTTGTTCATTGGCTATCGGATCAAGAACTCAATCAAGAGCGCAGCTGGGATCATTCTCCCAAAAGGGACAATCATATATCAACAAAGTATAGCAAAGTTATATAATATAAGTGAAACCAATCACCAGCCAGTCAATTCCACAGCATCAGGGTGCTGGAATTGCTGTCACTTTGTACAGCTTCTGAACTCTGACTCTCTCCCAGCGTCCGCACGATCTTCTGCAGCGAAATGGAAAGACATACCACACCATACACGACACTCATGGCGATAACACCCAGCTCTGCAGCATTTTGGCGTCTCAGGGCACCTCTCAACGATTCATGGCCCTTTACCACCTTCAAATGGAATAGCGCGGGATACCTGGGCACGGGAGGGAAGGGATAGTCTTCGGCATCATCCCTAGAATCGAAGCTCCTAAGACATCCTAAAACTACCTATGAATTGTGGATGATCTTCCCAAAAAGAAAAAAGCATTTCCTTTGGGGCTTTTCCAGCAAGCCATGTTTGATTAGCAAAGGCTAGGTCTGGTGGTATCTGCCCTCCAACTTTGATGAACGGGACGACCCAATCATGAGCCGGTTTTGTAAGCAAATATACTGGACATGGATCGCATATGAATGCATCATATGATAAGATTAGGAAACAAAATAACAGGTGAGGTGTATGGAACTAGTTCTATTTTCGAAGATTATATGCTGGCCAGGTCATTTGGGGACCATAATCCAAATTTTAAGGGATGAAACAGCTGCAAATTGAAACTGCCCAAGGGCATGAAGGCGATAAAGGTTCCACCCAGTGATCCTCCAAAGGACATCACCACTTGAATGTCAGGCACGGCTGTTGCCAGGATAAGAATCGCAAAGACAATGAGCATGGTGACCTGATATGAACATGAACACACAGCAGGAAATTGCTGATGTTCCATTGAAATTGGGCGACAACTTGTAACTTGTCTTCATGAAAAAAATGGTGATTTCCATTGACTCCTGTATATCAAGTGGTTACTCATTCTCTTCCAGTTGTGCTGAAGGGTGGACATGGTGACCACTGTCTGTGTCTGCTAGTGAAGTTAGTGGAACAGTGCGGCGGTCACAAATTTGAGTAGAGGAAACTTGACAGTGGATCAGTTTGAACTGGTAAGTGGGAGCAACCACGTTCAAAGAAATACATATAATTACTGTAATTGGGTAAATATTGACTATTAAGCCCTTCCCCCTAATATTCTATTCACTTCAGGAACCCAATTTAGGGGGCTGTTTACTCTTAGGCGGATGGGCGAAAAAAAAGTCGTGCAAAAGTGGTGAATGCTGGCAGAAACTTTCAGAGCCAGGACGCAGTGGTCCATTCCACAAACGAAGGATCAGCATTTTGTATCGCTTCAGCTTGTCTTGCGCTGCATCCGGCCCATTTGGCACGTACAGCAGAAGCAGCTCTGTAGTAGCTCAACAGCACCGATCGCAGGGCCCAAAGCACCTCTGCCAAGTCGGAGTGGATCTTCCCAAGCGATCAATGAGAAAAAGACATAGAAAGACCAGCTACCCTCCTGTAATCAAAGATGGCTAGTTGGGAAATCCTCGAGAAATGGGCATTTAAATTGGGAACATCATCTGTAATCATCTGTAATGTTTTTTAATTGGGGATTTTCCATTGCATTGCCATGTTTCATTAACAGAGGTTACACAAAGCTGTTCAAAGATCTCATCCAAGAGCTGCCTTGAAAGAAACTATCAGATAAATTGGGCCCTGTATAGCACACTTCTCCCCAACCAGCATCAATAATCATCAAAGACTGAAGTCTTGCAGACAGAAAGGATCAACACCCATTTGACCACATTTTCATCTTCGAAACACCAAATCACAATCAACATCAGGGATTCTCAAAAAAAAGGTATACCCTCTGGTAATTTAACATAGCTATTGAAAATGACCCATTTATATAGTTGATTTACCTATTAAAGATGGTGATTTTCCAGTTCGCTATGTTAACGTTTACCAGAGGGTACACGGCCTCTGTTTCTCATCATTTTCCTTGTTCAATGGCCCTTTGGGGCGACTTTTTGAGACCGAGGCACCACAGGCATCCCAAAGACCAAACTCACTGCCACTCCAGCGCTGGCCACAGACACCAAGGCGAACCTGGAGCCATGGGGCGAGTCGCAATTCCCATTAAAAAAAAAAACCGGTGAGGAAACGCTATCATTTCTCCAAATATATTTTGATATCTCTATACCCATAGGATTCATGTATGGTATATATGCTAACATTTGGGGTATATGGATGGTAAATGTCACCATATATAGCATACATGGATCCTATGGGATATAATATATTCTATATCATTCTATATCCCCATATATTATATGAATTTATATGATCTATAGATACAGTAATATCTGAATGTTATCATATACTCATTGATCATATACCCCAATGTTTCCCCCACTATCCTTGGTGAACCCCATCACCAGGGGCCAAAAAACTGCAGCGGCTGGCGCTTGTGGTTGATGTGCTCCGCCACAATTTCCAAGATGTTGCTTCCGTCAGAATCCAGGTACCCGAAGCGGGCATAGCTGGTAAGCCCCACCAGCTGATACCTGGGCCAAGCTTGGCAAATGTGTGTTCCCATCCCCACATATTACCCCAAAAAAACGCCCGATAAACCTTTTTTTTGGTGGACATTTACACTCATATCTTGGGACCTTTTGGCGGGTGCTTACTATTGGGGGGATTGGATTATTCTAGAATGTCGGTTTTTGCGGAGATTCAAAAGTTCCACTGATAAAATCTTGAAACTGGCCCTCGAATACACATTTTTTGGGAACGTACACAAACGCGTTGTCTCACAAGAATGCTGGTGTCCGGCAACTATCCACCCAAATCGTGATAATCACGTACGGTACATGACGCACGACTCTAGACACAACGTGGAAATACTATTGAAATGGTGCAGCAAACTTCGTAGAAACCTGAGACATGGGTGAATGTTCCAATACAGATCGGACATCTTGAGATTGTCATGTCACAACGGACCCATGCTTGTGCAGCGCAGTTACACCACTGCAGCTGTGATCATTGCAGCCAGCACCACTTTTCCTGGGCATGGAATTATGCTTTTGAAATCCAGTAACTGTGCTTTTGACAATGTTCCATGGGGATATAATGAAAGGAAATGATAGGAAATTGGGTCCCGGGAAATTGAAGTATTACAAAGCGAATAGCAGATTGCAAGAGGTATAGATATATTATAGTTGATATATGCCAATAAAATCATAGGTAATAATAAGATGTAATAAGTTATAATAAGTTGCAACTTGCATACCCTTTCATCATTTCTAGAATGATGAAAAAAACTGTGTGCCAAGCATCTCATCGAAGACTTCTGCGCGCCAAGAGACCCATAGATAGGGATGGCAGCGATATGGCCTGGGGTTGATCTATGTTGATCTTATATCACCAGCAAAGGGATGATAGTGCCCATTGAAATAGTTGATTTACCTATTAAAGATAGTGATTTTCAATAGCTATGTAGGCTATGTTTGTAATAAATATAGTGTACCATATTTGGTTGGTGGTTTCAACCAACCCCTCTGAAAAATGATGGACTTCGTCAGTTGGGATGATGACATTCTCAATATATGGGAAAATAAAATATGTTCCAAACCACCAACCAGATACAGTACAGCAGTTAAACTAGTTCATGGATGTTCATGGTAGTTTCCATCAAAAACACTTCAAATAGATTCGACCCATGCTCTACGGCGTGGCCGTTCCCAGTGTCGATCGTCCCATGGACTGGAAGGAAACAACAGCATTAAACCAACCATTTGCTGGTCCGACCGCATACGCTACCAATCCTCAATACTGATTGAATGTCCAGACTGGAATAGTGGTTTCAACCTCCATGAAATTGTTTGGTCATTGCGTGATCAACATTCCAAGCATGGACGTAAACACTCTATATATGAACCAGTGACCGCAGATTGAAATAGAGCAGACTAAAAGGCAACCATCATTGGTAGGTCAAACCATCTGGGCAAATTGCTAGAAGTCAAAAACTCAGAAATGCGCTACTAGTATAAAAAAGTGTATATTTAAGTTGATAATTTAACCTACCCTCTGGTAAACACTGGTAAACAAACAGTTCATTGCCATGGGAATCTCCGTTCAGAATTTCTGGTGTCAGGGCCCCGACACGAGAAATTCGAGGTGGTCATGGCCAAGCCTGCGCGGTTTTTATCGGTGATTCCTCCCTGACCCTTTTGGGTACTGACGGAACTTCAGATTGTGTAAAGGTGATCTATTGGATAAAAGAAAAGACTATATTTTTAGACAGATATGATAAAATATATGATAAACCCCATGTCCAGGCTCTTGCAACGAATTTTGAGCCTATCACATGCCAGGAGTTGAAATTGCTAAGTTCACGGACTAGCAAACCCGGGCCTTGCGGATTGGAAAAGTGGAACGGGTTTGCCCTTTTTCTTTCGTGTCCATTGAGTGGAACAAGGGTAAACCTATCTATGTAATATACTGGATCTAACGTCTCAGATCGAGCAGCGTGTCATGTTGGGAGTGTCACAAAACAACAATTTGATGTGTGGGGTATCGGTATCCATTCAGATTCCGACCATCATGTTTAATGTGCATATGATATATGCATGCATTCATTATTTGCAAACATGGTTAGGACACATGTTAGGCACGGGACGGCAAATTTATGCAAGATTGAACCACCTCACCGCCTTGTTAGTTCCCAATCCATACCCTTTATTTGCAGGCTCATATCATCCTTGTACATATCCATCCTATCCCGAACAAAAAAACATGGAGGCTTTTTAAAATGGATGATCCCCAAAACCATAGGTGTCAACGGTGTCAACGGTGTCAATATGTGTCAATCCTAAAATGGACTTTTTTTTTGGATGATTTGGGGGTACATGACCTGGAAAACCTCCGAATCTCGTGCCAGGAGACTCAAGAAGAAGGAGGAATCAAAGTTCACAATGAACTCAAAGCCCGAACCCAGCTTCGGCTGTTTCACCAGCGCTGAGCTGTTGCCTGGGATCGGGATCCTCAAAACAAGGGATATGTTTGGACTGTGGCGACCGTCCCAATTTTTCGGTACCAACACACAGCCATTTCATGTGGAATCAGCTGCATCCAGGCACAACATTGGAAATATGTTGGTTGGGAATTTGCCACATCCACTTCGCGAGATATACAGTACTAATATGTACTAATATTATTCATCAGCTGCTGTTGGTATTTCCACAAAAAACAGCCATTGGGGTGAAAGGCCACTGTCACTTGGAGCAATGTATGGCAAGGCGCAGAAAACGATGAACGCAGCCGCGAAGGTCAAAGTGCAAATGGCCAAACCCGATGCGAACCTCGGGTCCCCAATGCGAATGGTGTGGATTGCGGGATCAAGTACGACCCACACTTCTTATCTGTTCTTATCCAATGTCCATTATATTATATATATATATTATAATATACCTGTTCACAGACACACCTCAGACACACCGTTGCCATCTATGTTTCACTTGTTGCAAATTCAATAGGGGGATGTGGTTCAGAAAAAGAAACGCAATATGAAGAGGTGAATCACTCAATCACATTATGTGATTCATCAACATTATAGGTATTAAATATCGTGATTGGTTGACCTTAAATCATCAACAGCCAGACTTTATGTAGTCTTCTGCAGTCAACGAGACTATGTCCCCACCTCTGCGATTGTAATTTTCAAACCGCCACGGGTGTCACAATGGGGAAGCAGGTGACCGGAGCTTGGAGATGTCGCGAAGCATACCCAAGGGTAGAACCTCACCACATCCAAGTTGACCGAGAATGACAATGTTTCAATCACTTCAACTGGTTTAAACTAAGTTTAAACCCATTGTTTAACTCGTTTTTGCTAGTCAATTGTTGGTGAAACCTCCTCAGCAACCCATCCTTATTCATCCAGCAATTATCATTTATCATTTATATCCCAAGAGTTACTGGTTGAACATCCATATAGATGGTGGTTAATCCCTGACAAATCATCAATCAATCATCATTTATAATCATTTATCACTTAGAATGTTTGATACCTAGGTGTGTATATATATATATATTATTATACATATATATATATATATTATATATATACACACACCCCATACAACTGATGGTTAACCCCCAAAATATCCTTATATTATCCTTTTTTTACTGGTTGAACCATCCACATTATAACTGAGCTCGGATGGTCCCAGGTTGAGGTCCAGCAGTGCTCACTGAGCTCGGAAGGTCCCTGGTTGAGGTCCAGCAGTGCCCAGTGCGCTCAGACCCTTGCAGTTGAGGTCCACCAGTGCCCACTGCGTGCGGAAGTTGGCGAAGAGCTTGGCGAAGAGTTGGCAAGGCGGAAGTGAACATGGAAGTGGAGGCAGAGGTGGAGGAGAAGGAGGAGGACGAGGAGGAGAAGGAGGAGAAGAAGAAGGCTAAGAAGGAGGAGGAGAACAACTCTGATAAAATCTAACAACCCTCAATGGCAGGTGGGGAATCATCAATGGCAGGGCCCAGGTGCCACCAGCAGTCCACAGCTCCACAGCATCCGCAGCTCCCAGCTGCGCAGCTCCTGCGGCCGCACTACGCCGTCGTCGTCGAAGAGTGACGCCAGCAGCGGGGCCAGGGACCGGGAGGTGAAGAGCATGCGGGACATGCCAAGGGAAAGGCCACCAAAGATGAAGACCAGGGAAATCCTGAGTTGGTTACTTTGATTTTTTTGGATATTGTTTGATTTAGTTTCGTTTTTTGAAAGATAGTTGGGAGAAAATAGATGGATTCTGCTGCTGATATTCCTTGTTGGGGGATGGTTCATCATGATTCATCTCGATGCGGAAAGGTACAGGGAGGAGAAAACAACTTTTGTTGGGGAAAAATGCTGGGGTATTGGATGATATACTTCAGCCCACACAGATGTAGGATGAACCATGTCTTTGGGGAAAAACGATCAAAAACATAATAATCCAATCAATAGATTGACTTAAGGGCAGGACACCATTATATTATGATTACCATCAAATGAAGGGGTTTACCGGAAAATTACCGTTTAACAAGTCACAATTGCGCAGGTTTACTGCAGTACTCTGCCTGGGTGACTTAGTGAAAGGAAAGAAAACAACAGCAATGGAGGAGCCATCTCTTTATGCAGGTATGGTTCTTGATACCCGAAGATGGCAAAACTACGCAAATGGATGCAAATGGCAGCATATGTAACATATTTTATATACGGTTCATCATTGGGTATTGGACTTAATTCGTTCACCACATTATTCAGGAGTGCTGAAATCATTTTGAAAACCTGACCTCGCCTGGATGACAAACGACATCGTACGCCCATACCACTAGCAGCCCTGGAACGCACATGAACGCAACCAAGTTTCATGTGGGCAGCAAAGGTGCCAAGATATTCTTGAGCAATGCCTTCATAATTCCTTGCAACATCTTTGGGTAAGTAATCTGCCACCATCACCAACCAGTTGACCTCGGGGAGCAACCACATGGAACCAAGGTCGTTTGCCGCCCATCTTGCTTTGTTGCTCATCCAAACACTTTAAGCGCTCCAAATCACAGTCACAACGCACTGGCATAAACAACAATAGCTCCAAACGAGCCATGGCCACATCAACACCACGTCAATAAGTACCACCATCCACCTCCCAAAAAAAACATGACCCAGTGGCAGTCATAGAGTGAACCGAAATCACTCCAGCAGTCATCAAGAGATAGGACAGTAAGCCTGCACTACTCATGGCGATCGGAACAGCCAGTGTACCAGCGCCAAGGATGGTGTTGGTGGTGTTGGCATACGCACTGAAGGGCCCTCCATCAGTGCTGGTAGATTCATCGAAGACCTGACGGAAGCTGGTGTTTTTTGTGCGAGATGAGCATCACAGGTTGGTTCTTACCAGTTTCTTGGTGGGGATGAGAATTCAAGCATATACATAATATATATATATGTATATATATACACATACATATATATATATAGTTGATTATAATTACAATAATATATATATGTGCTATATTTGTGAAAGCATAAATATACATACACTTTTGCAGGTGAAAGCTCAACATGGGGCCACAAGGATCCAAACGGGTCACAGTACCACGAATGGAAAGGATGGAAAGTACCTGAGCTTCGATGGGATGGTTCTTGAAGATCTTGCAGAACTGGAGGATCTGGTTGATCCGACACATTGACACAGCTATCAAAAACCAAGATCAGCTCAGGCTTCTCAAGACATCATGAAACCGATCGAAACATCTACCCTCTGGTAAACTAACATAACTATGGAAAATCCCCATTTTTAATTGGTAAATCAACTATACATGGCCATTTTCAATAGCTTTTTGTATGTTTACCAGAGGGTAAATTCCTTATACCCACCGTACACCTTCCACTGGGCCTGGGATGCTAAGAAGGAATCTTGCTTTTCCTTGGCCGTCATCTCCGCTTGGCGCGTTTCTGCGTAACCAAATAGACCCTAGGGCCTAGGGAAATTTAACGCAGCTATGGAACATGGCCCAAACGATGATTTGATTATTTTTGAAAATGCTGATTTTCATTGATTTTCCATGTGTTAAATTACCAGAGAGTAACATGTTGCAATCTTGGATGTTCTTGCCTGCCACATCCAAACAAAAACGAGGTTCTGCCATGAGCTTCGCAAATCGAAAACTCAAAGAAACAAATCAGTTCATGGAAATCATGTTGTTCCTTAAAGTCCATGTCTACCCAATAATCTAATATATATATAATCTAATATTATATATATATATTATAAAAATAATATCTTCCTTGGAATGAACACACAGATTAAATAATCTACGAGTAATTAATAATCTCTTCTGGATGACCTCAGATAATAACGATCTTGCCATATAAATTGGATGATCTGTCGTCCGAGTCTTCCAAGTTCGGTCACGTCTCCAGGGCTTTGTTCCTCCGTCGAGATGGAGCATGGTGGACGCTGTCTACCTGGACCACCGAGGATCCCATGGTTTTCACAGCGAAGCACCAATATATGGTTAATCAACCACCAATATACCACCAATATATGGGGATTTATATGGATTTATGGCCATTATTAATGGGATTTTTCATGGGAGCTAACCATTAAATGCTGCAAATCAATGGCCATTCCTATGAGGTCTTGACTGATCCCAAAAGTCCATACCAATCCCCAATGGCGCAGTGGCAACGTGTTTTCTCCCCAACGTTCGGACTTGATAGGACTTGATACTGTCCGAAATCAAGATCTTTCAATCCACAGACACTGGTCATGTTCGGATATCGCTAAAATGAATGTGTCATGTATCAATGTATCAACCTCGTGTTGACCTTTTGACACTGCCCATGTCTGTTTTTTTGAACAAAAGATGATTCACTCAGGCAACCGGATCAACCAGAGCTGCAGAGACCGATGTGCGTTCAACTTCCAGCGGCTGCATCACCGTCCATTCCCTTCACGCAGTACTCGTGGCCATGGGGCAACTTGTCGAGTGGCCATGTGGGTTAAGATTTGTTGGATTTTCCATGTCCATCCATTTCAACTGCGGCTCTCAAAAACATAGAATCATGATTCCCTACTAGTTCACCATCGCTGGGCTCCAAGCCCTCAACTGGTAGGCCAGATGCCGATCAGCTTTGGCATAAAATCGTTTGATGTTGGGTGCGATTTTTTTTTCCATGATCAATGGGATACCAAGTTCTTGAGCATTCGTGAGCCATTTGGCAGTGGGTCAAAACCTTGTACCCCTGGTGAACATAAAAATAGCTGGTAAATGGATGTTCATCCCTCTAAAAATGGTATTAATAGGTATTGATTCATAGCCATTTCTCCCTGAAAAGACTGGCAAGACTGGGAGCGCTGGAGCACTGACATGACCTGACAATGTCAACCCTGGATGAATAAACCCCGCTTACGGTTGTTTAATTGGGGGGATACCATAAAAATCAGATGAAATGACTATTTGGGGAGTACCCCCCTAATTAATAAACCATTGTTTATTAATCCGGGGTTGACATTCTGAAACTAGTTGCTTTGGATTCTCTGGGCGTCTCCATGTCGGCCCTTTCCGGTTCTTTTCATCTGCGCGCAAGCTTTCACCAGCACGCAACGATGACGACTTGCCTGCCGCACCCGCGCGTGCGGTTGAGGCAGTCTGAGCTGGCAGAAAAAGAGCGATGCAGGGAATGCACATTGCCAGCTTCTTCCAAATCTTGTGCTGCTAGTTCATTGCATGAGTTGCGGCTGTGCACAATACGCGGCTGTTGTTGTTGGATCACCGCTAGCTCATGCCGATCGATAGCTTTCTTGAGTCTGAAATGGGGCAGTGCAGTTGAGCTATCCCAGGGAATGTCTATATGTATATAGACTTGACAATGATTTTCATCACTCACAAGTCAATACATATCCAAGCACATAGCTCAATCACAACCTCAACATTGTCAGGAAGTTGTCTCATGTTGTCTCTTTTCCGTGATAAACGTATGGATTCAACATTCTGAATCTCCAAACCAAGCCTAAATGACAAGTTCATTCGGATCATCGTTGGATATGATTCACGGTGGGCCCAATGGTGGGGAAACAATATATGTATATTACATAACATAACATATTATATATGTTAAAGATATATTAATCTATAATAATTATACAACTATGTTCTTTTTGCTACCTTGGATTTGACACACTTGGACTCTGGTGACTTTCAGTTGTCAGACCCTGTCTTTTCGCTGCAGCTCCGTCCCACCTTCAGTGGGCGGAGCGCGGCTGTGAAACAACGACCATCGACCGTTCGCTGTCGCCATGGAAGTCGCTGTGCCGGCTGCTGAGCAGCGGGACCACCAGGTTTGTTGATGTTTGTTGAGGGGACTGGAGCATCAAACAGTTTACCAATCACATCCAATCACAACAAACAACAACCATTACTCTTCAGTAAATTAACATAGACCCTGCCAGACAGGGGTTGGAAGATTAGTTTCCATTACAAATTGGTGATTCTCAGGGTCTATGTTTATTTACCAGAGGGTACCTCCTTGATGTAATCCCATGGTAAACGTGACATGAAAACGCTTGGGCTTCATGAGACCATGCTGGATTTTGTTTGCTGCACAGGTTTGGGTCGTCCAAGAAGTATTTTGAAGACATTCTGTCTGATGGTCACAAATCAATATAGAGGAAATATATGGAGTCTCTACATATCTCTACATATAGAATACAGTATATCATATAGAATACAGTATATCATGTATACACATGTACACGTGTACACTGATTACAGCAGGAGCAAACCAGGGCCCAACATTGTCGAACCTGTACCAATAAATAATCCACACGTCATCTGCAGCACTTCCACATCGACACAAACGATCAGTGTTCCAAGGACCAAAAAGATGATCTATAGGATCCTATAGGCATATTTCATCTGGAGACAACTTCTGACGAACATCAATCTGAGTTGGTGCCCCATCCCATTTTCAGGGTCGAACCACCAGCCAAACAGCTCCTCAAATGGGGGTTTCTTCAACTGGGGGTACCCCGTACCCCTAAATATCCCTAAATCCTATTTTTTTCAAAATATGTTCCATAAATATCCCTAAATATCCCTAAATATCCCTAAATAAACCAACCAGCTGGGATTTCCCATGACTATGGAAACACTCAAATCTACCTCTTTGGTCGATTGCAACAGCATCTTCTCTACATGCCCCGGCTCCGGTGAGACACCGCCTTCGGCCCCCAGTTACGCACATTGCCCGCCACCTCAGATGCTCCCCATGCTTGGAGAGTTCTGTTGCCAGCTGGTAGAACAATAATGTGGTAAATAAACCACTGGAAAGCCCAATAAAAAACATCAGATTCCCCGGATTTTTGCTTGGTCTTAATCTGAAATGTGAGGTTTCTTATTGGGTTTTCCCATGGTTTCTCACATTAAAAATCTTTGAACATTGGACAAGGTGGCTACTCCACCTCCATTGCCTTGGGATGGGCATAAGGACGGTATTCCGATAGTATGTCAATAGAATATCGCATGATACATTGGTTACTTCAAGTTATATGTATATATATATATATTACTTATATATATATATATTGTATAGACAATTCCTTATTTGATAGACTCCAGCTTTCCCATTGGTCCCGCGTCTTTTTTGTCAGTCACCGAGCCACAATTCCGGCCGTCAACATGCCAGCGGAGTTGAGGTGCGATGTCTTGCCCTTGGGGTTCCAAATGCCCTCCTTCCGCAGTTGACATCCGGAGTTTCCTTTCATGGAGCCCTGCAAACATGATTATTTGAACCACGTACAAGTAGTTTGGATCATTTTGGATATGCACAAATATATATATATATATGTGTATAAGTATAATAATTATGTATATATAATAGTATACATATATATATATGACTGTATATGTGATTATATATATATATATGATTATATATATAAATGATTATATATATATGATTATATATATATGATTATATATATATGATTATATATATGATTATATATATATGATTATATATATATGATTATATATATATATGATTATATATATATGGTGATATATATGATTATATATATTATATATATGATTATATATATAATTATATATATATATATATGATTATACATATATATATATGCCCATATGTCTGAAAAATGTCTAAGTGAGTGTATAACCCCAAAATCGCAACATCTATTAGGATCCTGATTTTTCAGACAAACCCAATATGAGTAGCGGACAAATTTATATGTTAAATTTGATGCCATGCACAATTAGGGTCGTCCCCTATCGGTTGTGAGGAATGAAGTATTCCCGGAGGTGACACATTGGGGTATCGGTATAGGGTCGTTCCCTATCGGTTATGAAGGCTTTGTTCAACCTCGGAAAGGCCAGGGCGAAGCACGACTAAATTAGTATTACAATAATTTTGTCGGTTACTCATATGCGCCTTCTTTTAGACACATTGTGCCTCAGGTTGGGTGACCTCTGGTAGCGGCTAGCTGTGATAGATCAGAGCCACAACTTCTATATAGATCATATGATATGGATTGATATGGGTTATACTTTTTATAATTAATATATAATTAATAACCCCAAAAAAGTGTCATGATCGATTATTGATTTCTACAAAATCCCTACAGAACAAATAGTACTGCTAATACTCAACGAAACAACTTGTTTCTGGTATGGACAGGCGTATCGATCTATGGACGCCTGAGAAAGCCCGGTGATATCAAGGGGTCCCAGTTTCCTAGATTTGCTTGAGGGGGCTGTAAGAATAAAACTATCCCCAGTAGATTCCTCAATCGGTGGTCTTACCACTGGGAAACTAGACAAACACCTTCAGCAAATCCAATCTTGGGAGACTCATTATCATAATGGATTCATGATCATTGAACGACCATTTTCACATACGCCGCGGTGTCCTTGAGGCATGGATCAGCAGTGCTTGTTTCAGTCTGACACCCCTTGTTGCACGTCTCTTGCCGCAGGCCTGCGGCAGGATTTTTTTTGAATTCCCCTGCCAATTGTGGCCATTGCAAAACCAGGGAAATCAATGGAACATTATTTCCACATTGCGGGCATCATGAGACAATCATCTGTTGAATGAGGGTTAATACACGGCAAAACACAAAAGTCACCAAAGCCCAAGCATTCAGAAAACAGGAAGGGCACAGGGACGCATCCTGTGGAAACCGACCAAACTTAACATCTGTAAAACAACCTAAATGTTCAACGTGGAAATCGAAGCGACAGCGATCAGGAATCATGAATGATGAATCAGTGGCTGTGTGGTACGTTCGCAATTTTGGATTACCCTCTGGTAGACTGTCCCGTAACTATGGAAAATCACCATTTTTCATGGGAAAATCCACTATGTCTATGGCCATTTTCAATAGCTTGTTGTATGTTTACCAGGCCGGGTACATCCCCTTAACGGTTCCCACTACTTACCACTTCTCCACCCCGTCTCGGTGTCTGCCTTGAACAGAGCCGCTGTCGGCCACCGACCAAAGAAATTGCGAAAAGCGGGTGCCCTGCGGCGAGCGCTTGGGAAAACCATCCAGCATCCCCAATTTCACCATAATTGGGTGGTATAAAACCTCAAAATGGGTGGTTTATGATTGCTTCACTAACATTACATACTATTCATTGTGAAACATATATATATAATGGACTATGCTGAACTATATTGAAAAACTGCTATATTGAACTAGTAATGAACATTCACAAACGATATTGAAGCATCTTATTCTTTCAATTTTTTACATATCCAGACCCCAGACCAATGTGACAATTTATAGTGTACCATTTATTCCGACCCAACCGTTTACATCATGGTGGCTGCATGTCTACACGCCAACTGCGCAGAAAACTCGCCTCCTTCTCCTTTCCGATGGGCGGCAAACTCGCCGTTGAGGCAGCGTCCGGGCCTGCAGTTTCTTCCACGTCGCAACGTTTGCTTCGATTAAAAATCAGGACACTATTTCCCATCTTGCTGCCTTCATCAAGTTTCACGTCAAGAAACACATATGACATATGTATATATACAATGTATACATGTATACAATGTATACAATCAATATAATATATATATATATATATTATCATATGACATGTATACGCATGTAATTGTATATATATATACATATATATATATTATGATATATATAATGTGTATATATATATATATAGAGATAGATATATACATATAAATTGTCACCCTGACAATGCAATTTTGGCAAGAACATCCATGCCATGCCCCCCCGATCTGAGGTCTTTGGACCTACGGGGAAGCACATTGCACACATGCTGCTGTTCAGCTTTTCGAGCAGAACCCGGAAGAAGTACCTTTCCCAAGGCCAGTTGAATGATGTTTAATGGTTGTCATCACATATCACCATAAAATCCAGATTCTTAAAATGGGGGACAGTCATGTTTTATATAGGGAAACCGATGGGGTTTGGGGTACCCCCAATTTTGAGAAACACACAAATGGACCTTCTAAAATACAATTTGCCAGAATCATCTAAGATCATCAAAGTAGAGGTCAACATTCTCGAGTCGAGTTGACCTTCCTTGTGGTAAGGAAATTCCATTAAGCTACCCCAATACGACATAAAATGTCCTCATTGGTGAATCCCACAACTCGCCGGCATCTCTGCCGGCGGGACCTAACTGGGGCACTCCTTCTGCTTCGGTGTCATGTTGGTGAACTGCCATTCTGCATCAGGGTCATACCTGTCTCATTCCCGGAAACAAATCCTGGTTGATATCTTTTGGGGGCCTTTTGGGGGGCACGGGGCACCCAAGCAAAGAACGTGATGAATTCGGATCAATCAAACAGTCGATTCCCCAGAATTTTCCAATCCCATCCCCCAAGAGCCATCGAATATTCCCCCAGAGCCACCATGTGGCAATGCCAGACTGAGCTCGTTGCGATGTGGGAGGAAATGGAGCTTGGTCCTTTCAACGTGCCGTCGTAGAATATGGCATATATGGAAAAGGATGCATGGTAAGCCCATCGAACCCCCAAACACTGAAATCTAAGTGATTAAGTGTATTGCTACAATCCATCAAGAACGGGAAAAAATATTGTTAAGAAAAAAGTGTGTCCCAAACCTGACATTCCCTCCAAACATCTTGATACATCAGCACCTTGGTGATTCAGAGTCGTTACGCAGTGTTAGGCCCCATTGTTGCGGCATGCCCCCAACTATGGAGATATGGATGACCTCATGCAGTTTCAGCTGTGCGTGCGGCATCAACTGGTGAATTGTCGAACATCTTGAACCCCCCTACACCATAAGCTCGCACCAGAACATGGCCATAGTATGCCATAGTTACCCTCTGGTTATTTAACATAGCCGTTGAAAATGGCCCATTTATAGATGGTTTACCTATTAAACATGGTGATTTTCCATGGCTATGTTAGTCATAACCAGATGGTATATAGAGTAGACTTGGAAACTGGTTCTCCAAACTGGGCCTCTCAGCTTCCGTGTTTTCAACCACTTCACCGGTGGACACCGCAACTCCTTCTGCTGTTTCAACTCATAGAGAGCCGAAATGATGAGCCGAGTGCTTTGATCCTGGGGTGTTGCTCACCACCACCCCTCTGCTGATAAGCGCCAGCAAGCTCCATATGGGTTACATTATGGGTTTGTCTGAAAGCTGGCTGCTTGTAACCCCAATTCCCATGGGTTTCATTCCCAGTGTAAAATGGTTACTTTGAGGTCTACAGCCTTTGACAATCTCAAGATCTGATTGCACGGCAGCTGACCAAGTCTTTCTGATCTGCCGTTGATGGATTTTGTTGGTAGAGCCACCAAGTTGGTGCAAGCGACTGACACGTTATATGGCATCATTTGCATTTGTGGAATAGGAGCTTGTCGCACAAACACATGTATAGGATTATAATGGATTTTATATGGTTTGGTACCAAAGTGATTGGAACAGCACCATCTAGGCATGTGGAAATTAAGACTCTCAAAATGATACAGTTTTTGTTTAAAGGTCCAAGTTTTGCTGGTAGACAACAGTTTCTTAAGTGATGTTTGCTGTTTCATTTTGTCTGAAAATAGAACACCACCACATTTGATGATTTCTGTTTACCCTCTGGTAATTTAACATAGCTATTGAAAATTGCAATTTATAGTAGATTTACCCATTAAAACTAGTGATTTTCCATAGCTATGTTAGTTTACCAGAGGGTATCATCGTTTTCCATCTTAACATGATCATCTGGAGAGACCGGGCCCCGTTTTCAGACGCACCCCAAACATCATATTAGTGCCTGTATATGTAAATAGTTTATCCTATATACATCTCATTTCATATCATTTCATAAAATATATCATATGTTTCCCAACACACCCAAACACACACACACACACACACGTGTGTATATATATATATTATACATAATATAATATGTATATATATATATTATTATATTATATTGTATTATATTATATTATATTAAATTATATTAAATTATATTATATAATAATATTTAATACAATAATATATATATAAAATAAAATATAATATAATATAATATAATATATATATATTAATATTATATACATACATACATATACGCCATATAAAATGCTTAATTTCCTCAATTCTTCTTGATGCACTTTCCATTCTCCATGGACGCGCCTGCAGCTGCGCCAAGGTCGCATGGTCTCGGCGGTACTGCGCAAACTCATGGCGCACCTCCGGCCCAACCATCCCCAAAGGGCCCAAATGATGTATGGCAGTTGGAAAATGGATACCATCTATGGTATGATGTGGAAAATCTATGATGGGAAATCTGATCTATTCATATAGATTTATGAATGTGTCTGGGTGTTCCATCTAAAATTGCATGTTTACCCTAGAATACTCACAATAGTTGGATGTGTGATGTAATCTGGGAAATCCAATGCCATAAATCTACCATGTGATATCATTTGGGGATGGGTTGTACCCATTCAAAGTGATCTTGGGGATGGTTCAATTGGATGATTAATGATTATTAATACTATACAGATCTACTGTATGTATCTGTATGTCATCCAGAAAAATTAGGACTTGACCAGCACAAAGACGGGGGGTTGTGATTTGGTTTGCAGGGAAATCCCACAGATCGGCAGGCTTGACCACAAAAAATCAACCAAATGAAGGCTTTTTGGGGTTCCCGGTTCCCAACATACAGAAACAGAACCTCAAGTTGGTTGGATTTCATCCCTAGTTGGTGGTGTTTGTAATCCCTTCAAACAATCCCCTTCACATGTTTACCCATTTGCGAATCATCCAATCATCTTCAAACTCGCCGACCAAGTCACTGGTTGAATCCTCACAATTTTTTGCCCATACCACCCAATTACTTGATGCTATAAATCGGTCCATATAATACACATGTATGACATTATTATATACAAGGTGGTGCCCCCTAGCCCTAGTTATAAGTTGATTTATAATTCCATTAACTGTAGATATATCTATCATAAGTCCTACTTATTAGAGTCATAAACCAACTTAGCTATCTTGGGGGCACCACATTGTATGTATGTATACACATACACCAACAAAAATACAAAAGCATAGAAACCTGGAACATACAGGGGAAACGTCATCTATAACATCCTGGACACGCATTTCTATCCTGGAAATTCTCAGCTCCAAACCATCTGAAGAGTACTCTGATGATCCTCCATCTGTCTCTGGATTCGATTGAACTCCTCAAAGGAGATGTTCGTACCTGGCCGTGGCCGTGGAAATGCTAGGAAAGATATCTTGGTTTGCGTAGGAAGGGAACAACAATGCTCCATTGTATGTCTGCATGACTTGCTCATTCTTGGGGTACCCTCCAGTCAACCAAAATAGCTATGGAAAACGGTCCAGTTATAGATGATTTGTCCTATTTTGAATGGTGATTTTCCAGTTCGCTATGTTAGTTTACCAGAGATTACCAGAGTATATGGCACATCTTCCACACATGGAGTGGATACCACCGGTATCCACCACTATCCACCGTCCACCACAGATCTCTGATCTCCTGGGAGGTCCGGGCTCGGGTTGTGACTTCCTGAGATCTCCTGGGAGTTGCCAATGGAGAAGCTCTCCTGTGTCGCGTCGTGCAACTTTCAGGCGCCGCAGATGCCATGATTCATCGATATCTGCATAACATATATATCTATATCAAATCTATATCAAATATCAAATCTATATCAAATCTATATCAAATATCAAATCTATATCAAATCTCTATATATATATATGTATATATATAGCTATGTCTCAAAGCCCAAGATACCCTAAGTAGCCCAAGAAATGCTGAACTTTGCTTTTTTTTTACGGATGTTTTTCCCCAGTCGTCATATGGAAGACGTTCAAACAGCTCCTGCTCCAAGGCTGATTCCATGGACTTTCCGGAGCTCAAATCCTTGGACCTCGCCACGGCCGTTCATGGGGTTGGATCTATGGAATAATCGTATCTTATATTTTATTACCAGTGTGTGAATATATCATATCATATCAAATCATATTATATCATATTATGTAAATCATATTATATCATATTATATCATATTATATCATATTATATCATCTTATATCATGTTATATCATATTAAATCATATCGTTGTATATATATATATATGTATACACTATTACATCTGGGCAGGATGCAGACTCAAAAGGCCGAGCAAAAACAAATATTGCATCTTCATCCTATATATAATATATATATATATACACATACATATTATATAATTATATATGTGTAATGTACAGTACACATTTATTTGGATCTGCATCCCAGCTTTGGAAAGAATGCTTGGAATACCATTCTTACCACATACTAACTGTGGCAAAAGTACAGTAGGTCAATCTACCAGCGGTGGTACCCTATCAGTGTAGGCATCCTCGAAACTGCTAGAAAATAAGCAATGAGATGCAGAGTATTGCGAAATACCCTCAAAAGCTCCAGGAAAATCCTCTGATACCTGCATTTTGCAAACAGGTTTGATGCCAGTTTTGAGGTGTTTCATTTCAACGGAAGGATCCGTGGCTGGATTTGTGCGGAAATCACCTGCCGGAAGCTCTGAGGCCGCGCGCTCTTTTTGAGCAGCCTCGGATTTCAACCTGCCAGGTGGCAGTCTTGAAACTAAACACGTTCCTGATGAACTGTCGAGGTGATGATCCATGTCCATCCATGTTCCACTTTACCTCATCTGAATATCCACTGAGTGTGGTATCATCAAAAAACAGAAGCTGAGTAAGGCACGGGACAATTTTTACATGCAACTCCCCGGCCACGTCCGCTAGGACGCTCATAATCTTGTTTCATTCGGGTTTCATCTCATTTCAAGGGAGACTCATAATAAAGAACCGATGACTTTGGGTTTCATCTCATTTCAAGGGTTGTTAGATCAAATCTCCGGCTCCAATGGCTTTGGGCATTGGACAAGATTGGGCAGCCCAGAAAAAATGGTTGCTAGATGTTGCTACTAGAAACCACCCATTGTCCAATGGTGGATTCCAAGGTCCCAAGGTCGCCAAGTGCGACTCGAGCACTGGAAACAGGGCAGCGCTACTTCTGATCCATCTTCTTCAGAAGCCGTTGATATAGATGAGTTCGTCTGGCCAATTCATTCTCCAGGTCCTGAAGTTTGGCACTTGGTATACCCCATGAGATACCATCTGGTTATGACTAACATAGCCATGGAAAATCACCATTTTTAATAGGTAAACCATCTATAAATGGGCCATTTTCCATGGCTATGTTAAATAAACCAGAGGGTAAATCCGTATGTGGAATGTGGGTTACTGACCTTTTCCCAACTAGGATGTGTTAGGTTTGTCCAAAAAAGTGCATACTACAAATCCACAAGTTGACAATCATTGCCCCATTTAAGTTGCCATACATTCGGGGCAAATCCTCCATGTTTGGACACACCCACATCATCATATTGCTGAGAGGCAATAAATTAATGTATATATATAACTATATTTATATATCACACATTATATTTCCACTATGTATCTACATCCACAAAAATTGCTTGGTCTTATTCAATATTCCTATATATTCCTATATAATCCCTCTGGATGTGTCATGATGTGTCCATCAAATCCCGTCGAAAAATCCCTGGCGACGGATCTCCTTGTGGATGTTGAGGTTCCGTCGAAGCTGGGCATTCTCTTCCAGCAGGGACTGATTCCTGGCGGCACGTGGCGACCGTGGCGACCAACAAACCTCGGAGGGTAAGAAGAACTGGACCCAGAGAAATTGGTTCTTTGAAGTTTCAGATATGTTGATTGCATTTTTATCTTTTCATATTTTAGTATACAGCACATGAATGTACATGACGCATCATCTCAGACTGAATAGTAGATATTCTTGTACTTCCATCTTTGTGGATATCCCTATAGTGTGAATTGCACCATTCCAATCTTTGGCGCAATTCTGAGCCAGGCCATAGCCGGAAAAAGTGGATTCACCGCCAACAAATAGGGGGGGTTACAGTTGTTTGGTTTTACCACCAAAAAAATATCGCCATCCCGTCTAGGGCCAAGGGCCTTTCCATAAGTTTCTCGGTTTCTTTGCTCTGGAAGTGGAGCTCTGTGAACTTGGCGGTGGCCGGGTCAAAATAGAACAAATCAAAGGAAAATGGTAGGGAAAACCATGGGTTTCTGAGGGCTTTGACGCCAAAAAACTCCGGGGGCTCCTCTAAATTTGCCCATCATCAAATAGAGCCGTACGAAAGGAAACGAACCGTCGCGACACCAAGGACATGCTTCTCACGATGCCCCTAGGAAATGCACAGCATCATCCAAGTAATGGATGATGATGGTGATGATGATTGTGATGATGATGATGATGATGATGGTGATGATGATGATGATGATGATGGTGCTGGTGATGGTCATGGTGAGATGATGGGATGGAGGTGATGGAGGTGATGGCGGTGATGGCGGTGATGGTGATGATAGTGATTATGGTGATAACAGTGATGGTACTGATGATAGTGATGGTGCTGGATATGAACATACTTGATTCACACATGGCCTCGCTGAATTTCATATGGCTGTTTGATATGTGCTGCATACCAGGCAGTAACACCATGCCCTTGACCAGCTTAAGTAGAAATAGTCCTCCGCTGAGCACAGTATTTTTCTGCTGTCTTTGGGTTTGTGCTTGATTATCTCTATTGACTATGGTCAACAAAGCTACGTTGAAGTCCTTTCAAGAGATCAATTTCCAAGTTCTAGAAACTCCTTCATAGCCCCTGCCGGTCTGCAGGTTTCCCCAGTGCCAAGCCCCAAGCCATTTGTTCATTTTCCATGATGGTCCGCTTGGTGGTGGAATCCAACTGGTCCTCATGGCAGCTGGTTCAACACGCCCCATTGATGTTTGCTGGATCATTTTATTTCATATTATGATCATATTAGATATCTATTCTAGATTATAGTGCAATATGTGTATATATATATAGATAAGATCTATTCATGTTGGGTCCAAAATGTGTTATATATATATATATGTATGTATATATATATATGTATATATATATACATATCTATATATATGTATATATATATATATATCTAAGATCTATTCTGATTTGTGTCCAACAGTTCATTTTTTTGCGCTTCTTTTTTCCGGCCCAACTTTATGGTGCGACACGGCGACGACAATCGAAGCTCCTTGGTTCTCGCTCGAAGCTTCGCTGCCTCAATCTCCACCTTCTTCTCAAAGTCCTGACGTTCTGCGAAAATCAACACCAATAATGTGGGAAAACCATAGGAAAACCATAGGAAAATGGTGGTTTAATGGGATTTAATGGGATATACCCAACCTGGTTATGACTAACATAGCCATGGTATAGATGGCCCATAGAAATAGATGGTTTACCTATTAAAAATTGTGATTTTCCATGGCTATGTTAAATAACCAGAGGGTAAAACATGGTAAAACAATGAAAACAATGGCATAAACCATCCATGACTGGGAATGGTAAACATACCACCTATAAAAATGGTGATTTGGGAGATGGTTTATGTTTGTTTTACCCACATTAGATTAATTAGTATTAGATTGCATTTCTGAACATGCCAACTTTAACATTAATATATGAATTGGATTGAATTGGTTGAAACATGCATTTATATAATCGTGTTTATAAACATAATTTGTTTAGCAGTATTATGTGTTTTCCAAGATAAAGGGGTGTATTTTTTTGAAGGTTTCCCTTCAATTCCTACACCAACTTTCCTCCAACAATGGGAATCCAAGAGGTTTCCATCGCACTTGAGAAATCCCCAGTGCAGCACGAGCGTGAAATCAGCCGTTCACCTTGCTGAGCGTTCGCATATCCATGGCTTTCTTTCGGTCAAAGTCGCTCATCTTTCGTTGAAATTCCTGCGATGTGAGCAGAACTGCCGCAAGATTGGTGGCAAAATGTTGGCAAAACAAAGTCTTTTTATGCAAAACTAGCCATTTTTCTAAAATGGCCACTGTTGTGTCAACTTCAGGGCTTTTTTCGATTACCAGTTCAGTCCCAGTATCATGGCCAGCCTTAGCTACATATATATATATATATATGTATATATATATATATCTATATCTATATACATGTATATATATATATATATGATATTTTTATGATATAGTTATATTCATCAACGGTTTTCAGAAAAAAAAACAATTCATGTGCTCAGATAATGAAAATCAAGATTTTCCCCATGGCGCCTCTTTCGTGTCGGCCAACTGTTGCTTCAGTGAGGCCAACTCCTGGTTAGGGAGACCATATGGATCCACATGGATCCGTATGGTATGTATGAAGTGATAATCAAATCTGGTTAGCAATACCAATCAATAATCCAGTTGGATACTATAATACATTATAATTCTTTATTTCATGATCCTCCAAGTGATAATTCTATTCAACTATGGTGGGGATACAATGGAATTTTCTTGCCACTGATAATGGAATATATTAAACTGAAGCCAAAACTGATTGAGTCAAGATGTTTCGACTAGACTCTCGACAACGACCAGATTGCCGAGTCTTTAAACTTAAGACAAGAACAACCAGAATTCAATGGATTTCATGAACAAACCTGGGGGGAACTGATGGAACTGAGGGGGACCGGGACCAAAAAAAGTAGTCCATGGTTTTCCAAACGCACAAGGAGACATGGTGAATAATTTTGGGGTGGCTCATCATGCCCAATGGACATAGCTGTGGCAGCTTGAGTCTCTAGGATAGTAGAAATGGTTGGATTAGAGAACACAACATAGCCTCAGTGGTTAGGGAATTTAGCAGAGCTATGGGAAATAATCTATACATGGTCTTTTTTGCATACATTACCCTCTGGTAAACTAACAGAACTATGGAAAATCACCATTCTTAATGAGTTAATCCACTAGACTATAAATGGCTATTTTCAATAGCTACGTTTGTTTACCAGAGGGTAGATTACCGGAGACTATTTAGCATCCCTGATCCTGACCTACGAACCATAGCTTCGGTGCCTCAATTGCCTGCTGCTATGATTCGCAAAAAAGTCACCATGTCAATGACAAAACTATTAACATCTATTAACCGTATACTCCAAGTCGGACAGAACGCAGGTCAAATGGTTTTAACGATTGGTGCACCCAAATATGAGATTTTTTTTGATACCACATCCCATATCCCCCAATGGGTATGGGTCGAATCTGGTGAACTCAAACCTCTATGATTGATATAGCATGATATAGCAACAAACACTGCTGGGCGAAACTCATCCCATGAAGAAATCGATTCTTTTTATTGATAGTTTTTGAGGAGCACCATCCCATGAAATCATGGTTGAACATGTACTAAGCAGTATTGAAACACCGAGAAAAACTCATTGCAATGCAGTGGAGCACCATCCCAAACAAATCATGGTGAAATCTCCACTGGGCCGGAGCTCCTGCTCCATGTTCTCTTTGTTCCGCTGAAACTCTCGCACCTTGGTTTGGGATTGTCTGGGGGGAAATGGACACAATCATTTGAAATCTGGAAAAGCCACCGATCATCACATTTTTTTCAAAAAATGAAGGCACCAAGCAGATCATCCTCCACACAATGGCGTGATTTCACACCACAAAACGCGCAGCGCCATGGCCTCGTCAAGCTGCGATTGAAGCTCCTCCTTCTGAGTCTTCAGCTTGGCGATGTCGTTGTCTTTCCTCGGACATTTGACCCATTTTACGTCGTGCTACTGGGGATTGATTGAGTCTCAGAAAAAACCTGGAAGTTCAACCTCCATTTAAGAGGTACAAATGGACATCCCAGGCCTTAATTTCGGTCTCAATCCATCGAAAACTGGGAAGTTGACAGCCACCAAATGTTCGAGGCGAGATGTCTAGTGATGACTTAATCAATTCGTGTCGCGTACTTCACTGTTTCCCATCTACAGTACGTATTACGATAAAATAAAACTGCTTTTGATGCGAAAAGCAAACAGGTAAGCCCAGCAATTCTCAATGATTGTCATAGTTTTTGAATGGTTTTTCATTTTTTTTACAATGGTAAATCCATGAAAATCCCCGGTAATACAATGGTGTTTCACGTTTTTTCATGGTGTTTAACATGTTTTCCATCCATTTCAATCCATATCCAATTTTCCATATTTTTCCATGGTTTTCCCACATTGTTCCATTTTTTCCCACATGTTTCCATGGCATCCTGGTCCCATCACATCTCCATCGCTCTGAGATCCAACAGAGCCATGGCGGCATCGAGGTCATCTTTGGCTTGCTGCTTCTGATCCTTGGCCATGACGACACCGTGAAAGTCATGTTGATAAGGGGTTATATATATATACAACGATAAGGGAATATATTATGATATATTATCAACATATGTGAATTTAATTATTTATTATGATATATTATCAACATTGTGATATATTACGAACAACGTATTTAATTATATGTGATATGTGATTTGCATGAGATCATCAACATCAACATTATTTATAATAAATCATAGGTTATATGTCCAATTATCTAGATGATGTTATTCCCATCAATCTGATTATATCATGATATATGATGGGAATATTAGGTTGATAACGGGATTTTAGTTGAATTCTATGTGATAGATTTTGCATGACATCAACATCAACATTGTTTATGTAATAGATAACTGATGAAATCATAAACAATTAAAGAATAAGATATAACATGCAATAAAAAAATGCAAGAATTGATACCATATGTTACAGTGAACTAAATCCAATCAAAAAATAAAGAAGCCTCATGGCACCATGGCAATCCGGCTTTGCAGTGAAAGATTATGGAAAATAAAGCGATTCATTTCATCCCATTGAAATTGAAGAAGCCGTCTGGCAATCAAAGCTTGCAGTGGAAAAGAATCCCAAACCATGATGTTCATTTACTCTTTGTTTGCCTCATGGTGGAAGAATGTGGAAGATGCTCGCCAAATACATACGACATACCAATTACTCGACTTCTCAATACGTCACGAGTTGCCTCCAGTGTGGTGGACTGAGAACCGGACATCTATCAGTTGCTCAAGCCTTAGGTGGGAAAAAGTGGCGCAGCCCTGTACCCTCAGCAACCTAACCATTGCAGTTGGATGCAATTGGAAATCCCTGTTATTCTATAAGAAAATTGATCCTGAATAAAGCCTGAATATCTTTGAATAGACATCTAAGATATCTATATGTATTATATAACCCATAGGATCCATGGTGCTGGTATATATGCTAACATTTGGAGTATATTAATATTGATGGTAAATGTTACCATATATAGCATACATGGATCCTATGGGTATATATTATATTATATAATATGTTGGTTCATAGTTGCAGCTTGGATTGCTTGTTTGGGGGCCGATGGATAAGCCCAAACGCTCAGATGGAACGTTGGAAAGTCTACAATATCGTAGATGAGTGCAGAAATGCATGTTATTGGGCATATTTTGATTAGGCATATTTTGATGATATACAATACGTATGTAATAAATTGCAATGTGTAATATGTATATAAAACTATATATATATGTACAAACAAAAATAAATAAATACACACCGTATATTTAAATAATGTATTATATTTTTATATACATATTCAACCTGGCTTCAAACTTCTCTCAGTTTTCCCTGACCAAGGCGACTAATCCAGGCCCAACTCCAAGAAACTCTTCGATCCTCCGTTTTTGCTCATCAATGGTGGCATAGTTGTCCTCCAGATTCGAGTGGAGTGTCCTGCACAAAAAAAAGGCGGATCTTGGAGAACTGGAAACTTCATGAAACTTGCGACCACAGATCGGCTGCTAGTCACTAGTCCTTTGATGTCGATATTTTATCATATACCCTCTGTTTATTTAACATAGCCATGGAAAATAGCCCATTTATAGATGGTTTACCTATTAAAAATGGTGATTTTCCATGGCTATGTTAAATAACCAGATGGTATATATATATATATAGTTATCCATTTTTATCCCTAGTTCATATTAAACGGCCTCCAGAAAACATGGTTTCATAGGGGATGAAACATGATGAAACCACATGGGACCACCATTTTCGGCTGTTTGAGGGCTGAACCGGGGGGAATTCCTTCGACATTCCATATCGGGGCCCAGGGTACCCAACTTGGACGCATGGCAGGGCTTTCTGCGCCTGAGGATGTCTGCCTGAGTCTCAGTCTGCGAAGTGTACTGCGTATGGAGGATGGAATTATTCACCTGCGGGGCGAAAGCTTCCGACTGTTGGGAAGAAGCGGATAAAGGTTCAGAATCGAGTTTGTCCAAACCTGGAACTTCCTGGAACCAATGTTTCTGAATGGAAATCTCACATGAAGAGCTAGCTTGGGTTTTATACAATCGTTATCGCCCCTGTGTCATTCGGCACCCCCAACCAGTGGATCATCCTGATGAACAGCCTCTGCGGGGCCTCAAATGAACAGATCCACTCAACCAGAATCTCGATTGGCGCTGTTTGCTACTTGGAAAAGGATTACATTTTCCCATACACCTCGATCCCTGACCCATCTGCCTTCAACTCCTTGTTTTCTGCCTCCAAACGCCATACCTGAGCGCATCAACAGAGTATCTAATGACTTTTCCCAGGTCCAATGCGCTCCAAATCGTATTTCTGGCTCTGCCAGGCTCCCCTAAAATCCCTGGCCGCCCAAAGAAAAAATCGTGCAAAATCAATGCTCCAATCGACCATCTTGTTCAGATGTTGCAGCAAACCAGCCCGTCTCATAGGGCTCAACTTGTTGTTCGTCAGATCCACAGGTTGGTCCGGTTTGTATGTGTACGCCTTAAGTTTTGCCGGTGAATTATCCCTGTTTGCTTGCTTACCTTTCAACCACATGCTTGGTCCGTTTTGATACCTGTGCATGCTGATACAATCCTCCAAATGGTTGCTTGACAACATATCCAATCTTTAAATTGATAAACTTGAGAAGTATATCTTGAGATATCTATCCACATATTATCTTGATCAATATTTCCTGAACTTGTTCCCCAAAAAACTCCACAAGTTCTCTATGCTCAGCCACTCGTTCTTGCAGCTTTCGGAGCGTGAAGTGCTCCTGGACCTTGGTCATTGCACCCTTGATCCATCTTGGTGACTGGGCTGTTAAAGTGTGGCCTGGTGTTGCTGGATACATGCTTGATGTTGCTGCAATGTTGATTTCATCCAACTAGCCTGCTATCGAGGGGTGGAATCGAGGGGTGTGAATCGCCTACACTCGGTTGGTTCTCCGATGATAGTACAGGTGCAGCTCAGTCAACACTCATCAAATTCTGGACCTGTGGTGTGGTACATAGATGAGACGCCGAAAAAAAATATCAGGAAACCAACATGTTTTACTCTGTTTATAGTTGCTAGTCTTTAGAAGGAAACCTATTTATCCATTATCTATCCAATTAATCCAATTCAAAACTTCAGGTTCTTGAGTCTTTTCCCAGAAAAGTAATACTGATCCATATTGTCTTCCCAGTACAGGGACTTATCTCCACAATGCTCAATCTCGCCTGATCCGTTCGAGCATCATCCTGGGGGAAGCAACGAAACATGGGGATAGTTTGTTGAATGAGTTTCACCTGGAAGAATGGTGATTTACTGGGAAAATCTGTGGGAATTATATATATGGAAGAATTCCATTTAGATGACATGTTTAGCCAATGATCTGGTTAAATCGGTTATATACATATAAATCATATGATATCATATGGAGGTGTCCCAAGTTTTAGGGGCTACCCCATATCATCCAAGTCATTGGAAATGTGGACATCAGTGGACCATGTTCATAGTGAAAGAACCATGGTATCATGGTGAGATGGGGATTCCCCCATGACTTAAGAACTCCCCCAGGGCCCTGAGATATCCAACCATCAAGGATTGGGAGAACGTATCGTTGATGCGACTCAGTTCTAGTCTACCAGATGTGTCTCATGTTTTTTTCATCTCCACAAGGTGGTGCCCCCAAGATAGCTAAGTTGGTTTATAACTCAAATAACTATGGTTTATAACTCTAATAACTATGGTTTATGGTACTTATAACTATAGTTAATGGGATTATAAACCAACTTAGCTATCTTGGGGGGCACCACCTTGCAAGTTCCACACAGAAATGGGATGAAATTCGGAATTTGGGTCACATTGGTGCACAGCATCCTGACACCTTGGTCAGCAACTTCCTCACTTCTTGTTGGCGAAGTCCCCAATTTTTTGTTTTTTTTTAATGGTGGTATATTGCCCATAAAATCCCAATCCCATCATCATATTATATTCTATAATCTATAAGTATCATATATGGTACACCCTTGATCACCATCTATACCCTTCACAGGAACCAGAAGAAACTGCTTGGTGAGTCCTTTAGCAACGCCATGGACGTCGCGCGGCGTGCGCCGCGTGCGCCGCCCGTCCCGACTACGACTTGAACTGGTCAGCGCAGCGCCCAACATCCAAAACCATCCGAAACTCATGGGAACTCATGCAGAAAAAGTTGCAAGAGAAAGGGACTTCGTATACTGTATACTTTAATGACATTAACATATCTCCACTGTGATCTTAAGTTGATCCCAGCTGGTGATTTCATCATGATGAAATTTCCTCAGAATTGATTTTGGATTCTGTTCGTTGAAGGCCTGATCCATGCCCTTTGAAGTTTGGTGTAAGGTCAAAGAAACAAGAACCCTCATCCCAACCGACAAGCATCATCCACTACGCAACAGCCGCTATGCAGTACTGGAATACTCGCACATACAATCATTACAATCAGGGTGCAGTGGATGATTTGGGGGGAGCATCTGCAATCGCAAATATTGAGCACCCGAACAAAAACACGCTAAAAGCCATGGCTAAAAGCTGGTTGTTTTGAGAATTCGCACTCCCAGCTCAGATCTGATCAGTACCCTCTGGTAAACTAACGTAACTATGGAAAATGGTCATTTTTAATGGGTAAATCCATGTAAATCCACTATTTCTATGGCCATTTTCAATAGCTATGTCAACCAGAGGGTAACTCCAGTCCACTTGGTGCAATCGGAATTTTCCTTCTCCGTTTTGTAAAGCGATTGCGGGATCATTGCCCAGCCATGCCGCGGCCCATAGCGCCCCTCAAAAAAGCTGGGGTCCACACACGGTGGGGGATACGACGCAGCATCATAACTCGTAAGCTCTGCGGTGGTCATTAACCACCTGTGGGCGGAACAAAGCTTGACAGATTCTCGCGTAAAAAATGTCAAGTATGGACCAGTATGGACCAGTACGGAGGTTCCTAAAATAGGGGTATACCCCAAATCATCCATTTTAGTAAGATTTTCCATTATAAACCATCCAGCGTTTTTGGGCTACCCCCATTTGAGGAAACCATCCACATAACTTCCACATGGAGCTGGGTGAGATGCTCAAGTTGTGGTCGCGAAACCTGTTTCATGGTCGGCAAATTTAATGGCAGATACATATTAATATATTAAATACTCTTATCTTATACAGATCAACCCATCCTAACCTAACCGGAAGTATCTGAAGCATCTGACGTCTGACGTCGTGAATTTTACCTAGCCGCAGTGTCCCTTCATCTTCTCCCCTTCCATCCCACTGGTTGTCGCTTGTTTAGAAGGACGATCCTGATCCCATTCCATAGTTCCATCCAAGTCGAGTCGCTGGGTAGCCCTAAAAAACCGATGGTGTCAATAATGATCCAAAGAATTCCCAGGAGAAACATTGGATGGTTTCATTGCTAGAAAACTGGGATAGTGTTAGTCTTGACACTTATCAAATGATTTGGATTGCTACATATTGCTACTAAAGAATGACCTCTAAAATCAATCCACCGAAAATCTGATAAGTGTCCAACAACCTCTTAAAATCCCGCAGTGATGGTTGATCGGAAATTCAGACATATCCGCAATGGAAAATACTCCGACCATATGTTTCCGCATAGATATCATAAAATATAATGAACTATCCATAAATATCAATTGTAATCATGTGCTCTAAGCATGCTTATATCAAAGCAATTCAAACTCAATATCCAATGCATATTTTGTTATAATCTTATATATATCATATCTATATATATATATAATGGTTCTTTCAATATCTTTCAAGCTCTCCATCCATAGCTCTTCCCTTAAAACACAACGTCAAACAACAGCCCCGCCGAGGCACGGCTCATGGATCAGCTCCATGGGCACCTTCTGCAGTTCCGGCAACCAGCGACGGAGGTAGAGCCCCTGAGGGTCCAACTTTTGACTCTGCCGCACCTCGAGCAGCGACACGGAGGCACGGCTGGGCACACATTGAGATGGGAGATGGAGATGGGGATGGGATGGAAATGGTATTTATATGACATCAAATGGATGTAGAAGATGGATGGCAAGTGGGTGAAATTGCTAAATTTGGGATGTATGAGATGGATTTGTGTTGTATCATTATGGGTTTACCAATGGTTTTTACCGGAGAAAAATGAGTGTTTCTGCATATTTTACCTTGCTTACACTTATTCTGGGACTATGGTGGGGGAGATTGTATAAAGGGGATAGATGGGGGATGGATGATGGTTGGGGGATATGCCAACAGCATATCCATCCAGTCAGCAACTCCAATGGAATACAAATGCAAATTTGGGAAGGCTGTTGAGGATTTGAATATATTGATTGCATCACACTTTGCTGAATACATGTTCCCTTTGGTATATACTTTGTCTGTCTCAGCATTTATCTCTCCAAAATAGATGTTTTCTGAACCCTAAGGCCTTCGATTCTGGAGAGGAAATTCTGGGCACAGTTTGAGCCACGGCGCCACATTGAAACTGCTCAAACGGCCCTCCGTGAGCCCCGCGCAGCGCACCCAGTTGCACCAGTTCGACGTGACGTCCTCGGTCAAGTGGGCGATCATCCGTTTGATCGTCGGTTCTTTAGAAATCCTTGGGATGGAAAACTGATGCATCATCTTTGAAACAATTACATACAATTACTACTGTACCCCCCCCAATGAGTGCATAGATTCATGGCGAGTGATGCCATCCAGCTCACTGATTCTGATCTCTCCATGAGTTTCATCAAGCGACGTAATCGATGAGGTGGCTCTCGAACCAATCCGCACCACGCCTGACTTGGTGAGCCAACCGCCTGTTAGTACAGTCATACGTTTTTTTTGTCCGGTAATCTACCATATCAACAGAGAATTCATGGAAATCATTGAAAATCCCTCATCATTCTCATGTCTAAACCCCAACTTGGAACATTTTGGAACTTGGTTTCCTTAATTTCCAAATCATGATCTGCTGAGAAAGATGCCAGCCTCCAGTCAAAGCTCATGGTGTAGGCCAAAAAGGACGCAGCATTGAGCCGCGCGTGGTTGGAGGCATAGCCCGTGATGGACAGCTCGCGCATGCATGCATCCACCAATGGATAGCCTGCGTCCACGCGAAGTTGTGAAAATCTGTGGAACCAGAGGAAAGTGAAAGTAAAACATACCGGTATATGATTCATAATCAGCATCCAGCTCAAAAAATCTGTCTCTATACCTCTATAATATACCAGTCCGCACTTCCACAAGCAAACGACATGAACGAATAGCATCTTGTCTTTGAAGTTTTGCTTGACGATGTCTTGACCAACAAAGTCAGCAAAATCATGCTACAAGTAGATCGCTGAATGCTGGAGCCTCGACTTCAAGTTTCATACAAATTCAACATATATATATACATATATATCTATAATTATATATATATACCTTTTACCGAAAACACATCTACATTTCTTGTTGGAAACTCTGGATCTTTTGCGCTTCGATGGTTCGCTGAACTCGTCTACTGATCCACCAGGATCCACCAGGATCCACCAGGATCCACCTGTCCGGCCATTGGACCAGAGATGGAAGATTCGCTCGTCCTGCATCCAGTGTCTCCTTGGCAAACATGGGGATTTCATGGGATTTCATATGGAAACCTTGGCAGAAAGTGGTCGGACAGTCGGACACCCATCATTTGAACCGGGAAAAACCATGGAGAAACTGTTGAAGCGGCTTTTTGATGGGCTTTGCTGTAGCATGGGATTTACACCCCCAAGTTTGAATGACGATATATTTGACAATCTGTTTTATCTGTTTTGGACCGAGGCAGTACCCCATTTTCAAGCAAAACCATACAAACATCCGCTCAAGGATGTTCAGTCAAGTTGCTTGTGAACTACAACTACAGACATAGATTCCTGAAAGAAGATGCAGGAATAAGCACATGTCGATCCAAAAATTATCGATTGAATTGGGTACAGTTGAGTGCTCTCCAACAGAGAGAACAAAAAATGTTGCCATGTATTATACTGGTTGGTGAATAGGTTTCCTTATTGTGGATTATCAGTTTCCCCAATAAATTAGGTAGTATAACTCCCATTCACTCCATCTATTTACCAATTAACCAGGCCTCAAACATGTGAATTCACGTGGCTCGAGTGTCTTGTAGTTCTTCACTCCGCCCTGTCGGTAGATGTCCATACCTGCGAGATGTGACGCTGGTTTTCCGGTTTCAGTCCATCAGGATTATGCTGTATGAATAATATGTATGAATTGGACAGTTGAACTAATCATTCCAAACAATCATGATTCATGATGCATTTTGCGATGACACTATAATAAAACCAACAAGCTTTATCATGTTAATGTTGCATTCAAGGGTTGTTTCTAGCCTACCATCAGCACCCATGAGCATTATCTACATCTGATTCAGTCTGCACAAATTCTGTACAACAAGGGTCACACTGATCCATCACAAAAAATATATTTATAATCCACATTTCATTCAGGTCTGTTCAAACCCTAGTCCCTAGGCACTGAAAAAAGAACGACTTCCTTTTCGAAATCACCAGCGCCAGCCACCCCCCAATCCACCCAGCGCACCGTGCTTCCCCGCGTAGAAGCGAAAGTAGTCGCGCCAAGTGAGCTCGGTGATGAGATGCCGCGCGTGGCGACTCTCCTCCGCCAGGCCCTTCTCTTCACAAAGGCGAAGACATTCGAAGAAGACCTGGCGAGCTTTGACTGGCGCGATAGGAGATGCTGGAGGTGTCATGGGATATCAAGGAACACCAAGCATATATATATATATACACACACATATATAATATAAATATATATATATATTAATATGATTTAATATGTGTATAATATATGTATAATATTCAGATATGTTTGATATGTATATGTATATTGTATATAATGTGTATGTTTATATATATATATATATTTATGTATAATATATAAATATATGTAATTATTAATGTATATAAATATATGTAAGATTATGATATCAATGCCAAGGTACCTTACGAGGTGAGAGGGCGCCCACTGCCAGCCAGGGACCCAGGCGAGATGCCATGTAATCGCCAAAGATTAACCTGCTGACTTCGAGTCCCATGACACCATGGGCTATTTGAAACATACTGCAACAAATAAATCACATATTGCAACAAATAAACCATCTTGAAAAATATGAAAGTCAATGAGAAGGATGACATCCCATATATTATGGAAAATAAAAAATGTTCCAAACCACAAACCACATAAATACATATATTATAATGCAATTGGTTACCAGTTGGGGATGACATTTACCACGCATCTATGGTAATCTTGGGGATGGTTTATAATTGGGTTTACCAGGCCATATATAGTTGGTTTGGAACTACATCATACTACAGAATCGGTTTGGAACTACATCATACTACAGAAAAAATATCTATTTGAAGGGTGGATAATAGATTATCCATTTTTAGCTGCTTGGGAGTCCAAGGCCTTGTCGGATTTGATTGGACGGTTCTTCTTCCAACCATTGGCACAAATCATCGCTGAAATTCCCATCTGATAGTTGATGTATGTTGATTTGACTCACGCCAGTGAGGAGTTGAGGTGAACCGTGAACCCTCGATCCGTTGCTCCGTCTGTAGTAGCAAAGGGACCACAATTGGTCATGTTTAGCACTAGTTTATACTAATTGCACCATCCAATTTTGTGCCTGAATGATGTCGAGCGCAATGTAATGCACCAATCTCAAGTCTCAATTTATGTCAACATATCGACTTTGGTTGATTCAGGGTCAGGCGGGGTCAGGGGGTGAGCCACACCGCATAAAAATTGCCCGGGAGGCTCTGCAGTCAAGCAGCTGACGTTCAGGAAAGTAGCTGGACCTCGGAAATGCCGTGGGCTGTGGCCTGAAATGCTTGGGACCAGTTGCAGCAACGGTCCCCAAAAAGATCCAAGTTTGGGATGAGACAGGGAACAATCCCCTGCAATATTTTGGGTGTGATAAAGATTCCCTATTCATTCTATCCTTTTTTGGTAGCAATTCAGAGCGGTTTCACTTCAAGCAAATGAAGTTTAATCCTGTCTTTTTCTGCCGTCTCCGCACTATGGGATCTTATTTATGATCATCATATGGGTTTGTCCGAACATGGGCTACACCAATTTCATGTAGTTTACTATAATGTTGCCATGATTTTCCCTATAACATGGCCATCATTGGGGGTAGACTACATTTTGAGGCACACCCATATCATTCCGAAAAAAAAAAAAACACACAGCACCAGATGACTTTCTCACCCCAGTCATCTAGTCGTCCAAGGAACGCAAAATCGGTGTGCCACACATACTCTGCCAAGCCTCATGGTGGGATTGTGCTGCGTCCCACGGTGACTGTGGATAATTGATGAGCATGTATTTTTGTTGATTCAGATATTGATATGAATCGCTAGAATTGATGATTGGGATATATATATATGTATATATATATATATATATATTATATTAGGCAGTTGCCCTATCACGTTTTCTTTAGAGCCTTTGGGGGTGGTTCGTGTTCTGTAAAACGGGTTCCCGTGTTCTGTAAAAAGGGCCTTCGTGTTCTGTAAAAAAGGGCCTCGTGTTCTGTAAAAAAGGGGCTCGTGTTCTGTAAAAAAGGATCTCGTGTTCTGTAAAAAAGGGGTCTTGTGTTCTGTAAAAAAGGGCCTCGTGTTCTGTAAATACATACGGTTACATACGCAATCTTTTTGCAGAACAAATGTTACAGAACACATCTAGATTTTTGACAGTACACATGTGGATATTGACAGAACAAATGTATTTTTTTTACAGAACAAATCTTTTTTTTTTAAGAAGATGTATCACAAGCGGGCAGCCAGGCACACGGAAACATGGCTGCAAACATGGGTTGCACAGGGAATATGTGTTTTTTTTACAGAACAAATGTGATTTTTTTACAGAACAAATGTGATTTTTTTACAGAACAAAGGTGTTTTTTTTACAGAACAAAAAGAAATTGCTTTTTACAAGCTAAATGGAGCATTTGTTCTGCAAAAGAAATTTTACAGAACACATGCTCCATTTAGCTTGTAAAAAGCAAAAAGGAATTGCTTTTTACAAGCTAAATGCAGCATTTGTTCTGTAAACATTCACATTTGTTCTGTAAAAAAAACACATTTGTTCTGTAAAAAAATTGGATTTGTTCTCTAAAGATTTCACATTTGTTCTGTAAAATATTCACATTTGGCCTGTATAAGAAATACATTTGTAGTGTAAAAAAAATGTTCTTTAAAAAAATACTTTTGTTCTGTTAAAAAATTGAAATGTGTTCTGTATAAATTCTACATTTGTCCTGTACAAAAATCTAAAGTTGTTCTGGAAAGCAACCTTTTGTACAAACAAAAACTTGTATGTGTGCTAACAGAACACGAACCCAAAAATAACAGATCACGAGCGCAAAAATAACAGAACACAAACCCAAAAATAACAGAACACGAGCGCAAAAATAACAGAACACAGACCCAAAAATAACAGAACACGAGAGCAAAAATAACAGAACACGAGAGCAAAAATAACAGAACACGAGAGCAAAAATAACAGAACACGAGAGCAAACATAGCAGTACACGAGACAATGCAAAATGACAAAAATAACAGTACACAATGGCCTAAAGAGACCTGCCAAAAACGTGTTAGAGCAACACCCTAATATATATATATATACGTATATACACATATGATAATATAAATCCAGAATGTCTGAGTTTCAAGCCAATCACTGTTGACCTACACTTAAGACTGCTGCTTGGTGCAACATGCAGGGTCTACCGGGGGGGTTTGCCCGGAATTTTAACATGTGGGGTGGGGTGGGGTGGGGTGGGGTGGGGTGTGTCAACGTTGGTGTTCATGTGTACACATGGTACGCTGCTGGTGTGTTGATGTGTACACATGGTACGTGGGGTGGGGTGGGGTGGGGTGTGTCAACGTTGGTGTTCATGTGTACACATGGTACGCTGCTGGTGTGTTGATGTGTACACATGGTACGCTGCTGGTGTGTTGATGTGTACACATGGTGCGCTGCTGGTGTGTTCATGTGTACACATGGTACGCTGCTGGTGTGTTGATGTGTACACATGGTACGTGGGGTGGGGTGGGGTGTGTCAACGTCGGTGTTCATGTGTACACATGGTACGCTGCTGGTGTGTTGATGTGTACATATGGTACGTGGGGTGGGGTGTGTCAACGTTGGTGTTCATGTGTACACATGGTACGCTGCTGGTGTGTTGATGTGTACACATGGTACGCTGCTGGTGTGTTGATGTGTACACATGGTGCGCTGCTGGTGTGTTGATGTATACTTCATGTCTGTCTATATATGTATGCAAATCGTGTCAAATGGAAACGCTGTAAATTACAGGTGATTGTTGATTTTTCCGCCAGATTTGGCGAAAAACACTCAAGTTTGGACATTGTCAAAACATTCAATGATCAATTGCATCTAAAAACATGATATGAAGTCTACTTGTGAACAACCACATTTTATATGAAAAACACAGTAAAATCAACACCATGACTACAAGAACAACAAACGGCTGCGGATACTCATCACATGTAGTCACAGTCGACCTTGTTCCAAGCCGGGCAAACCCCCCCGGCGGAGCCAACATGCAGTTTCGTCACCAAGAAACGCTTCACGCCATTCTCTTCTCCTCCCATCATTGCTTTATCTGGCAAAGGTTCCTTAAAGATGTGCCAGTGGAAGCGATGCCATCAGATGCAATGGTTAAAAGGAACTTCCGAACAGAATCATCTGGCCTCTCTGGTGGTTCCATTTATCATATTTATCCCGGAGATTTTTAACATATCACCAACGAGTTGTGTCCGAAGTCCAAAGAAATAGCTGAAGCAAATCAGAGATTCAATCACCTTTTCCGCGAATGGTAGGTCCTTGCAGGATCATCTCGAAACTTAGATCGAGGATCATTGCGAAAAGTGCTTTTCGTTGCTGAAATCCAAGAACAATACTGGTGGCCACTGAATCATAAGTGTTTAAGTAATCCATATGGACTTGAATGATCTTAGATGATTTTCTTTGATCTTACTTGATCTATCTGTTGATCTATCTGCCCAAAGGGAGTACCCTAAATCATATTTCCCAAACCAGTTTGTTGACTTGTTGACCCTTAAATCATCCAAGGAGTGGGGAATCTTTGGAAGGTTACCCAGCCAGTGGGTCCTCCTCAGTATTGTCAGTGACATGCCTCAAATTATGGGTTCCAAAGGCTTCCAATCTAATGATACCAATAAAAAAAAAACATCATTACTAATAGTTGCTTAGATCATCCGACATGTATTCGAAAAGTGTCATCTTGCTGACTCAAAACCGCCCTTCGTCTCTCCTTCCAGGCGGGTTCAAAGTCAAAGTCCAAGCCCTCCGGCACTGGACCCAGTTTCACGTCAAGCGCTGGACGCACCAGACCTGACACTCCGACCATGGCCCTGCAACCTATGTTCAACATGGGGTTGGAAGTATGAATAAGAAAAATAGAAAAGGCTTCTATCACGGTTTGGTGACTGAGAGCCCATACATGGGCCAATATCGGCCCATGATGGTGGGGAATGTCATGAGCAGGGAAATGCAAATGTCAATTGGTTTGTGTGAGATACATGAGCCCCACAAAGGACCAGAATCCAAACTAAAGGGGACGACTTGAAAGGGAAAAGCAACCTTGACAACAAAGTGTACTAGCTGGGGTATGCGAAGCTTTTTCAGACTGTGACCATGCAAGGGGAACTACTTTAAAACATGTTAAAACCAAATTCAGGTGACAAACGGGACTTTCAGACCTCAAATTCAGCCAAGGAGCGCGAGATGCGTGACAAGTCAGGACCAACCTCTGGCTGATGGATTGGTGGAGCGTCCCAAGCCATGAACAGACCCAGGAATCAGCTGCACCAAATAGGGATGGAACATAAGCAAGAAATTCCAAGAACGGAAGCAACAACTGACAGTTCAGGTTTAGCCGAACTCAATGATCATTGACATCGAGATGGCATAGCAACCTGCAATACGATAGAAATGTCCGAGGACTCGGGGACCACACGTTGCGGTCATTGCTGCTGTCGTCCCAATCCTACCCAAGGGATGGTTGAACATGATCCCAACGCGAAACAGTACATATTGGATGTGTCTGAACATGGGGGATATCCACAAAATTGCTATTTAATAAAGACTATCATGATAAACCATATACTGGTAGGAGTAGGGCACCTGATTTTGAGACAAAGTCATACAATGTCATATATATATATAGAGCCTTTAGGTGGGCTTTGATAAAAGCGCTTTGTCGCATCATGTCTTAATCCCAAAGTCCTACAGCTCTACTGATACTGGCCTACATTAAACAGAATTCTAAACAGCTTACACTATATTGAAACATATGAACACATAATAGAGCTATATTATATACCCCAGGCCCAGGATCTCTTAAGCGGCCCACAAGGGAGCCCTGTACAGCCCGGTCCCATCGGAAGGCCTCCTCTGAGTACGCGGGCCAAACTTCTTGGAGCTGATGGAGGAATTTGGAAAAGAACCTTCCGGGAACCACGGCTGGGAAAATATATGAACATATCATGTCACATGTCAATTGGGTCATGTTTGGTAACTTGGGTAACTTCTCCCCCCTTCTTGAAACCCATATTTTGCCATACGAAGTGTTCTTGTTCTTGCTTGGTGTCTCGTCTCTTGAAAAAGCTCCAAACACGTGGCACATGGTCTTTGGATGTTGGTTGTTGTAGCAGCTGAGCGACTCGGGTACATCGTCGAAGCCATCTTTAAAACCGATGTCGTCCTGCAGTCGATTGAACGACTTGATCCATGTTAACAAACAAATCCGAGCAATCCCAACAAGGGCCAAAGCCCTGACATCATCGCAATGTATTCTAATGATGATTCAATAATATCATCCTAGCAGCTATGATACGCTATGATTCAGGCTATGATAGCTTTAAAAAAACACGTCACATGTGACTCAAATTCTTCCAACATCAGCCTGTTCAGTGTTGCTTGATCCATTGTCCTTGTGGAAGAGTGTTGACCCCCAGCAGTAGGTCAACTGCGGACTTTCCTTCGACATGCCAACCTTTTCCAAGCCGAAGCGTACCTGGTAACCGCAACCGCGACGGGAAAGGTGTGGGAGATTCTCCAGCTTCGGTGGGTGCAACGGAGCATCATAGCGCTTTCTCTGGGTCTTGCAGTGGCAATGACTATACCTCTCACTAGCGTGTCAGATTTTGCAATGTTTTTCGGAAAGGCAACATACTATATATATATACTATATATACTATGGAGGTCTATCCTTGAAACCGCTTCAAATAGCATAGGACAATTAAAGTGAGTAACTGCTCCCAATCCTGTCTGGATATCCAACCTCCAATAATTTCCCGGAAACAAAGTCGCATGGTAGTTCAACCGGTTCAACCCCACAAAAATCACCACGAACTATCAGCAACCCATGGATGCCCACTGTTCATTTGGCCCGGAGGCCCGGGGTTCTGCAAAAAACCACCCGGGGACACCCAGGAATCAATCGTCAGCTCAGCAGAAGTGACTTCTTGCCTCGGCACAAACGGCACAATTCAACCAGCGAAGGGGATGATCACCAGGTCGCGGATAAAACACCCTGAAACATGGTGGTCAAATGGTATCATCCCCAGTGGGATGGAGAAATGAAAGATACTTTGAAACCACCAACAAAAATCAATGGTATGTGTTCATATATCCCAGTTGGACAAACCCCAGAAACATGGGTTAACTATGGATTATATATGGATCGGGAATTCCACTCCATTAAACTGATCCCAGGTGAGCTGGTGTCAAGTCATTTCATCAATCCATCAGGAATTGGGAGTCAAACAGCGCCACAGCGCCAGCGCCAGCTTTGCCAAGACGTTGGTCTGCTGATGTTTCCCTTGAAGTATGATATCTTATGGAAAAACATGGGAACATAAAACATGTATGACCCCAAATTGAAATACCTGCTAAGGATGAACCAAGGACACGTGTTTTCCATCCCCAACCAGCCAACCTTGCGCGTTTCTCCTCACCAGTTGCCAGTTGCCCATGGCCCAGTTGCTGAGTCAGCAATACGGAGTCGCCGGAAAGCAACTGGGGGAAAATCTTTTCAGGTTTGCCCACCTCGCCGCGAACTCGGCCAACTCTTGAGCACCCACCAAAATAGCTGTAGTGTAGCGATAACATATTCTCCCCAAACCGGTGGATTCAAAAAGTAGTGAGACTAACAGATTAACATGTCGAACGTGCATGATGAATATGACTTGTATATAAACCATGTAGTACCATTGGAAAGGCGTTCATTACTTGGTGATAACAGTAATCATACAACGGATAATAGTAACAATAAAAAACTGTGATAATGTATTAATATTGCAACTCTAACAATCAACAATATTCATCATATTCATCCTCCTCCTCCTCATCATCATGATCATGATTGTCTTGATACAAAGAGTAATAAATAGTAAAAACAATCAATATAATGACAACGACGACAACAACACCACTACGGTAGAATTAACATTAGAATGAAAAAAAAACCTGACATTAACAGCAACAAAGAAACAGACAGACAGACAGACAAACAAACAAACAGGCAGACAAACAAACAAACAAACAACCGGCAAACAAACAAACAAACAAACAAACAAAGAAACAAGCAAACAAGCAAACAAGCAAACAAACAAACAAGCAAACAAGCAAACAAGCAAACAAGCAAACAAGCAAGCAAACAAACAAGCAAACAAACAAACAAGCAAACAAGCAAACCCACAAACAAACAAACAAAAAAGCAATCAAGCAAACAAAAAAAACCAAACAAACAAGCAAACAAACAAGCAAGCAAGCAAACAAGCAAACAAACAAGGAAACACGCAAACAAACAAACAAACAAGCAAGCAAGCAAACAAGCAAACAAACAAACAAGCAAACAAGCAAACAAGCACACAAAAAAGAAACCAAGCAAGCAAACAAACAAACAAGCAAACACGCAAACACGCAAACAAGCAAACAAGCAAACAAGCAAGCAAACAAGCAAACAAACAAACAAGCAAACAAGCAAACAGGCAAGCAAGCAAACAAGCAAGCAAGCAAACAAGCAAGCAAAAAAACAAACAGACAAACAAGCAAACAAGCAAGCAAGCAAGCCAACAAGGAAACAAGCAATCAAACAAGCAAACAAGCAAACAAACAAGCAAGCAAGCAAACAAGCAAACAAGCAAACAAGCAAACAAACAAACAAACAAACTGGAAAACAAGCAAACAAACTGGAAAACAAGCAAACAAACAAACAAGCACGCAAACAAACAAACAAACACACAAACTGGAAAACAAGCAAACAAACAAACAAGCACGCAAACAAGCAAACAAACAAGCGAACAAACAAGCACACAAACAAGCAAACAAGCAAACAAGCAAGCAAAAAAACAAGCACACAAACAAGCAAACAAGCAAGCAAACAAACAAACAAACAAACAAGCACACAAACAAGCAAACAAGCAAACAAGCAAACAAACAAGCAAGCAAACAAGCAAACAAGCAAACAAGCAAACAAGCAAACAAGCAAGCAAGCAAACAAGCAAACAAGCAGACAAGCAAACAAGCAAGCAAACAAACAAACAAACAAACTGGAAAACAAGCAAACAAACAAACAAGCACGCAAACAAGCAAACAAACAAGCGAACAAACAAGCAAACAAGCAAGCAAACAAGCAAACAAGCAATCAAGCAAACAAGCACACAAACAAGCAAACAAGCAAACAAAGACACAAAGACACAAAGACACAAACAAGCAAACAAGCAAACAAACAAGCAAACAAGCAAACAAGCAAACAAGCACGCAAACAAGCAAACAAGCACGCAAACAAGCAAACAAGCAAACAAACAAGAAAGCAAACAAACAAGCAAACAAGCAAACAAGCAATCAAGCACACAAACAAGCAAACAAGCAAACAAGGATCCAAGCAAACAAGCAAACAAGCAAACAAGCAAACAAGCAAACAAGCAAACAAACAAGCAAACAAGCAAACAAGCAAACAAGCAAACAAGCAAACAAGCAAACAAGCAAACAAACAAGCAAACAAGCAAACAAGCAAACAAGCAAGCAAACAAGCAAGCAAGCAAACAAGCAAACAAACAAACAAACAAGCAAACAAGCAAACAAGCAAACAAGCAAACAAGCAAACAAACAAGCAATCAAGCAAACAAGCACACAAACAAGCAAACAAGCAAACAAGGAAACAAGCCAACAAACAAGCAAGCAAGCAAACAAACAAGCAAACAAGAAAACGAGCAAACAAGCGACCAAGCAAACAAGCAAACAAACAAGCAACCAAGCAAACAAGCAAGCAAGCAAACAAGCACACAAACAAGCAAACAAGCAAACAAGCAAACAAGCAAACAAACAAGCAAACAAGCACACAAGCAAGCAAGCAAACAAACAAGCAAACAAGCAAACAAGCAAACAAGCAAGCAAGCAAACGCGCAAACAAGCAAACAAGGAAACAAACAAGCAAACAAGCAAACAAGCACACAAACAAGCAAACAAGCAAACAAGCAAACAAGCAAGCACACAAGCAAGCAAGCAAGCAAGCAAACAAACAAGCAAACAAGCAAACAAGCAACAGAAAACAAGCACGCAAACAAGCAAACAAGCAAAACAAGCAAACAAACAAGCAAACAAGCAAACAAGCAAACAGCACAACAGACAAGCAAACAGCAACAAGCAAACAAACAAGCAACAAGCACATAAGTAAGCAGCAACAAACAACAACAAGCAAACAAGCACGCAAACAAACACGCAAACAAGCAACAAGCAAGCAAGCAAAACAAGCAACAAGCAACAAACAAGCACACAAACAAGCAAACAAGCAAACAAGCAAAAAAGCAAGCAAGAAACAAGCAAGCAAGCAAACAAGCAAACAAGCAAACAAGCAAGCAAGCAAACAAGCAAACAAGCAAACAAGCAGACAAGCAAACAAGCAAGCAAACAAACAAACAAACAAAACAACACACAAACTGGAAAACAAGCAAACAAACAAGCAAACAACAAACAAGCACGCAAACAAGCAAACAAACAAGCGAACAACAAGCAAAAAGCAAGCAAACAAGCAAACAAGCAAGCAAGCAAACAAGCACACAAACAAGCAAAACAAGCAAACAAGCAAACAAGCAAACAAACACAAACACAAACAAGCAAACAAGCAAACAAGCAAACAAGCAAATAAACAAGCAAACAAGCAAACAAGCAAACAAGCAAACAAGCACGCAAACAAGCAAACAAGCAAACAAGCAAACAAGCAAACAAACAAGAAGGCAAACAAACAAGCAAACAAGCAAACACGCAAACAAGCAATCAAGCAAACAAGCACACAAACAAGCAAACAAGCAAACAAACAAGCAAACAAGGATCCAAGCAAACAAACAAGCAAACAAGCAAACAAGCAAACAAGCAAACAAACAAGCAAACAAGAAAACAAGCAAACAAGCGACCAAGCAAACAAGCAAACAAACAAGCAGCCAAGCAAACAAGCAAACAAGCAAACAAGCACACAAACAAGCAAACAAGCAAACAAACAAACAAGCAAACAAGCACACAAGCAAGCAAGCAAACAAACAAGCAAACAAGCAAACAAGCAAACAAGCAAACAAGCAAGCAAGCAAACGAGCAAACGAGCAAACAAGCAAACGAGCAAACGAGCAAACAAGCAAACAAACAAGCAAACAAGCACACAAACAAGCAAACAAGCAAACAAGCAAACAAGCAAGCACACAAGCAAACAAGCACACAAGCAAGCAAGCAAACAAACAAACAAGCAAACAAGAAAACAAGCACGCAAAAAAGGAAAAAAGCAAACAAGCAAACAAGCACACAAACAAGCACACAAACAAGCAAACAAGCAAACAAGCAAACAAGCAAACAAACAAGCAAACAAGCAAACAAGCACACAAGCAAGCAAGCAAACAAGCAAACAAGCAAACAAGCAAACAAGCAAACAAACAAGCAAACAAGCACGCAAACAAGCAAACAAGCAAACAAGCAAACAAACAAGCAAACAAGTAAACAAGCAAACAAGCAAACAAGCAAGCAAACAAACAAGCAAACAAGCAAACAAGCAAACAAGCAAACAAACAAGCAAACAAACAAACAAGCAAACAAGCAGACAAACAAGCAAACAAACAAGCAAACAAGCAAACAAACACACAAACAAGCAAACAAGCAAACAAGCAAACAAGCAAACAAACAAGCAAACAAGCACACAAGCAAGCAAGCAAACAAACAAGCAAACAAGCAAACAAGCAAACAAGCACGCAAACAAGCAAACAAGCAAACAAGCAAACAAGCACGCAAACAAGCACACAAACAAGCAAACAAGCAAACAAGCAAACAAACAAGCAAACAAACAAGCAAACAAGCAAACAAGCAAACAAACAAGCAAGCAAACAAACAAGCAAACAAGCAAACAAGCAAACAAGCAAACAAGCAAACAAGCAAACAAACAAGCAAACAAACAAACAAGCAAACAAGCAAACAAACAAGCAAACAAACAAGCAAGCAAACAAGCAAACAAACAAACAAGCAAACAAACAAACAAGCAAACAAACAAACAAGCAAACAAACAAACAAGCAAACAAGCAAACAAGCAAACAAGCAAACAAACAAGCACACAAACAAGCACACAAACAAGCACACAAACAAACAAACAAGCAAACAAGCAAACAAGCAAACAAACAAGCAAACAAGCAAACAAGCACACAAGCAAGCAAGCAAGCAAACAAGCAAACAAGCAAACAAGCAAACAAGCAAACAAACAAGCAAACAAGCACGCAAACAAGCACGCAAACAAGCACGCAAACAAGCAAACAAGCAAACAAGCAAACAAGCAAACAAGCAAGCAAACAAACAAGCAAACAAGCAAACAAGCAAACAAGCAAACAAGCACGCAAACAAACAAACAAGCAAACAAGCAAACAAGCAAACAAACAAGCAAACAAGCAAACAAACACACAAACAAGCAAACAAGCAAACAAGCAAGCAAACAAACAAGCAAAAAAGCACACAAGCAAGCAAGCAAACAAACAAGCAAACAAGCAAACAAGCACGCAAACAAGCACGCAAACAAGCACGCAAACAAGCACGCAAACAAGCACGCAAACAAGCACACAAACAAGCAAACAAGCAAACAAGCAAACAAACAAGCAAACAAACAAGCAAACAAACAAGCAAACAAGCAAACAAACAAGCAAACAAGCAAACAAGCAAACAAGCAAACAAGCAAAAAAGCAAACAAGCAAACAAACAAGCAAACAAACAAACAAGCAAACAAGCAAACAAACAAGCAAACAATTAAGCAAGCAAACAAGCAAACAAACAAACAAGCAAACAAACAAACAAGCAAACAAACAAACAAGCAAACAAACAAACAAGCAAACAAACAAACAAGCAAACAAACAAACAAGCAAACAAACAAGCAAACAAACAAACAAGCAACCAACCAACGACAACAATCATCATCATCACCAGGATCTACGACATCTACCATTCTCAGCCCTTTTACACCACCAGGATCCACCAGGATCCAGCTCAGCCTTCACCAGCAGGTCGGAGCCCATCTTGCGCTTCAACGTGCGCTTGAGTGCCAGCACGCTCTGCAAGAGAAACAGCGCGCGGAGGCAGCCTGGCAGATCCCCAAATGCGAAAAATGATGACCTTGGTCATTGCTTCTAGATATGATGTTATTTATATAATGATATAATATATATATATATTATACGTATATATACATATAATAAATAATATATATATATATATTACTGTATAGAATTTGATTGAATTATTTTATTTTTGTTGACTAACATAATGACTAAAACGTATCATATGGAGCATATTGGATTCATTGGCTGTGTCTCAGGGGGGGGGCCTATCTAGACATTTATACGGGAAACGAATCGAAATTGAATCTGGGAGTTATGCACTCAAGTCTCCAACGTACCCTCTGGCAATTTAATCTTGCAGTAGGAAATCCTCCCTGGACATATTCGCTGGATTATTTATAAACGACTTTCTTGTACTTCCCATAATATCACATGATTCTTCGAACAAACAAAGATATATTATTAATATGTTATAAGTTGGATTTAATATAGTAGTATTGCCAAATAAAAACATCAAAATGAGGTCCAAAAATCACGGATAGAACATGAGAGAAACATGAGATAACCTAGGCAAAGCAACAAGGGGCGACTACCAACACCAACCAACAACAATGAACACTAATGATTACTAATGTGATTACAATACTGCAAATCATGGATACAGATGATGAATAATGATGTAACATGATGTATCGGGAATGATGACATGTTGATTTCTTCGACATTCAGAACCTCTGTGCAAGGATGGTATCGCGCTCACCGCTCACAAAACTCCAATATTGGGACCGACACACAGCAATACCAAGAAGAAAGTAGATCGATCCTTGCAGTGTTGATTTACAGTGAGAACATGAGAAACTAAATCAACAAATAAACCAGCTCTGGGCAACATGCTCCTCATAACCAAAAAAAACCAGGCTGTAACAGCCGGAGGCAAGCGCTTATTTCCTGTTTGAGTACAGCTTTCATTAAAATGGTGGCCGTACTTATCTGCTCGAAACACCTCATCATTCCCAGCAGGCACCACATCTAGTTGCCTGTGCGCAGTGTCTTGTAGCGCGTGCGCTGAAAGTATCGAGGATCAAAGACCTCTGGTGGCGATCTGAGGCTTCCGAGCCGAACTTTTTCGGTGCAGCTCAACAGTACATCCCTGGCAGTCTGAACATGGACATGAACCATCTGGATACTATCAAAGAAGTACTAGGTGCCATTGGCCCAGTCGCAGAGGTGTGGAACAGCCTCCAAAGCCTCCAAATACCTCTAGCAGCTCTAGCTTGGGCCCTCTAAAACGGCGATAGTTCCACCCCAAAATTTCGGGGGGTTCCACCATGACCCACTGGGAAGCCGGCATAAACCGGTAACACCGGAACCTTCCTTTGGGCCGACAATTTTGCAGCCTGCGCGGTGAAACATGGCAGAGGAGAGGCCTATGGATCACTATTCTACACGCATGGAGAAGGAAATATTGGTCAGTTGTATCTGGCTTGGGTATGAAGCTGTCCTACGCTTGTGGTGATCAGTGTTGACACATATCTAAATCATCTATATAATCTCAACATAGGCTGCTTGGCAAATTCCCAAACTAAATACAGCTTTGGTTCGCTGGGAAAGACATGGAACAATTTGGGGAATCTACCAGCATACCATACTTCATCAGCAAAGGGTAAAGCCATATAATATTTATTATATATATATATAAATATCTAATATCAAATATCTAATATCCTAATATTATACTATTCTCCTCCCTATCAGACAAGATTAAACTACCATTGTACTACCATTAAACCTCCATGGTCCATTTTTGCGGCTGATACTCCACAGAGACGAATGCGGTCCTTGGCCTCGTGCAGGACCGCATTGTCATGCACGCGAAGGTCGTTGCGAAGCCAGGCGCAAACCACGTTCATCGCAGGCCGCAGGAGGGAGGGAAACGGCTGGAAGATGATGATGGGTCGGGGTCGTTCATGGGTTTCTAACCTTGAAACATCATCTGGTTGGTGGTTTTAACTATCTTGAAAAATATTAGTCAATGGGAAGGATTAGCCCATATACTATGGAAAATGAAAAATGTTTGAAACCACCAACCAGTCATTGAAACATTCTGAAAGCCTACATGCCATATGATAATTGTATAATGATTGGCAATGAAAAACCTCGCAATCCCTTCCAACTAGGATCATCCAATGGCTGAGGTGCAGGTTGTGAACAAGGGCTGCCGCCAAGAAAACGTGTCGGGCTTTGTCTCAGGGGGATACCCATGGGGATACGGGATACCCATACCCTACATTATTTCAGTGGGGACGAATCTGATGAACTCTCAGATTTTGCGATTCCTATAAACTTTGGAGATCATCTAGTCGGCTGCATCATGCTGCATCTAATTTTGTTGGGAAAGTCTCCCTTGCTGGTTTCAGGGACCTCGCCCCTGAAAACGAAATCTAGATGCAGAAAAAAGAGGACAATCATCCTCTGGACCTATCTTTGGGGTTCCAGGTGAATTTTCAGAAAGGTATCCATACTTCACTACTTACACCTCAACCGGCAACTTCACGGGCATCAAAGCATAGCTCAAATCTGATATTTACCAAATGGACCCACAACAACTCATGTTCTAGATATCTCTCTAGTATCCACCCATCCAGTGCTTTATTTGGGAAGTCTTGCTGGTAGAGTTTCCACCCATCCCAACAATGTTCGTAAGTGGGGTTCATCCTTCCAAAAAAAATCTGCTGGATCATCTTTGCTGATCATACTAAAAATGCCTGAACACCAAACAAGGACCAACCAGATAAGGTAACCCACCCCCAAAATTCTGCGCCGCGTCTTTCCACAACTCGGTCCCCAATCCACCACTGTTTGCCAATTTTTACGTTCCTGGACCTCAGGCTCGACAGGGGGGAACTTGGTGGTTTTTGAACGTCATTGGGATAAATGGAATAAATGGGATCAATTCGGGTAACGGTTTCATATAGTTGAACGGGGATATCTCCAACCAAAATGGGCATGGGAACCATCAACAAGTGGTCGGTCACACTGGACAGATTCGGGACCAAAAAGAAACATCCAAAGCAGTGGATCTATAAGCATTTCCAAAAACGTAAGGTTTGAATAAACACTTGCTGGTTTTTTTTTGAACCGGTATACCCAAAGATTTGCAAAGATGGCAAAGGTCCTTTTTAAGCCACGGGCTGTAAAATCTCATTTCCATTTTAAACACTTCCTGTCATAGTGCTTGGTGTGGCCACATAAGTGTGGCGGTACGCTCATGCCTTCTGTCTTTCCTGGACAAACTAGTCTTTGCAGAGAGACTGATCCGTACTTCGTCAGGTCAAATTCATGACCTGACTTTGGGTTGGATTTTTTTTGGCTTCCCGCGCTTACGGCAGCCATAACTCAGCAAAATCACCCGCTTTGGATCTGGTTTAAGCCTTGAAAACAAAGAGGCTGTCCTCGGTCCACATGAGCAGCAACCCAGCCCCTACACCCCAAACCTACTTGTTGGGTGAAGGCCGGGTTCCCATACTGATTCAACATATAATGATTACTGGTGACTATTAACAGATATCAATGGGATATGTTTCCATTCCCACGTATTTTTGCTGGAACCACTGGAGGGTAGCTTGAATGTCGGAAGTGAAGGCGAGTGCTACAGTCACCTGATACTGTCTGGTGCTGCCTGATGTATTAAACCATGTGCTATGTGCATGGTGGTTTTAGAACCACATACAACCCTAACCGACCCCCGGGTAGGTTTACCTCATCAGTTAACCTTCAGCCGTCCATCATTCGTCACCTGACCACCCAACCTTGAGGGGTTTCCTCTACCTGAAGAGTTTGGTTCAAATATGGGGACCCCAAATCATCCCTTTGTAGATGGGATTTTCCATGAAATAAACAATCCAGCTATTGGGAGATCCCCATGACTATGGAATTTCCCATATGGTCTTAATCTTTCATGGAAGTGCTATATATGGGCTTTCGGGCTTCCCCAGCTCCCCCAAAGTTTCCAACAAATTAGGGCCTCAGTGATGACAAGGCCATCAATTCCTGGCAAGGGGTTTTATCACCCATTTTAACGGACAAACATGGACAAACCTAGCCATTATAGTTGTGTTCCCCCCAAAACCAATTTGCTGGCCATAGCTACTTATATGTCCAATCCCATTTTATCCCATCATACCCCCAGGTGTTTTAAAACCATGCCTCCCAAATTTCTTTGTTGGTTAAAAAAACACCCAATATTACAATTCTTGTTGGTTTCATGGGTTCGTTTGTTGGATAAATCATGACAATTCGCAAGCCTGAACAAAACCATTTTTGAGATACTTATCGAAGGAAATTTTAAATGGACAAATGACAAGCAGAGATGCGAAGAGTCAGAGAAGAGAAGAGAGGGGAAGGGAAGGGAAGAGGAAGAGGAAGAGGAAGAGGAAGAGGAAGAGGAAGAGGAAGAGGAAGAGGAAGAGGAAGAGAAGAGAAGAGAAGAAAAAAAATAGAAGATCAAAGAAGAGAAAGTCAGAAGAAAGAAGGTGCAGGTGTGCGAAAAGGTAGCAAAGTCGCGAAACACTATGTTTTTTCCAATGATTTGTGGCTCAGGAGGGTGGAAAGTAGGCTCGCTAAAGCGGCGGGTGCGGAGCCATCTGGCCAGAGGAGAGATGAAAAGTTGCACGCCGTTGTGGCGCGAAGCACATTTGGAAGTCAAAATGTACAAAACACACCATTGTCGGACCACTTTTGGAAGTTGAGATGTCGAAAAAGTGCACGCCGTTGTGGCGCGAAGCACATTTGGAAGTCAACATGTAAAAAGCACACCATTCTCGGACCACTTTTGGAAGTTGAGATAACGAAAAAGTGCACGCCGTTGTGGCACAAAGCACATATCGAAGTCAAAATGTTAAAAGCACATGTTCGGACCACTTTTGGACGTTCAGATGTCGAAAAAGTTCACGCCGTTGTGGTTCCAAGTCAAAATGTACAAAGCACACCAGGTTCGGAGCACTTTTGGACGTTCAAATGTCGTTGTGCGCCACAGGTGCAAGGGATTATGCACCTTGTCAAAAGTGAGAAAGCGTGAGGGTTTTGTAGCAGTTTGAACTACAACCACCACTATACACGACACTACACTACACTACACTCCGCTCCGCTCCACTCCGCTCCACTTTACTCCACTCCACTCCACTCCACCCCACTCCACTCCACTCCACGACAACTAACTACAACTACAACTATAACTACAACTAGAACTATAACTAGAACTACATTACGCTACACCAAACTGCACTACACTAATTACATTACACTACACTACACCACACTACACTCCACTCCGCTCCACACCACTCCGCTCCACTACACTACACTAACTGCAACTACAACTACATCTACAACTACACTAAATTACACTGCACTACACTACACTAGACTACGCTATTCTACACTACACTACACGGCACGACACGACACTACACTACACTGACTACAATTACAACTACAACTACTTACATTACTCTACACTAATTACATTACACTACACTACACCACGCTACACCACACCAGACCACACTACACTATACTACACTACACTATACTACACTGCACTAACTACAACTACGCTACTTTACACTACACTAGACTACACTACACTACCCTACATTACATTACACTACACTGCACTCATTACACCACCACACATTGAACTGCAACTACACTACACTAATTACACTACACCACAACTACAACTCCACTACACTACCACTACAGCTGCACTACACCACACTACATCCAGCAGTTGTGGGTGAGGTGACCGACCAGACTCCAAAAAACACAACCCCAACCACCTTTCAATCCATCAGTGGATTCGCTCTGCCGATCCGTGATTCACAACAAGCATGCTCTCCTATAGGTTTCCCCGCGGAATATTACTGGTATATCCCAATCCTAGTCATCATTCCAGTGAGGTCCCAGTGAAGTCGTTAAAATTGATCCACTTTTGCTTGAATCCCAAGAAATTGAATTTTATACAATCCTTTTAAATCCCCTTCAAAACCACTTGAATCCAATAAAATCACAATTTTTCCTGGTAAAACAAAACCCGAATTTGCCATCTTTCTGGATGCAGATCCAGCTTCGCAGGAGGCAATAGCCATCATCTGAGGCGCGATGGCGGCAGAACTAGAACCGCTGAAGGCTCCCTTGCTATCGAAGGAGGAGACCTGAATGGGGCAGAATGCGTTGAACTGTTACATGTTACCATTCTTTGGTCGGATTTATGGAATTTCAGGGCTTTTATAGAGTTGCTCTGAGATTCAGTCGGGAATGTATGGGGATTTCATGAGGATTTAACCAGTCAAAAATAGTCAAAATGAGAAACACATGAGAGAATCTACCGAATATGATGATCTATGGATTTGTTCGATTGAACATCTTCAGATTTCCTGTAGATTTTCCATGAAATTAATTCTTGGATTGGGCCACGCATAACTTGCCCACAATGCTGGGGACCACTTTCCAGTGATTTGCGAGCATTGCAGGCTGAGAAAGGCAACAAGAACAACAAAATCACTTACTTGTTTTGGGGTGTTTTGAAAACAAATAAACCAACTGCAATTTTTGTCCATGACTCTGAATGAAGATCCCATAAATTATCTGCTACAGTTTCCTCTAGTTCCGATAGCCAAGCAATGGCCCTGCAGGATGGTTTCAGACTACCACTGAGGCCACCACCTCCTGTTCTCCCAGCACCTTAGACTTTGAGCCGTTTCAGCCATGGAAACATAGCTACCTTCTGGTATTGAAAAGCGTAACTATGGTACAAGTAACCCATTTACGGACTATTGAAAATGCTGATTGTCCTATTTTTTTCCGTATCTATGTGAAGTTGCCTGAGGGTATCTCCCATCAATGTTCATTCAATTTATACAGATGCATGCTGTTGGAATCCAGCTTTCTGTCTGACGCGAACATGAAGCCGAGCAAAAACGAGATGCTCAAACCCTCCAGAAAATTGCGGAATTACTAGAATGTACAGAAATCTCCTGTCAGTGGTTTCCACAAATGAACAACTACAAATCTATAGCATTTGCCTAGATGAAACCAAATCTTGTCGAAGATCTTGAACAGCCCCTTAAGCTAGTCACTAGCAAAGGTACCTGAAACACATTTTCGATACAAAGACTTGTTGGTCATTTTAACATCTTTACTATGCAAACCATTCTATTTCTGGGTCTCCAATTTTACTCCCATCTCCATACAAACAAATAGAAGCAATGGTCATGACTTCGAATACCCTGCAGCAATCAAACCTGGCAATGGAACATAGTACATATCCCGTATTAATTATAGCCATCTTTATATATAATCCTCTCAGTAACAATCGTGATTTCCAATATCCAAATATCACGTCTGTCCTTTAACTTCGCAATAAGATCTCCCCCATTGTAAATCCACAAAAAAAACATTTCTGGACGATTTCTGAATCATTTCCCGTTCCAAAAATCCTCAACTTCCGAGAATCTCTGCCATCACCATCCGCGTCCCGCAGCGCGAAAATGGGCCCCTCTTCGCTGCCCACGAAGACCGTGCCATCCGCAGTGATGGTCGGAGCACTCCAACCGTTCGGGAGGCAAACTGCGCGACCCGAGCCGCCCGATTCTAAGGAGAAGATGGCCTTTCGCCTGGGACGATGTTACCTTGTTGTTGTTACCTTGTTGTTGTTACCTTGTTGTTGTTACCTTGTTGCTGTTACCTTGTTGTTGTTACCTTGTTGTTGTTACCTTGTTGTTGTTACCTTGTTGTTGTTACCTTGTTGTTGTTACCTTGTTGCTGTTACCTTGTTGTTACCTTGTTGTTGTTACCTTGTTGTTGTTACCTTGTTGTTGTTACCTTGTTGTTGTTACCTTGTTGTTGTTACCTTGTTTGTTACCTTGTTGCTGTTACCTTGTTGTTGTTACCTTGTTGTTGTTACCTTGTTGTTGTTACCTTGTTGTTGTTACCTTGTTGTTGTTACCTTGTTGTTGTTACCTTGTTGTTGTTACCTTGTTGTTGTTACCTTGTTGTTGTTACCTTGTTGCTGTTACCTTGTTGCTGTTACCTTGTTGTTGTTACCTTGTTGTTGTTACCTTGTTGTTGTTACCTTGTTGTTGTTACCTTGTTGTTGTTACCTTGTTGTTGTTACCTTGTTGTTGTTACCTTGTTGTTGTTACCTTGTTGTTGTTACCTTGTTGTTGTTACCTTGTTGTTGTTACCTTGTTGCTGTTACCTTGTTGCTGTTACCTTGTTGTTGTTACCTTGTTGTTGTTACCTTGTTGTTGTTACCTTGTTGTTGTTACCTTGTTGTTGTTACCTTGTTGTTGTTACCTTGTTGTTGTTACCTTGTTGTTGTTACCTTGTTGTTGTTACCTGCTGTTTGTTGCTGTTACCTTGTTGTTGTTACCTTGTTGTTGTTACCTTGTTGCTGTTACCTTGTTGTTGTTACCTTGTTGTTGTTACCTTGTTGTTGTTACCTTGTTGTTGTTACCTTGTTGTTGTTACCTTGTTGTTGTTACCTTGTTGTTGTTGTTGTCGTTGTCGTTGTTGTTGTTGTTGTTTATAACAATAAAGCATGGTTATTGGCTATTAATGGTTAAGTCAAACAAAAATGATAAAAAAACAGTCACTACAATAGTCAATAACGATGGTTAAACAACCTGGAATGTAATAGGACATCGGAGATGATGCAATTTGCATGAGCAGTGGAGAGGCTAGTTTTGTCACTGCTTTTCCAGTGAAGTTTGGAATTTAGAAATTTCAGCGCACACGAAAGTTACCAATTGGATGGTTTCCCTAAGACGAAGCATCTGTTTGAAGTGATTGAGCCACCCACAAAGTCATCTGTCTCCTCAAACATCTAAGCTTGGAAACTGAAGCCTACGTGAAAGTTCCACCAGGTCTAAAAGAACCACCATTCATTATGATTGCTATCATCATTCTTATCATCATTGATGCCAGTATATGTCCATGATATCATATCTGAATTCTTAATGATTCCATAAATTTGCTGGCAAAGTTCCAACACATTCTGCATCGAACGAGAACAGAAACCAAGGTTTGCTCATCCCATCACACTTCGCCACTCAGGAATCATCCCTGAAGTTGAAGCCACCAATCCACATAACACTTATATATATATAGAGAGAGAGAGGTAGGTACATCCCCCAATGGATGGTTGATGTTGGCTGCACATGCCCAATTCGGACTAACACATATCTTACATCTGCATCAACTTAACATCAACCAACTCCTTGGATTGCCGCAATATGTCTCCCACATTTCACAACCACAGTGCCGACGCACCAAGATACGTGGCCAGACCTTCCAAATCACCTGCTTGCATTAAGCCTTTCTGGGTCGGTCCGTGAAAGACCTCACCACCGCCAAGAGGGTGGTAAGTGGGTGCCCTTAACTACCTTAACTACTGGGGTTTGTGATGGATATCTCTAGAGTTTGGAATATATATATATATATACATATATATATATATGTAGTCGAATGGTGATAAATCATCACTACCTCCTTATCCGGGGGAGGGGGGGACCATACCCAAATGCAAGATACATTTTTCAAGGTGTTTTTGAGGGGGAGCCTTGAATTGAAAATGTACACTTACACAAAAACGGCACCTGGGGGGACATTGAGCAGCCAATTTTCCAGCTCAGAAAAGGGGGGAGCGCCAAAAAATGTATCTTAGATTTGGGTATTGTCCACCCCAGAAACGGTGGCTTTCAAACGGGGGTGATGATAAATCTATAGGTAAAAGGAATATGGGTATCAATATATATATATATGCAGATATAGATATTTATTTAAATGGACATATAATTATAAACCAACCTATAACTTCTGGGGCCCTTCCAAGCAGGGTTGAACTTTTTTTTGGCAAAGACTTAGTGGGGTGCTTATCTAAGTGAGCCATGCCCAACTATGTCAGTATCCTATGTATATCATGGTTTTCGCATTTTTCTTAAGCTTTTCGGTATTGACATGACTTGTAAGACAAATTTAATTCCACTAACTTAGGGAAAACATATCGGTCTGTATCTTGCTCGCCAATAATCCACAAACAGTAGTGGATGCGGTGCTCGTTTGCGGGGCAAATTCAATTGGAAACAAGGGATCTGTCTCGATATAGACAATATGTTTCATGCATGATGTGTTCCCATGCCCGCGTGTTCCTTGAATACGTGGCAAGATTGTGGTGCGCAACTAGAACATATCCGGTATGCTACAACGTGATCTGGTGCATCTGGTGATACATGATGAGAACCAAGCAAAACGAGATTTCATGGGAATATCACGGACTCTCCCCGAGCCCCAAACAACTGCTTTATATTTTTCCCAAGAGATCAGGATTTGTTGAATGGAATGTTGCGATGGTTCAGGACCTTAAAACATGTGGTCTAGTTTGAGGGTGAAAATTGGACATTTTCAACACAGCAATCAGTGCGGCTCCAAAACCCATCGCGGTTCTCCCGTGTTTGCATCATAGACGTTGACATCGCACGTGGCTCCTGAAGCGACATGTCCAGTGTTGTGTTGACGATTTGGGGCCATTTGGGGAATCACCCACTTCTTAGTCTCTTTGTATACTATAATTTTACATTATCTTGATCTATCTTAGATGTACTTAGGCGCTTCTCAAATGTTGATACCCTGACAGAAACAATACATAAATCGGTACTTTCATATTTAAGGAAACAGCACCTGAACCGGCAGTGCTGCAACCGAATGAACCATGTCACAGTTCCAATCTACTTGATGTGAAAACGGAACCATCAAATCATCAAATGAATCCAATGCACAATGGGGTTGAACAGGTTTGATCTCCGCGTTGATATGGATTCTGATCCTCAACATTGCTCAGAGCATCATATTAGCATAGTTGTCACAGTTCGCAATTTGCTGCCTATTGGTTTTTGATGACAACTGCAAGACCCTTGCAAGCCTCACCCTGGACATGAATTCTCTGGCAAACAAACACAGGTAACATTGGAAACGAACTCTCGATCTGCCAGTGTATGGTCGTTCTGGGTAGAAGAGAGACTTTTCTCATCTGGGCTACAAAAGGCATCTACAGTACCTTGATAATCCTTACCATAGACGGGGAGGGGCTGGCCCCAGGCCTATCCATCAGGCTGGAAGCTGGTATAAAAGTGACATGGAAAAATGTAATTTGCTTTCGGGGACACTGAAACATTTTTTGTTGTTCCGTGTAAAACACTAAAACCTTCTCAACTTGTCAACCAGCTTTTTGGTTACACTGAAATCCTACATATATGGATGTTTATGTGCATATATGATGTATATGTCTGTATATATATATATATGTATGTATAGACATACACATCATTTTTTTTGAGAAAATCTCCATAGACCCGCCGCCCAAGTGCCTGGAAAAACCTGCTGGCAGACAGGGATCACCACTGACAGTCCATCCCTGGGCGATGACGGCGATGACATCGCCAGAAATCAATGGGTTTGATCTAAACCACACAAGGTGGCGCCCCCAAGATAGCTATGTTGGTTTGTCACCCTAAGAACTAGGACTTATGGTAGATATATGTAACTAGTTTATGGGATTATAAATCAACTTATAACTGGGGGCACCACCTTGTAGCCAAGATGCTCGTTATATATCCATTAAACTACACAGTGAAACATGTGAAACCCTAATTATTAACTAGGCTTATGGTGCAAAAAATCATGTTATAACTATAGATTGATGGGTTAACTCATAACCATCGCCATGTTACTTATGGTTAGTTAACCCACTAACATGTTACAGTATGCAACAGCTCATGTGGGAAACCAACATAAACCTAAATATGGGGCATGGTTTATACAACTACAACCCCCGTGTGGTGATTTTGGGGTGGTTTATATTATTGGGTTTACCACATTAATTATACAGAGTATCATAGTTGGTGGGTAAAAAACAAAAACATATAACCAAGGGTCCTCACCATGTACTATGCTGCTGTGCTCCTATTTTCCATCTATTGGGAAGCCCATACATCCCTTGGCTTACAGATTTGATGGCACATGCGAATCTCATTTGATGCTAATGGCGCAAGCTTGCTTTAGCTGGAAACTCGACGTGATACTTAGAACTCAGGACAGTACTCACAAAGCTTCTCGAAGCACAAAGGGCTGTTGGGACTCTTTGTGTCCTACCCATCGAACAAGCAGAACCTATTTAATCTTGTTTAGTCGGATTCATCTTTAATCTATGAATCATAACAATTCTTCGTTATTTTGTAATATACAATAGTATGATGCAACATCAATTTCGTAAAACCATTGCCACCAGAAGTTGTGAACTCGTCAAGACTCCAGCCATAGACTTTGCCCACTGCAGGAGCGTTGTTGGGTGGTCGCGGTGTCGTAACCTGCCATTTCAAAGCACCATCCTTCACATCATAGGCAGAGAGCGTTCCTGGACAGACTGGAAAACGCTATAGAAAGCGCTATTTCTGATGTTGACCGGTATTTTTGAGCGCTCCAAAAAAACTGAATGAATACAAAGAAAATATATTGATAATCAAACATCAGTGAATATCAATATCAACCATATTGATAATCAATATCATATCTGGTTGGTGGTTTCACCTCTGAAAAATATGAGTCAGTTGGGATATGTTGGGATTATAATTCCCAAGACATGGAAAAATAAAAATGTACCAAACTACCAACCAGATATATGACAAACAACATATATCTGGGTAAATTATAATATTTCACTAACCTGAATTAAGGCCTTTCACCTTAAGAAAGAAGCCATCACCCTGCCCTGAGGCCCAAGTGATGACTCAGCGGACTGTTCTCGGTTTGCCTTCCATCTTGGAAGGTGATGTGGTTTACCTGAATTAAGGCCATTTGGGGATGATTTCCCTTATTAACCATGATTCCAGTGAGGTCACAGTGAGGTCGTTATAATTTACCCAGATATATGCACATCACTCACAGATATTAAGAAATTCTTGCGACATAGGTGCCCCCAGTTTGAGCCATAGATTTGTGTCCGAAAATGAAGCACACCCCAAAGTGGCATTTCCAATAAGACAATTATTATTGACCAGCAATGCCAGTAAACGTGTATATTATTATTATTTATTGTTATTTATTATTTATTTAATGTTATTATTTATTATTTAGTATTATTTATTATTATATATTATTAGTTATTATTATTATTATTTATTCTTTATTATTTATTATTAATTATTATTTATTATTAATTATTATTTATTATTATTAATTACTATTAATTATTATTTATTACTATTTATTATTATTTATTATTATTATCATTATCATTATTGTTATTTAACGATATTATTATTGTGATTATTATTATTATGATTATGATTATTATCATTATTATTATTAATATTAATTATTATTATTATTATATATATATATATATCATGATTACATTAATCACTAAGAATCATTTTGTCAGCACAGCAACAACAAACGTTTTGCTCTTTTTCAGCATTTCGTCATGGCCTGGAAGTGTTGGAGGATCCCAAGTTAGTTTCGTCATATAACCCGGCGGATGGTTGTTGTTCACCGTATACCTCAGCCCGATCGACCAGGCGCAGGCCCGACTTGTTCGGTTTCTGTGACATATGTCATGGTCATAGAGTCATAGATGTCATGGTTTTCAACTTTCAACACCCCAAACTGGGGTACAGCACGCTGAAATTTGGATGATTTTGAATGAATGTTGACTCCGCTTCATTGGGGGAGTCACATTTTAGGAGAAAGTTATGACTTTTTGGGGATCATTCCCCTAAGTAACCAACCAGTGCCTATTCAATCCAACCTGACATTGTGGGAGAACTCCCCAAGATAGAAAAAATAGGAAGGTTCCACCCGTTTGTCTGAGGACCCCTGAGGTATAGAATAACGCCATACCATAACACCCACCTCTCTACAATGATCCTATCAAACATCATTGAAACCAGGATTTGATTTGCAGGTCTGTTTGCCCCCCAGCGAAGCACCACGGAAAATCTATGATTTGCAGGTCAACCTTGCCTGCCTTGGTCATTCCTAGTACTGAATTGTCCATTATCCAAGCACACCCCTAATCCAATGCCTGATCCCATGGTTTCAAACTTGATGTTCTCCATGTTTGATGGCCAGAAAAGCACGAGGCTTTCCATGTGTTAATTGCCACACAAACGCGAATTGTCTGAAATTACCTTAAGCATACCAACAAAAAACATGTAATGTTCCCCATAGAAATAAACCTTACGACCTAGCAAATATCGCAAGTGCCAAAAAAATGAATAACAGAATGAATCAAAGCAACTGCTGACTCAGGGAAACAGAATGAATTGCCACTAATTTCAGTAGGATCTTACCAATTTCTATCTGCTTGGGAGGTCACCCTCTGGTAAACTAACATAGCCATATATGGTATAGATGGCCCATTTCGGATGCTGATTTATTACTTTTTTCACTAGTGATTATCCATAGATGTGTTCGTTTACCGGGTAAACCCGCTTCAACCACCTTTTCGAAGATGTTTCCCCCTGATTTTACCACTAAAACCTCCATTTATAAGGGATTTCCCCATATTTCCCATGATTTTCCCTATGATTTCCGCGCCCACGCGCCAGGCGCCACCAGGCGCCACTGGCGGCGCCACCAGGCGACACGAGGCCATTGGGCCCCAGAGCAGCCCCACCATCTGTCCAGGTGCCCTCCAGGCCGCCAGCCTATCAGGGAATATGAAGCCGTTGATAGTTGATAAATGTTGACAAAATCCATGGGCTATAGATGTTTTTTCTGCACTTTAGAGGGTGAAAACCACAACCAATGATCTAACGTATCTGGTTGGTGGTTTCAACCATCTTGAAAAATATGAAAGTCAATGGGAAGGATTATCCCATACATTTTGGAAAAATAAAAAATGCTCCAAATTACTTTACTTCGTGTGATCCCCACCATGACATTTATACATTTTCTTACTGGCAAATCTTCTGGCATTCTATCTGACATATCTTCTGACATTCTATTTGGCATTCTATCTGGCATATCTTCTGGCATATGATCTGGCATATCTTCTGGCATATCTTCTGGCATTCTATCTGGCATATCTTCTGGCATTCTATCTGGCATATCTTCTGGCTATCTCATATCTCATATCTTCTGGCATTCTATCTGGCATTCTATCTGGCATATCTTCTGGCATATCTTCTGGCATATATTCTGACATATCTCTGGCATTCTATCTTCTGGCATTCTATCTGGCATATCTTCTGGCATTCTATCTGGCATATCTTCTGGCATTCTATCTGACATATCTTCTGGCATATCTTCTGGCATATCTTCTGGCATTCTATCTGGCATATCTTCTGGCATATATTCTGACATATCTTCTGGCATTCTATCTGGCATTCTATTTGGCATTCTATCTGGCATATCTTCTGGCATTCTTTCTGACATTCTTTCTAACTTTCTTCTGCACATTCTTTGTCCCATATCTTCCTACATGAGGTCCGGCAGGGAACACTTGGTTGAGGTCCGGCAGGGAACACTGGGCGTGGATGGTCGTGGTTGAGGTCCGGCAGGGAACACTGGGCGGGGATGGTCGTGGTTGAGGTCCGGCAGGGAACACTGGGCGTGGATACTCGCGGTTGAGGTCCGGCAGGGAACACTGGGCGGGATGGTCGTGGTTGAGGTCCGGCAGGGAACACTGGGCGAGGATGGGTCGTGGGAGGGTCCGGCAGGGAACACTGGGCGTGGATGGTCGTGGTTGAGGTCCGGCAGCGAACACTGTGGATCGCGAGTCGCAGTTGAGCAGGAGGACGAGGAGGACAACGAGACGAGGAGGACAACGAGAGGAGGAGGACAACGAGAGGAGGAGGACGACGAGAGGAGGAGGAGAGGAGGAGAGGAGGAGGAGGAGGAGAAGGCAACTTAGATAAAATCTAACAACCCTCACCTGGCAGGTGGGGAACCACCAACCAGATTATATACATGATATGGTAAGATGAGATATGATAAGTATCAAGATCTACATTTGGGATTCAGAAAATTGCTGTAATTAATGTATTGTGATTCATAGTGATTCCAGTGTTGTAGCTCTTGTATACTGTTCGATAAGATGACATATGGGTGTCTGAAGGTAGGGGGTACCCAAAAATGGTACGATTAGAAGGGAAGATGATGGTGGACATTGATGAACCATTAAATTTGGGGGGTACCCTATTTTCACTCAAATCCATACCCATATTTCCCATATTACTGAAACCATTATGATATATTATGATATAGATATTTAGTATATTCTAACATTTGGGATAAGTTAGTACGGATAAACAGCAGCAATTTATTAATCTGAAAGGAAATTAACTGACATAGACATGATTTGGGATACGAGTACCTACCTAATCTTACCCCGTCCCCAATCGAATTCCCGCAATTTCAGTGTCGTGGCGATGGACCAACGTTGTTGGTATAGTGACCATATTAGCCTTTTTTAAGGGTACCCAAATTTTGACTCATCTTCAGATTTGGTGATCTGCAGATCTTCCCGCAAACTCATTCTGAGATGGTACCTCGCAGACCCATTCCTTGCTGAAAAACTTGCAAGAATAGGTCTAGACTGCAATCAAACCAACCCGACGAAGTGGCTGGTTGCTCGCTCCAGTTCCATCAAATTGCAGCAATCCAAGGATTTGATGGTGATGTAATGGGGACAGCAAGGAAGCAAACTGGTCTATTCAAGCCAATGGAACAAATGGAAGAAATAGCGATTTGGGCATCATCTTATTGCAAACTGGGATATTCCACCAACACTAAATTAGATCCACTTGGGATTCCAAAAAAAAACGTGGACAAACGATCACACATGTGTTCACCCCCAAAAATGGCAGTGCGAGCAAAGCAACTGGCACTCAGCGGTCATGTTGCAAAGCTTTGACGCCATCCCGAACATGGAAACATTCAGGTTGAATTCACCAAAACGGTATTCTCCTTTCATGTTGATGCATGTTGATAGTATTCTGTTGCTATTGGGTTGGTTCTCAAAATTGGTTGCCGTTTCAGCCACTTATTTTTGCCAGTTCCTGAGGATAGCACTCGCCTTCCACATCAGCTTTCCCTCAAGGCTAAGGCGATAGGCCTTCCCTGTCATGTCCTCGCGGTCAAGGCGATCAAGGCGATCAAGGCCCACGGGCGTTGGAAGCTTGGAATATTTGGAATCCCTTGAGCTAGTAGATTGATATGCCTTTATATAATTTAACTTGCTTAAAAAGTAAGGGGTATGGTTTTGGGGCCCTATCGCTACACATGGTTTTGTATGTATGAAGATGGAGGAACAAATCTGTGTAAGGAAGCGAGGAAGGGAGGAAAGGAAGAGGCAATGAAGAGAGGAAAGGGAAGACAGGAAAGGGGAAAAAGGAAGGGGAAAAAGGACGGAAAAAGAAAGAGGAACAAAGAGAAATTAAATAGGACAGAAAGAGGAAAGGAACAGATAGGGGATGGCCCGGCACATTGTGCATCTCCCTCTGGATATCAATAAACAGTACGACATGGTGTCTTTTTTTCTGAAAACAACGTATCGCAAATTCCAGTGGTTTATCATCATTTCCAACTTTATCATAAATTTCCAAAGGAGCCGTTAAGAAACAACAGTCCGGGTTAAGAAACCGCAGTCGGAGTTAAGACGCCCTGTGGTATACTACAGTATACATAGGCTATACCGGCTAAATCCTATCTTCCCTCGGGGAGTACCCCGATCTTGCAGCACTTGTATCTTGAAGATGCAGCTTAAGATACGAGGTAAACGTCCGAAATACATGAGTTTATTTCAGCCAAAAACTACAAGAAACCAAAGGTCATCTCCATTATTCACTTCTGGGAACAACAGTTTGTTTACAGCCATTGGCTGTTCCATGGCGAATAACTCCCTGTATTGATTAAGACCTATCTGGCTCAAGATTCACCGATGTAAAATGGGTCATGTTGGGTCCCGATTCCTTTTTCAACTGTGGCCATAATTTCTGACCTTGTGGAAAGACTTCACCAAGATCGATCTTGGTGACTGTACTGCCCCATCTGTGACCTCTGCCCTAACCGGCCTGAAATACCAGCGAGCTCTCATCTGGGAAGAGCGCCAAAAAGTTCCAGATTGGCATGTCCGGCTGATAGGACCACAAGAGATCCCCAGTAGTGGCATTCAACGCCTTCACATACCTGCAGTTATGGCTCTTTACCAGTTATAAGTACTTATAACCCCATTTATAGAATGTATAATCCCACTTATAACCAGTTATAACTGATAAATGGCCATAACTGTGGAAAGATGCGAAACGCACATGTTGCATTCATGGGTTCCGGAAGCTGCATTTGCTTCATCTTTGATGGGCTAGGAGATTATGAAAAAGTCGTAGCACACGATCCCGAACCATGATGAGTATGATTATTTCAAAACATGTCAGAAGGAAGCACCTTCATTTTGCGGTTCCTGTGCCAAATAAAAGGCTCTTGGTTTAAGGTCGGAGATCTCTATCCAATGACTGAGTTCGTTTCTGCTTATCCATGATTCATGTGCAACTGAACACCCCGGGCCTCGGCATTCATTTTTTATAATGGGTATGCAGGTTGCAGGGGTGGTCTTCACCACAGAAAATCTGACTGAAACCTTTGACAAACTGAAACATGCAAACAGGCATCCTTGGCACACTATACATAGCTGGCAACAAGCCTGTTGCCTGATAAGAGCTGCCACAAGGCACGTTCCCCAGTGAGTCTCCAGTATAGGTTACTTGTCCGCCCGACTTCCAGGCCGAATTTGCCATTATGATGTTATCACTATAATTTTAACATTATTTATATAGACAACTATGTATATATATATAATGTATAGATATATATATAACTACATACACAAATGTGAGTTTGCCCATTGTTGTTGCTTCAAACCAGTTTTTCAGATGCCTCGATTTTTGCCCCCCCCGGTGAACTCGATGAACGTCCAGGTGCTTGTTGGCGGGGCCCTGAGGAGAGTCTCCCGTCCAATCGGCTGCAGCGAACAGAACCTCGGTGTCGCCGCGGCCGCGCTAGGTCAAATCCCATGGCATCGGGTTTTTCACAGCTGGGATTTATGCATTCATCCCGCAAAACCCTATGGTATTCCAAATGATTTGACCCCCCCCCATACAAGCATGCTGACTGGGGAAGGTGTCAACCAAAGTAAAAACATCAGGTCCAAAGCCCCAATGAGGAGAGGAAGGGGCCACAAATATATGGGAGGTTCCATAAATGGGAGTATCCCTAAATCATCAATTTTACAGTAGTAAGATTTTCCCTTATAAACCATACATTTAGGGGTACCACCATTTTTGGAAACCCCCATATAATGGATTTAGAAAGGCGCACTTTGTCAGCAGGTCAGCATCAACCCTTGAAAGGCGTCGCTCAAGGAGTTTCTTTTTCTTGCCATTTTTGACACAGCAAACCATTCCCACATATCTCCTGCTCCTTATGACAAAGCCACAAACAGTCAACAGCATCTCACCAGCACAACCAATGTTCACCCAGAAACCACATGCATTTTCCTCCAGTGTTACATCACATTTCATCACCATGAGTTCACCTCGCCCAAACTAATGACTTGTTCTTTGGCATTGATCCACTTTGTTCAGAGCAACTCCTTTGTGGACCATGTTGAAGCCGTTGTCTTGGCCAGTGGTTTCGGACACATTGGTGTGCCATATCCTGCAACAGTAACGTTGGTCACCGGGGGGGATCAGGCCACGGGAACAAACTATTCCTACAATGACTAGGGTCAAAGTTGAAGTATTGAATAATTGCACTCCCCAAAAGATAGAAGATCAATTGAACCAACGCTAACAGCATGTTTTGCATCTTTTAGGGGTTACTAATTAAAGTCTTCCGAGAAGTAAGTCCTGCATGCTCAAGGATCCAACATTCCACTCCCACTTCCCATTTGCAGTGTTGCAAAACTCCTCGAGTGACTGATTGTATTGACAATCATGATCATAAATACGAATATATTCCCACCAAATAATCCCAATACATAAAGATACATAAACATATGCAGATACATGTGCCACAAATGGTTTTCCTCCGCACAGTTTGGGCACGTACTGAATCAGAATTAGTGAAGCTCCTTCAAGGTTCTACATGGCTTTATAAATCTATGTCTACTACATGACCTGGACGAGATATTCAAACGTGCAACACACTGTATGTTGAACCACCTACCCTCAACATCTCAATGTTTCAGCGCGCGTGTCATAGCAAAAGATAGCAAAAGTGATGTTGGGGCTTTAATCTCTTTGGTCCATCAGGGCTAATGCACCTGAGGTTATAGCCATTTATAATCACCCCCAAAGAGATAGACAAAAGTAAATGCCACGTAAAGTAGTGCAGATTCACGGTTCCGTTTTTTTTTGGGATGCCTATACATTATTATCATTATTGAACTTTGGGGTCGAGGGAGTTGTATCGGATAGAAAGGCTTTGAATATTTCGTCCATCTACGGTAGGTCATTGGGAGTTCGATCTATGATGCACATCCCCGCGGCCACACCTGGCCTTTTCCCATCTTTCATGTCAAGGGCTCGCACTCCGCCCTTCGTGTCGCTGATGTACACCATCCCCTGAAGCATCGTTCGACACGGCAAGCCGCTAGTCAAAGGACTGGGACTATAAGGTTGCTGATATTGTTTGTGTTCTCCTTTCCAGAGCATGTTTGAAATTCTTTGCACTTCTGCTTGAAAGAAGCCAGATTTTTGTTTGCAGTTCCAATCACCGGTTTGGGTCGACATGTCGTAGATATGATTACAACATATTACAACTACATGCTCAACTCCTTTTTTATCGTTGAATGCCTCTGCACATGAAACATGCACATGAAACATAATCAGAACCAGAACCCTACAAATCTGAGGGAATCCCTAGGTTTCTGTTCTGTTTAGCTCCCAAAAACCTGGTCGATCACCGGCGCGTTCATGAAATTTGCAGGCATGCAACCGTGCTCCCACCTGAGATACACAATAAGGTGCAATTGCTGAAAAGCCAAATTTTCCACGGAGCTTCCCGCTCGACGACTCCCGCGTTGCTTGGTGGTTTTTCTCCGTGTGAAAACATTAATCGATTGAAATCATCATCCCAGATTATGGGAACATATCAACTGTCTCAAACCAGCGGCAAATATATATATATAATATATATACAATAAACCTGAGTGTATCGCCCAATTTCTAAGGAAAACACTTCAAGACGCTTGACTGCTGCCCGAACCCGTTTCTGTCCGTATCTTCAAGTGACAGCAAATTGCCGTCTTTGTCAAACTTGCGCATGGCATCCGCACAAGTGAGGTAGACGTTCAAGTCATTGTCCTTGGCCAAATCATCGACCGCTGCGACATGTTGGTGAATAATCCTACCTTTTAACAAATAATTATGTATGAATCACAGAAACAATAGTTTTGTATGGTATGAAATGAAATCACATATTTGAAATCAGATTTGGGACCATACAATGGGAATGTTTAATATGAAGAGGGGATGGAAGTATACTCTGAAATGGGGTGTTTACCCACCTTTCGGTGGTCAAGCCTCGTGTTGAAGCCAAAGGCAGCAGTGGGCGAGACTTAAGACCTCACAATATCCAATTGGCATTGATTATGCTGTGCAAATCCTCTTCTCCAAAAACACAAAACAATACTGTACAGTACGCAGGGCTCATCTTGCATCAAAATCACTGGAATCCCCCGGCAAAAGTCGAAGCAGAATGAAATCCTTGCGTGCCAGGACTTGAAGTCTATATTTCTGACCCCGTGTAGAACAGAGAAAGTGGATTTTAGCAAAAAAACAACAACAAAAAAAACCAAAAACCAAAACAGAATCACCAAAAAAACAAATCGACAGGAAGAATCACCAGAATAAACAACAAAAAACAAGAAAAAACAAGAAAAAACAAAACCTGCATGTTCCGCAGTTTTTTGTTTTTTATTATTTTCTTATGTTTTTTTTGTTTTTTTCTTGTTTTTTCCTGGATTTGGTTTTCTAGTTTGTTTTTTTGTTTGCTCTGGTTTTGTTTTTTTTGTTTTTTATTTTTTTTGTCAAACCCTATATTCTCTGTGTTGTTGGACTCATAAGTCTATATATTCCAAAATAACTTTCACCCGATTTCGCCCCTGGTGTCGATTCCAGAACACCCGGTGTCTGCCATCCTGTAGTAGGCCTAGCGGCAACGGCTGTTCCGTAGGTCAGTGTATGAAATCGTCCCTCGGGATGATGCCACGACCTCATTTTGGAAGCTCTGGGCGTTGGTGTCTTTAAGTGTGTTTGAACATGGATGAAAATGGTGTATATATCAAACAAAAACATCATTTTGAAACCGCCAATCAGCAAGAGTGTATTTGCAAACCCTGAAGTTGGACATGGAACACGCCAGTTCACTAAATCCAGTGAATGTACTGCCTTTTGGGACTCACACCCTAACTGGAACGGGAAACAGGGCTATTCCACGGGATCGTCAATCCACCTTTGGAACTAATTACACATTGTGATTTCTGAACAAAACATGGCCAACAGGAAATCCCGTTGCCATTGTGATTCCTTCATAGTCCTTCCACTACCTATCTCGACTGCCTTCCCCAGACCTACCGTGCGATCCCATCTTCAAGGCCCTTTGAAAGTTACTTGGAGACAGTGTGGGAACCACAGCCACAGCTACCGGTACCGTGATCATAGACGAGTTTCACCATGCTTTACCCTCTAGCTTGGTAAAAACCAATCAATCGCAACTGAATTGATATTCTTCCACACAACCTCCAAATTGTGAAATTTGGCATGGTTGACTTCTAACTGAGGGGTAACATCTTGTTTTGCCATTCATGGGTTTTCCTCAACCACACCTGAAGCCAAGTCAGAGGTGCCATGCCAGGGAGTTATTCACATGAAATGGGGCGTTGTTCTCGGACACCGCGAAGAAAGGGAAGCGCCCGCGCCCACTGGGCCAGTGGTACTTTTCTTCCCTCTGGCGATGGTGAGCTGTCTGCAAGAAGATGTTGCTGGGAGAATCACAGTCCTCAGATGTTGCTGAGTTTCTTCGGATTTCTTCGGATGTCTTATTTTTTGGGGGGTATGGATGGTAATGTTGAAGACGGCACATTTCCGTTTCCCCACTTTCGGGTGTTTGTTGCGAGGCTGCCATCCCCAGTTTCCGCCAAGTATCCTGACCCTCACAGTCACCGGTAACCACGGCCAGTGCCAGCGGCAATGTGCCCAAGAGGGCGGTGCGATACATGAAGGACACTCAAAACCTTGCTGGCTAAGGGTTGTTTGGCCAGCACTGGGTGCTTGAGCAAGGCTTGTTTTCGAAGCGGAAAGTTTGTAAGCAGTGCTTGCAAGATCACAAGCATATGATTAAAAAAACGTGACCAAAACTCGATTGGGTGAACGGACATGCATAAAGCAAACAGGTTGAATGTGGGCGCTAAGACCAGGCATGGTAATTTGCGCATCCCAGATCCAATGCTTCCGGGCGTGTCTATATCTACTGCATTTTGAAGGCCACAATTGCGCAGAGTCTTGATCTTATATTATATCTTATTTCCAAACATCTGCGGGATCTATATTGTTTGACAGCCCAGAAATTTCTGGGTCACCATCCACAGCGCGTCTGAGGACAGAACCCACGGGAATGGTCCCGAGCTGTTGAAGCTATCTAAGTCGTGTTGGGTTGGTGGCAGGTCGTCACGTGAATCCGCGCAAATGCAACTTGCCCATCAAGTGAAGGCGCGTGTCAAATGTGGAGCAACAAAAATTGAATGCATGGTGTGTTCGGTCCCCTACCTGTGCATCAGCTTATTTGCAATGTGGATATGGTGGATGAGATACTTTGGGCCACACTTCCAAGTCATTCCAAGAAAGTTCAAGTGAAGAAACAGGGGATGCCAGCCCTCACCATGTCAATCATGTCATTGCATTTGCTCGCCTTCAACATATCAACATTTTCAAAAATCGATAGTTCAACCAGGCACGATCCAAAAGCCCTGATATAAGCATCAAATCAATGATATTGGCCATTCCCGACAAGTTTCCCGAGTGAAGCAATTAGACTGAATTGATTGAACTCTATCATTGAACAATGACATGGTTCACTTTATCTGATTGACCTGCTCATTTCAACATACTGCCACAAGTAACTGATGAGGCACGCACTAATTATTGCACAATCGACCGCTGCCTTACGTTCCTGTGGGGGGCTGTGGTCCGCGCCTCAACCTGGCTGGTTATTGAAAGCCAACCAACATGGCTTGGTATTGGATAGTACTGGATGATCATTTGCCCCATTACCATCGTCTCCATGGTTCCATAGGTGGCCCGTTCCCAAATGCTGCGAAATGTCATAAGATCGCACCCTGCGTGCATGTCTTTTTCATTGGCCCGCAGTGGCTCCCTCATGTCGAAATCACCGGGGTGGCAAGCGCTATGGAAATCCGCCTGCACGAACCCACGGGAAAACACAATCATCGAAAGGTGGTTGGAATCGTTTTGCAAAAATTGATCGTCATCCCAAAATGAGGGGGCAAGAAGAACATAGTTGACATGACCAAACAAATTCGATGATTTCAGGGCTTACTGACACGGCAAAATTTGGTGTAAGCTTCTTTGCTCTTCTGCTCCTGGTTGCTGTGAACCTATGTAGTTTAGCCTTCTAGTGCAAATGAACGGCACAACTACATGTTTCTTTATATTGCATAGGTATAGTTGTGAAAATATGTGAAAATGGTGTTTGCTTCCTATTATTGCGTCGCCATGATGTCATCAAACCATTCAACCATAAACCTTGAGAAGTTGGAAGACATCCACCCAATAATACAGCGATAATTTTCTGCCAAAGTGAACCATGGTTTTGATATGTTTTTACATGTTTTTTTCCTAAGATATCAGATTTTCCTGTACATATTCCCATCATCCAAGCCTTGTGATGCTTAAAATCGGCCACCCGGCGCCTTTGAAGAATCCAGGGCCATCACTGAAACTGGGAAGGCCACCAAAGTCCCCAGTCCAGGACGCGGGGGCCGGTCTCTCCTGGACGTATTGAAAACACAAATGTAAGGAAAACACACATTTACTTTACAGACGTTAAACATTGTTAAACATATTTCAGGAAACGTCGGGTTTTCCGTGAACACCTATATAGTTTCACTAGTTTATTGGAGAGTAATACGCATACGAACGATATGTTAAAACTATTTGTTGTTGGTGGGAATGGGTATAACAGTATGACTAGACTTGGCGATGCACATAATCAAAAAATCATCAAGCTGTCCTTGTTGCAGACACTGGAGTGTTTGAAACATCTCACAGTCACTAGAATCGCAGTTGTTGATAATTTTAGGCCAATGGCGTGTCAGCTAAATGGGTTGCATCAGTCCTGCCAGCTGCGTTCACGTGGATTGCTTCCACGCGCCAGACCTGGCCAAAACCGCCTCTTTCCGCACAATCATCCGTTTATAAGGGATGAATAGTATGTGAGGAATCATTAAAGTTCAAAAATAAGGCTACAAAAATGTTACACAAATATGAAAAATAAACAACTGCGGTCTCAATGTCATACCAACTGGTTGTACGTATGTTTTGTGTGAACAAAATGTGTACATAGACACATGTTTTGTGTCAAAAATTACGCATGCATATTTTTACATATGCATCTACTATCATCTACTTATATTGAAACGAAAGGAGCACCTGAGTACACATTTTTAACTGTTCAACTATATATATGGGGTTGCGTCAGAATTCGGGGATGGATCGGCCCGCAGTGATCCGGAGGTGTGGATCGGCCTGTGGGTTCAGGGCTGCGCATTTTGACTCGCAACCATATGTATGCAAAACGTAGACATGAAATTAAACAAACATAAATGATGTTACAGAAACAAACAAAATATGCACGCGCGCGGTTCTTGAAAAACAATCTGGGTGCCCCCGGTTTTTATACAAACCCTTGTATGTTTGTGCCTACTTCTTGGATGAACCGCTGGCTTGAGGCAAAACCTGATTGCGAAACAAAATGTGCGACCTTGACGGTATTGTTTGATTTCCTATCTGCTGGCTAAAATGCCAGCTGCTTATTGTGCATGAGTTTGTTTCGCAAGGTCGGTTGCTTTGCACAATTCCTGGCGCACGTGAAGATCTTGCACCAAAACCTGCTGCGCCCATGCTGGTGACAACCCAACACACAAAAACTGACACATGAACAACACATGTTTGCGCCTTCAAAAACAAAAAACTGGCCCATCCGGGAGCGCCTTCTTCCAAAGCTCCCAAGTTCCCTTGGCCTGCCAGAAGTGCACGGGACCATCAGCGGCAATGCAGCCATGAACAGGATGCCCAAAGCCACTGTAGGTCAAATGTTCAATGGCGTAGCAAAGGGTGGCTCGTGACATGTGAGATTTCATTCTGAGTTGCGCGCTTGCCGCTAAAATCGCTAAAATAAGACTAAGGTGGTTTCAGAATTTCGTGCCCCGGTTCCCCCCAGGCCTGCCCCAAGAGCATGTGCCTAAAGCAGGGCAAAAGAAGTGGCTGAGATACGCTGACGTGGAACGTTTGCTGCCGTTGATTCTCCAGCCCCTTCCATCCAAACTAACTTCAAAGTCTCCCATTGAACAAAAACTTGTGCACGCATGGCCGACCAAACTGGCAGCTTCAGTGGAAAGGCGGGCCTGCGGCATGTGCCCAACGTGTTTGCCTCGCGGAGGCCTGGCGTCTCCGGCTGGGATGGAAAAAGGCTAAATTTCAAGGCTGCCGATGCTGGAGCTCCCAAACGCAGACATGATTTGCGCACAGCCTTCATTCCTTGATGTTTTCAAGTAATTGCAGCGCAACAACCGCACAAACAGATAAGACGTTCTTGCTTGCCGCAACTTGGCAGCAGTTCCCTATCAAATTTTCGGACATTCATATTCTGGCCTTTTTCATGCTTGCGATTTGCGATTCCAACTGGTTTTCCCAACCGTGCCATGCCGGGCTGCAATGAACCTTGATCCCACTAATGCGATCATGCAATATCTTCATGACACCGTGACCAAGCTTACACAAACTCCGAGGTTTTGTCAAAATTACTTTGTGCCCCAAACTCAACTGAGTAGGATGTATGTGGGCTTGCGAGACATCTTCACATTTCACTTGGGTAAGATCTGTTCTGGTCTTCAACTAATTCAGACAGCCTATGCAACAAAAAATCAAATGTTAGCAAAGATGTACAATAGCGTCCACTGCCAGCGAATGAACTTCCAGAGTTGAAAGTGCAGCAACAGTAGCTGTTTGGTGGCTTCGATCATCATCCTGAAGGGGGAAGCAAGACTGGAACCAGGATCCGGCTAGGCCCATCAATGATACCATGCATGTAAATAATGGGTTCAGTTTTTTTTGTTGAATTTTCCCAGTCTGGGACACTTTTTCTTGCTATTTGCTACATTTTGGAGCCAAAACCTGTACTTTGCTGAATTTTGGAGCTAAAATATGCCATTTGCACTGTTCATCGATTGTTCCATGGTTTTAGCCGGTTTTTCCATGGTGTTCATTGATTTACCCAAAGTTTTCATTGATTTTTCCATAGTTTTCATTGAGTTTTCCATGGTTTCAATTGATTGTTCCATGGTTTCGATCGATTTTTCCATGCATAACATGCACCTGGTGAACATGTAGAATATAGGTTGAAGCACAACCGTGTTGGTTCAAAATAGTGGCGTTGGATGCTATCATAGTGTTGGTTGGTTTAAGGGTTTATTTAGGGTTGGTTTAGGTTGTATTTGGGGTTGGTTTAGGGTTTATTTAGGGTTGGTTTAGGGTTAATTTAGGCTTGGTTTAGGGTTGGTTTAGGGTTTATTTAGGGTTGGGTTAGGGTTTATTTAGGGTTGGGTTAGGGTGATTTTAGGTTTGATTTACAGTTTATCTAAAGTTTGTTTAGGGTTTATTTAGGGTTTGTTTAGGGTTGGTTTACGGTTGGTTTAGGGTTTATTTAGGGTTACTTTAGGGTTTATTTAGGGTTATTTAGTTTAGGGTTGGTTTAGGGTTTATTTAGGGAGGGTTATGTTGGGTTGGTTTATGGTTGGTTTAGGGTAATTTAGGGTTATTTAGGGCTATTTATGGTTATTTAATGCTATTTAGGGTTGGTTCATGGTCGATTTAAAGTCTGTTGAGGGTTGGACTAAGGTACATGTAGGGATACAAGGTGTGTATATAAAGATAGATAGATAGGTAGAGAGATAGATAGATAGATAAATAGATCGATAGATCGATAGGTCGATAGATAGATAGATAGATGGATAGATAGATGGATAGAGAGATTGAGAGATTGAGAGATGAAGATAGTGAGAGATTTGATAGATATGATAGGTTTGATAGATTAGATCGATTAGATCGATTAGATCGATTAGATAGATTAGATAGATTAGATAGATTAGAAAGATTAGAACGATTAGATAGATTAGATAGACAAATAGGATAAGATAAGATTAGATTAGATTAAGATTAAGATTAGGTTAGATTAGATTAGGTTAGATAAGATTAGACTAGATTAGGTTAAATAGATAGATTCAAAAGATAGATTAAACAGATATGTTAAACAAACAGATTACATAGACAGATTGAATAGACAGATTAAATAGACAAATTGAATAGACATATTAAATAGATAGATTAAACAGAGAGACTAAATAGATAGATTAAATAGAAAGATAACAAGAAAAATAAGATAGATTAGATTAGATAGGTTAGATAGACTAGATAAATTAGATAGATTTGATAGATTTGATAGATTAGATAGATCAGATAGGTTGGATAGGTTAGATAGATTAGATAGATTAGATAGACTAGATAAAGCAAGATAAAACAAGAACAACTGAGATAAGATAAGATAAGATTAGATTAGGTTAGAGTAGATAGATAAATAAGAAAAGCATGGTAAAGCCACAAAAGCCACAGACCCACAAAAGCCACAGAAGCCACAGAAGCCATAAAAGCCACAAAGCCAGGCTGGAAAACAAAAGAAAATCCAACAAAACAACAAAGAAAAATAGCCCTCCATTATTGTCAGACTACTGTCCCTAGATCTTCAGATTCTTCAGTGCCACATCTACATTTATTTATAGATCAAATGCATAGAATCATATGTCAATTCTTGCATAGCAAAATCATACTCATATGTGTATGTATATATATATACATAACATAATATCCACCCCCACCGCTCATGCCACACAAGAGTTTTGCATCATCAGATGCTCCATACGCACCACTGCACCACAGCAATTTCCGCAGCAGATTTCAGGCAAATTCGCACATTCCTAGACTGAAATAACAAGTCTTGGTATGTCTGAAGATGATCAGATCCCATTTTATGGTCATTTTAGTGGGAAACATTTACGTTTTGAATTTGAAACCATGGAATTGGTGGGTACTTCATTCTCATGGTGCTGGTGCTGGTCATTGGGAGGTCGCCTTTTAGCCCAGATCCATAGCGGCAACTCAGGACCAAGACCAGCTCGTAGAACTAATAGACTGTAGTGACCACAACCCTCCAGCACGAACCTTTGGACTCAAATACTGCATAATACTGCATACAGTAGAGGGTATGGGTGTTTTTTTTCCAAGTGGTCTGACTTCTGCTTCCTCTTGTGGGTCCTCAATTTTGATGCCCTCATTACATGCAGGAATCCCAACGCCAAGGCTCTGGTGGTGATGAGTCAAACCAGCCACTCCCATCCAGCTGTCCCCACAAAATCGAAAAGAATAAAGCAGGGGATGTCTCAAAATTTGAAACAACTCTTTCTTCCTGGTTTGCTATATATGGTTTGACTAAGTGTTTGACACATGGGGTATCTCCCCCAATTTTGAGAGAAAACCACCCACAAATCGGAGAGAAAGTGGTTCCAGCAAACCAATCATCAATGAGGGCCCACAATGATCCACAATGTATGGCTCGGCCATCCGCCATCCGGAGGTCAACGAAAGTCACAAAGATCAACAAACATGCGACAAGTGACAAGTCACAAGGATCCCAAAAAACACCATTGCAACGGCCTGCAACCAAGTGCCCATGGAAAATGCCGGAAATGGTGATTTATAGTGGATTTACCCATAAAGACTGGTGATTTTCCATAGTTATGTAATGTTATGTAAACGTTGACCAGAGGGTAACAGAGTTCTGAGCTTCCCCGGCAAGTGCCATCGCGCTCGCTGACGTTCAAACTCTTCTTGTGCGCACTGCGCCCTGGCGTTCACAGTGATCGACAGCTTGCGCCCCTTCTTAGGGGTTGACCCCCTACCCAAGCAAACCCAAGCTGTGCATGCGTTCACCATGTGTTGTATAAATATATATATATAGATATATAGATATCCTCAGTGTACCCCAGTGTCATTGTTGATGTACAGTATCTCACATTTGGTTGGTCAACATCCCTGTGCTCAGTTGATTCGCCCACATTATGTGGCTTGGGGACCAGCCTGGTAAGGCGGGGAGGCAGCTCTTGGTTTCGCCCCTGGCAGTTTTGAGGGATATCCAGGATGGGTTCTGATGGAACACTGCGGAAATCAGCAAAAATGTGGTCCTTTTCCAGGGAATGGATTCTGAATGGGATGTGCTTATCTTCCGGACCTTAGGATTCTTAGGATATGGAGACTGGTGCAATGGTGATTTAAAAATATTAAAACCACAAAATGGAAGTTTTCACCAATCAATACGCAGATTCAATCAACAATCCAATCTTGTTATATATATATATATTATATATAGTATAGTATAGTATAGTAAAGTATAGTATAGTATAGTATAGTATCGTATCGTATCGTATAGTATAGTATAGTATTAGTATAGTACCAGTAGTACCGCACAAGGCGGTGGCGGAAGTTTCAGAATAGGAAACCTATAGGAGAGCTTGGTTGTTGTGAATCCGGGATGGCAGAGCGAATCCACTGATTGACCGAAAGGTGGTTGGAGTTGTGTTTGCTGGAGTGGTTGCAATGGTTGCAGTGGTCACCTCACCCACAACTGCTGGATGTAGTGTGATGTACTGCAACTGTAGTTGTAGTTGTAGCGTAGTGGAGTTGTAGTTGTGGTGTAATGTAATTAGTGTAGTGTAGCTGCAGTCATATAGTTGTAGTTGTAGTTGTTTTGTAGTTGTAGTTGTTGTGTAGTTGTAGTTGTAGTTGTAGTTGTAGTTGTTGTAGTTGTAGCTGTAGTTGTTGTGTAGTTGTAGTTGTTGTGTAATGTAGTTGTAGTTGTTGTAGTTGTAGTTGTTGTTGTAGTAGTAGTAGTTGTTGTTGTTGCTGTTGTTGTAGTTGCAGTTGTAGTTGTAGTAGTAGTAGGAGGAGTAGTAGTAGTAGTAGTTGTTGTTGTAGCTGTAGTTGTTATAGTTCTAGTTGTAGTTGTTGTGTAGTTGTAGTTGTAGTTGTAGTTGTTGTTGTTGTTGCTGTTGTTGTTGTTGTAGTTGTTGTAGTTGTAGCTGTAGTTGTTGTAGTTGCAGTTCTAGTTGTAGTTGTAGTTGTTGTGTAGTTGTAGTTGTAGTTGTAGTTGCAGGTGTAGTTGTAGTTGTAGTTGTTGTTGTTGTGGTTGTGGTTGTTGTTGTTGTTGTCGTTGTTGTTGTTGCTGTTGCTGTTGCTGTTGTCGTCGAAGTTAGGGTAGTTAAGTTAGTGAAGTTAGTTAAGTTAGTCAAGTTAGTTAGGTTAATCAGTGTCTACTTTTTCGACATCTTAACGTCAAAAAAGGCTCAAAACCGCCAGTTTTTTACACTTTTGACTTCGAAATGTGCTTCGCGCCACAACGGCGTGCACTTTTTCAACATCTCAACTTCCAAAAGTGGTCCGAGCATGGTGTGTTTTGTACATTTTGACTTCGAAATGTGCTTCGCGCCACAACGGCATGCACTTTTTTGACATCTCAACTTCCAAAAGTGGTCCGAGACCACCAGTTTTTAACACTTTTGACTTCGAAATGTGCTTCGCGCCACAACGGCGTGCATGTTTTCGACATCGCAACTTCCAAAAGTGGTCCGACGCTGCGGTGTTTTGTACATTTTGACTTGGAAATGTGCTTCGCGCCACAACGGCGTGCAATTTTTCATCGCTCCTGTGGCCAGCTGGCTCCGCACCCGCCGCTTTAGCGAGCCTACTTTTCGACCCTCCGGAGCCACAAATCATTGGAAAAAACACAGTGTTTCGCGACTTTCCTACCTTTTCGCGCATCTGTATCTTCTGTCTTCTTACTCTTTCTCTTCTAATCTTCCTCTTCTCTCTGCCTCTGCCCTGCTCTGCTTTTCATCTCTCCATATTGTCGCAAGTTTGACTTCTAAACTTCCTTCGATTAGTATATTATATAGTATATTATGTTGTATTTTAAGTGGCAACATTGAAAAACTCAACAGCAACCAATTCGATTCTATACATCTATTGTTTCACCAATAAGCACATGGTGATCTAATCATGGCGACTTGTATCGGCAACGGCGATGCCTCGACAAGCTTGCAATTTGCTGAAAAACTCATCCGTTGTGGTCAACAAAATGATCAAATCCATCCAGTGGGCCTCTACTTAGTAAACAAATCAATAGCGATCATGCATGGTCCGTACATTTAAAAAAATGCAACCCCAAATCTCCATTGATTTTTCATGATCCATGTTCTTTGCAGTGAAGGAATTTGAAAAACAAACTTGACACCAATAGAAGACCCCAATCCTTAAGGGAACTTGTAGGATCATAATCTAAAAGCTTTCTCCATTGCCAGAGTAAAATACCAATACCATAAACCTACCGTTTGGAGATGTTTACCAAGCCATTTATGGCAATATTGGTGATGGCTTATTATCGTTATTATCCCATATGTTTGTTTCACAATTTTCACATTTTATCTCATGTTCGCACCACAACTGTCCAGTTTGCCACATTCTCAAACATGAACATATCCCGTAGTGATCTCGTAGTGATCGCTTCATTCTTTATAACTAGTATCATATATAATGTGGTAAATCCATATTATCCCATGGCTATTATCCATTGATATCTATATATATATATTGTATATGATACCATATTATCCAATCATTAAATCAGTACATATATATATATATGCATATCTATACATACATATATATATATATACATATGTATAGTCATCCTGAAGAAGGTAGAATATGAGAATTTCAAAAAATCATCACTAACCTGGGAATAGGTTCGAGAATCCTTTAGTCTATCTACTTCAAGATAATTATATAACCATAATTAGATGTCATGCTGTTAAATTTATACATATATGGGCCACGGTCAATATTTGGTATATAGCTCCAAGTCATCAGTTTTTGAAGAGTGTATTGTCGTTTTTTCAGGATTTGGTATATAAGCAAATGTTATCGATTTTTGAAGATTGTATTGTCGTTTTCCAAGCCCCAGCTCAATTTCAAAAAAAATAAAGATGCTCGAATACTACTCTCCGTTAACCTAATTTTTGGCTGTAATTCATATACATAGAACCTAAATAATGAATATCTAATGTGATTACATGTAATAACATTTTAACGACTAGAAGCGCTATATATAAATATGTGTATGTATATATATATATATAGAGGTATGGGTCAAAATTGGGTACCCCAAATATTAGGTGACTAACAATGGACATTCCAATCTGTGGTCCCCATGGGTCTGAAAAATCTTGAACGAAGGCACCTCCACAGCCAAAGTCCCGGCATCGCCCTAAACGGGCGACGCCCCGTGAAAGGTCAGCTGGGAAAGGGTCATTGCAGGGTGTCCTTGTTTTATTTGAACCACATGCATATGTATATATATATATATACATGTATAGGTTGTATGCACAAGTAACAAGTATCTATATGTATGTGTATATATATATATATATTATACGATGTAGGCAGATACTACATGTATATGTATGATAATGTTTTACCATCCTCAAGCACTATATATACTATGGTATGTTCGGATATCACCACATGGCATAATCATTCAGAGTAGGGACAACAGCAGTTTCACCATGGCACATCTGTGGGGTTCACCATAGAGTGGTCCTTCAGTTTCAGCACCTTGATTTCCGATGCCACAGAGCTCACTGCTCTACCCTTCGATCAAGACCTCAGAGAATCTACCTTCATCACAAGTACCAAGTAATAGGCTAAAACTGTACTATCAGTCAGTAGTACATTTAGATGTACTGTAATTACAGCCACATGATCTCCTCTCGTGTTTGTTTGAAGCAGGTTATCTCCCATCAAACTACCAGGCTTTTCCAAACACCGCCTCGATGTTGCCCGTCATGAGCCGCAAGGCAGCATCTTTCCGAGCACACGCCTTGGAGGTTGTTTTTTTCAATCATGGCTAGCAGGGAACTCCCCGAACTCAACGGGCATCTATCTATCTATCTATCTATCTATATCTATATATATATATGTATATATATAATAATAATAATCATATTTGTACATATATATCTATATATATATATATACAAATCTATCTATATATGATAATATCATCAAACTAAATGGTGGATTTTCCAGCGAGGCATGTTTGATTGCCAACGGGTATGTAGACATACTCTATGATTAACTCTACGATATTGTCCTACAAGTTGGTGAGTTTTGGGGCAAGTACAGTGTATGGCAAAATGGTGTGTAAATATAAATAAAACATAAATATATATATATAGATATAATATACAGTAATATGTATCCGTGGCCAACAATGGCGTGCAGCTGGGCAGTGTCTTGTCGACTTGAAGACATGTCCATTTTTCAATGGCTCTACGGGCTCACACAATCTGGGAGACCATCCATGAGGTTAGTATCTGACTGGAAGGTAATAGAAGCTCAATATTCATGCTGGATCTTTGACATCTTCCCTAACATCTGTGTTGTATATATAATATAATATATATATATACATATATATATACATGCCCGTACATTCCTAGCAATGAAACCATTTTCCTACGTTAAGCATGTTGTATCCAATATGTCAGTTCCAAGTGGCTCTACCGGAAATTGAGTCTGGCTTGGGAGGGTTCCCATCTTAAGGGTACCCAGTATACCGCTTCGGAGCCTGCCACTGAATTTCTATGGCTTTGTCAGTGACAACACGTTGGTGGTTGGTCACACAGTTCCCTATTGAGTGGCATCTTCTGAGACAAATCCAGGAATCCATGTAGATAAGTGGACATATACATAAAATGTAGCAACCCGCAAAAAGATCATCCATCCTACTAAAGTGATAAATTGCTGCTCTATCCTTGTTTGGGTTACCATATTTATTATGCAAATAAGTTCCGGCCTATTACAAATAGTGCCAGGGCTAAAAGGGTCCAAAACAGAATTTAGTGGATAAACAGGCTGCTAACATATAAGTATTATAAGTTACATATCCGTCATATGTAACTTATAATGCATCATGATACAGTTCCAATGGATTGCTTTCCACTGGGGCATCAAACAAACTTCTGTTGTCGTAGCAGTGGCCTGGCAAACCATGGGTTTTTTCCCATGGGGGTCCTGTAAATTATCCCTGAAACTGAAACCAGGTCTTTTGTGTGTTTGATGATTTTTGGTGGGTTGTCATTGGTCACATTAATGTCCCTTATTCTTTTTGTTTTTTTGTTTGGGGCCTTTTTTGTTTCATGGTGGTATCAAGTTCACCAGCCAGCATGGTGATGCTTTTACCGGCCGAAATGGAGAAACGAACAAAGCAACATGAGAATATCAACCAACATCAACCAACCAAAATGTGGGTATGAAGATGTAGTATAATGTGGATAAAACAAGCATAAATCAGGCATAAATCATAATGGTTTATGCTAGTTTAAACCTATAAAAATGGTGATTTGGGGGATGGCTTAGGATCGTTGTACCGACACCCATCTTGCTACCCTCAGGATCCGCCGGTCCGATGAAATCCCTGGCGAAGAAACGAATATTCGCCGGTCAAAAAATGTCTGGTTGTCTGGTGGCTGTTTCAATCTCAATATCGCAATAAATAATATAGATATAGATATATAATATAATATAATATAATAAAATATAATAATATAATATTCTATTATATTATATTATGTTATATTATGTTTCATTATACAGACATAAAACCTAAAAATAAAACACGTCTCAAAACTATTTGTAGATTTGTAGATTGATTCCCTGACCTGAAGGCTTGGTCAAGCAGCCAGGCTGATGGTAGATGGCATTGGAAGACCCCACTGTTCATCTAAGAGTTTGCTATGAAACATGCAAACGAAATGGTCCCGTTTCGTTCCGTGATTTACCTATGCAACATGTTTAAACATCATGCTCTATTACCCACTATTGACCACTATTAATCCCATTGAATCAGCTATATATCATTTATATAATCCATTAAATCCCCCATTTTCTGCTTTGCAAAGTGTGGGAAAAATGGCCGGAACCGATCCCACAAGGGGAAAAATGGCATCTCGGCACCTGAGATCGCCGCGTTGGGCGTGAGCCTGGACGAGCAACAGCAACAGCAGCATCATCAATAACAGGAGCAAGAGCGCCCATTGTTGGTTCTATCAAGTTAGACTTAGATCATGTTCTTCATTTTTGACTGCCAAAAATCTCCACATTTCAGCATATATCTCATCATGTTCCCTATCAAACTTGCCATTCCGTGGGGGTTACCTATCGGCTTGTCTGAAAATAGGGTACGGTACCCAAAAATCCACCATGTCTGAACGCCCACCTCAGCACTCCTCAGCTCATCAGAATCCTCCAGCGTGAGTATAGCTTGGATATGCGTGCATGCTACAAGAATACACGTCATTTTATAGATGTTTTTTATGTATGATATGTATGCATTCATGAATGTATGGGCGTGATGTATGTAATGTAATGCAATATAATAAAATGCAATCCAATGGAATGCATGTATGGATGGATGTATGTATGGATGGATGGATGTATGTCTGTATGTCTGTCTGTATGTATGGATGTATGATTATGTATGTATGCATGCATGCATGCATGTCTTTCAAATGCTTTGCGATGAATCCTCTCTGGACTCCTCCTCCTCCTCCGCTTCGGGTATTGCTTGTCTCTCCTCCTCCTCCTCCCGCAGGGCTCCTGAGCAGGACATCAGTGAAGAGCTTCACACACACACACACACCAAAATACACCTGCGGCATCAAAATAGGTTGCTCTCTACCTAAATCAACTGCACTCTGGCTGGTAATAAAGCACATGCTAGATCCCGTCTTGGCTACAGGAAAATGGTATGGTATTGGTTGAGTCAAAATGGAAGATCCCGCGATCAGTTTTTCTTCATCCTGTGTATGGGCGATCCATCATATATAATTGGCGCCGAAAGTGGATCGTCTGTGATGGCCTATCACTGACACACACCTGCTGCTCCCCATTCTCCTTACATATGAACCCACACCCCACATTTCCCAAGTTCGTATCCAGATTTTAGATGTTTCATTTGATAATAAACCCTGTTGGATTGCCATGTTTCGCGTTTAGTTGACACCAACCCTGGCCCAGCCCAGGAAGTTCCACAACCGGTTCCACCTGCGCGACTACTGAAGGCACCTCTTCTTCGACCTGTTTGCGACACGTTCGTCCCGAGAATTGTCACGTGACATAAAAACAACAAAATATATACACAACTGGTATGTGAATATGAATATATCATATATTTGTATTCATATGTGTAAATACAAACGGGATATATGTTTGTATATGTATACATACGTGTATATGTGTACATATATACTCATGAAATGTTTACATATAAATATATATATATATATATTGATATATATATATATACATATTTGATAATATATACATATATAATCATATATATATATATATTGATAATATATATATATATATACATGCATACATTAATATATGTATATATATATGTATGTACATACATACACATGACATTACATTACATCACATTACACTACATTACCTTACATTGCATTGCATTACATTACATGACATTACCGTACATTACATTACATTACATTAAATTACATTACATTACATTACATTACCATACATACAGTACATACATATACATATATATATATAATACATTTTTGTGTGTTTTGATACATGCATGTCCCAGAAAAGTCCTCTGGGCCTGATTTTTTTCACCCATAACTATGTTGATCCATCCACTTCAATGGCCACATCTGTGGTTTCCTTCTTGGCCCACCTGGCTGACTGGAGCTTGACGTTCCGGAAACGGTGGAAAGGTTGGAGCTTGCACTTGCTGCGGCCCGGGGGCGACCTGGAAACGAGGACGCAAACCGCATCCAAACGCTGGGACTTCGGTGGAAATTATATTGTTTTCATGTGTTTATAGATTAGATTCTACAATCTACCATCTACAATAATATCAAACTCAAAATCAATCAGAAAAAATGATTGAACTACAAATTGAAAGATGAAAAATTGGGATTTAACTAGCCAGCAATGAAACTCCAACCAAAAACAAGGAAATTCATGTGGATTCAAACATCAACCACCAACAATATTCAACTTCGAGTCATGACACACCATGGCGTTCCTGGCAGAGCCACCGGGATTCTGTGAGGACATGAAGAGCTGCAAAAGCGGTGTATTGGTTTCATCGAATGATGCAATAAATATGTGGGTATCATTAATACAACATGGTTGTCAATATATACATGTATATCTTATACATATACAATAATTAATCAACTTCCCATGTCCCATGAAGTTTCATACATATTTTTTCGGTCTTTAAAGATGCATTGATTCCACCCCACAATTCGAATACCTTGTTGCTTGAGAGCTTCAAACCGCCTGAAGGAATTACGACAAATAAAACCAGACAAACAAATCCAACCAGTCCGAACCGGCTCCCATCTAAGAGAGAAACGTTAAATGGATATCGCAATTACCCAGATGATCGAAGGAGGTTTAGAAGTCAAACTTCCGACAATATGGACAGATGAAAAGCAGAGATGGGAAGAGTCAGAGAAGAGAAGAGAAGAGAAGAGAAGAGAAGAGAAAGAAGAAAGTCTCACAAGAAAGAAGATCCAGGCGCGCGAAAACGTAGGAAAGTCGCGAAGCACGGTGTTTTTCCGATGATTTGTGGCTCCGGAGGGTCGAAAAGTAGGCTCGCTAAAGCGGCGGGTGCGGAGCCAGCTGGCCAGATGAGAGATGAAAAAGTGCACGCCGTTGTGGCGCGAAGCACATTTGCAAGTCAAAATGTACAAGACACACCATGATCGGACCACTTTGGAAGTTGACATGTGGAAAAAAATGCATGCCGTCGTGGCGCGAAGCACATTTCGATGTCAAAATGTACAAAGCACACCATGTTCGGACCACTTTTGAAAGTTTAGATGTTGAAAAAGTGCACGCCGTTGTGGTGCGAAGCACATTTGCAAGTCAAAATGTGCAAAACACACCATGATCGGACCACTTTGGAAGTTGACATGTGGAAAAAAATGCATGCCGTCGTGGCGCGAAGCACATTTCGATGTCAAAATGCACAAAGCACACCATGTTCGGACCACTTTTGAAAGTTGAGATGTTGAAAAAGTGCACGCCGTTGTGGCGCGAAGCACATTTGCAAGTCAAAATGTGCAAAACACACCATGATCGGACCACTTTGGAAGTTGACATGTGGAAAAAAAATGCATGCCGTCGTGGCGCGAAGCACATTTCGATGTCAAAATGCACAAAGCACACCATGTTCGGACCACTTTTGAAAGTTGAGATGTTGAAAAAGTGCACGCCGTTGTGGCGCGAAGCACATTTCCAAGTAAAAAGTGCAAAAATCTGAGGGGGGAAGGAGCACTGTTGGACGTTCAGATGTCGTTTTGCGTGGCACGTGCAGGGGATTGTGCACCTTGCCAAAAAGTGAGCAGAAACATGAGGGTTTTGTAGGAGCTTCAACTACAACCACCACTACATTACAACTACAACTACAAGTACAACTACAACTACTAACTACAACTACGTTACGCTGTGCTACACTACGCTAATTACATTACACTACAGTACACCACACTACACCACACCATGCTACACTACACTAACTACAACTACAGCTACGACTGCAGCTGCCACTTCAACGAAAACTACAGCTACACTACATTACACCACACTACACTACACAAACTACATGACACTACACTACACTACACTGCACTACATTACACTACTCTACACTACTCTACACTACACTACACTAACCCCAACTACAGCTACAACTGCAAATGCAACTACACTACATTACACCTCACTACACTACACTAATTACATTACACTACGCTACACTCCACTACACTCCACTACACTCAACTACACTGCACTCAATTACACTACACTACACTACACTACGCTACACTACACTACACTTGCAACTACAACTACAGCAACAACAACAACAACTACTACAACTACAACTACAATTACCACTACATAACACTACACTCCACTGCACTACACTCCACTGCACTACACTACAGTAATTGCATTACACTACACTACACTACACTCCAGTACACTACACTACACTCAATTACAGTACGCTACACTACACTGCACTACGCTACACTACACTTACAACTACAACTACACTTCATAACACTACACTACATTACACTACACTACACTTATTACATTACACTACGCTAATTACTTTACACTACAGTACACTACACTCATTACACCACCACAAATGCAACTGCAACTACACTACACTAATTACACTACACCACAACTACATCTCCACGAAACTAGAAGCACAACTACAGCTGCGCTACACCACACTACATCCAGCAGTTGTGGGTGAGGTGACCGACCAGGTGACCACTGCAACCATTGCAACCACTCAAAAAAAAAACAACAACCACCTTTCCAGTCCATCAGAGGATTTGCTCTGCCATCTGTGATTCACAACAACCAAGCTCTCCTATAGGTTTCCTCTTCTGAAACTTCCGCCACCGCCTTGTGCGGTACTACTTGTGTATGTATATATATATATATATTTGACAAATAGTTGTTGTTGTTCTGAAAATGGGGAATACTCACCAAATAGCCGTTTAATATGGACACTGATTGTTAAAGCATGGAATTTTGCGGTATCCTGTTTTCAGACATAGCCAAACAATGTGCTAAAGCCAATAATTAACGATTCCCAAGTCATCACCATGTTCAAGGGTGCTGTGTTTAACATCACCAAATATGGTAGATTTATGGCAGTGGGTTCCTCACATCAATGATTGATTGTTAATAATGGTTACCAATAGTTGAAAATGGGCAAAACAACAACAACAACAACAACAACAACAACAACAACAACAACAACAACTACTACAACAACTACAAATACAAATACAACACATGACAATGTCTAACTAAGCATAAATAATGGTTCTCAATTAACCCATTAATCAATCGCTATAGCATGTTCCAGCTGGGCTCTCCCACGCGCCAGGGCGCGAAAGCTCTGCTGCACCTGGTCCCTGTGATCGGCAGCTTCGATCTCCTTGGGCCGTTGAAGGGCCCGAAAGGGTCATGGGATGGTGAGAATCATGGGAAAACATCAGGGGAACACCAGCCATAGTTATGGAGAACGATGAGAAACTTATGAAAACCATGGAAAAGAGGACATTATCATAACATATCATAACCTTGATTGGAAAAACATGAAAAGACGATTTTAATGCTAATTCTGGGACATGATCGGACAATTAAGAGTAATATCTGCCAGAGACGGGGAATATGTCTACCTGGATTTGGGGGAATCACAGAAGTAGTTCACCTATTGAAAACCCTGCCTGTCAGTAGAAACATGTGACGTGGTCAAAACATGGTATTTGGATGCATATAGAGGATGGTCATCCCACCATCATTAGGGAATCCCCATATACACTCCTATCGATGGGGGTTCACAATTGTGGGAACATAAACAACATTTTGTCAAAGAAAAGCATCTTTGAAGCAACACACATGTCTTCAAACGGTGCTTCTGGATGTTCAAATGTTGTGGGTCCATTGGTGCTTCTGCTGGGGCAGATGTCTGGCCTACCGGCAGCTTGGGTCACCTTGCAAACCACCATCCCCATCACATGTGGCCCCGTGCCGTGTCCGGGTCTGTCCCATTTGGGTCTGTTAACCAACCAACCAACCAACCCCATTTCTGAGCCAACACACGCGTATGGCTTTGTCCAACATGGAAGATTCACTGATTCATGACAATATCTGGCCACATATTGAAGGGGGATATGATGATCAGCTGAATCAGCTGCGAGATTTTGAGGTACCCCATGTTCAATCATTTTCAGCTTAGCTGCAACAAAACTGACAGGGGAGGGCAACCTATGACCCGGGGCCTATCCACGCCCGGGGTCAATGGTGGATTGTCACTACTATGATGCGTGAAATGAATCATTTGACGGTCAGGGAAAACTATAGGTGCATTCCACACCTGTTGCATGCTTTCTATTCAAATCAATCCAAACCGTCCAGAACCTACCAGCACATGAGAGGCGTCAAGCAAAACCGTCGTTGCAAAGCCCGCAACTGGAGTTGTGTAAATCACAAGGTGTGGGTCCAAAGTCTGCGCAAAACAAAATAGACATAATCACATAGTATTATATATAGTATGTATATGTATGTATACATACGGAGGTTTCCTAAAATAGGGGCACCCCCAAATCATCCATTTTAGTATTGGATGTTCCATGAAATCAACAGTCCAGCGTTTTTGGGGTACCCCCATGACTATGGAAACCTCCATATGGTCACAATTTCATGTGTCTCCATAGATATGTAACTGGCAATGGCTAGATGGTGTCCTTAAGCGGTCCTCGATCATCTGGTGCACCGGCCGCAGGGGTTCATCTTGGATGGCCAGGGGCGGCCAGGGGGACTTTGCCACCTGCCCATCTGGCCGCAGGAAAGGGAAACAATATGATATCTGGTTGGTGGTTGACCAACCCCTCTGAAAAATGATGGAGTTCGTCAGTTGGGATTATGATTATTATGACATTCCCAATATATGGAAAAATAATCCAAATGTTCCAAACCACCAATCAGTGATATAATCATGGCATATAATTATGGAAATATATGAAAAGGAAGATTTCTCCGTTCCACTCTCAATATATCTCAATCCACCCATCAGCTCCAGACGGCCTTCCTCCCTTGCTTCAAACTCTCGCAAAAGGCTTCCTGCTAACGACCAAGGATCCATATCACACTTTAAGCCAAAAGGGTGTTTACCATTCACGAGCTAGAATGACGCCACAACACATGTCATTGAAAACTCACCAGAACTGAAATGCTTCTGATGGTATCGACCCATCCAAAAAATATATGAAAGGTTGATGCAATCATCATCGTCATCGTCATCCTCACAATCATCCCAAGTGATCCCAAGTGCAATCACAATCGAAAGCTTACAAATCACTCTCTATACAGAGGTGCAATCATGGGACCCAGTATACCATATATCATATATATTATATGTATACAATACACGTAGGTTTCATTCTAATTATAGCCAATCATGGCCAAAACCCCTTCATGCTCCGCTCCTCAGATCCAGAAGCAAGAGCCAAGTACTCTCGTTCCAGTCTCCTCGTGTCGTCAACCCCGCAATGAAAACCCGCGGGCCTTTTTTCTTATTTGGGACCAACAAATACTCCGTGAATAACCATCATATAGTAAATAAAACTAGTCTGGTTGGTGGTTTTAAAACCCACGTTTTTTTTTTGGTAAAACACATTCCAACATCATCAAAAATCATTGAAACATGACTTTTGGGTAACCCCCCCTAAATCGATCCACCAGAGCTGAAGTTGGTGAAACCTGTGCATTCCATACGCAACATATCCGCAAAATATGGATTTCTGTGAAAACAGGGTACCCCAAAATGTGATGGCTAAGTAGCAATTTTCATCAATTTTCTATATCTTCCCATTCAAAAAACTGGCATTTTTTTGCGGTATTCTCCCATCATGTGGAACAGAGATATGGACCAACTGGAATCCATCAACCAATCCAGACCTGTCAATCCCGGTTCTCCTGCTGTCTGCGCGGGAGCTAGCACGGTCAAAGCATGTTTGCCACCAGGGAGCCTGTGGGCTGTGAACCGTGGCCAAATCTTAAGTTGAGACTCCAAAACAAGATTCAGTGAGAGGTTTGTCTAAAAAGATGGTAATTCCGTTTGATCTGGTGGCAACGGCTCTAGCCGATGTGTACACATCATCTGCACCTTGCCTATACCTGACTGTCAAAACTGATGGTAAACAAATTCAATACCTTCAAATTGGGTCGAAACTGTTGGCTAGACTCAGCACAAATTCCCTACTTATTTGTTTTTGACATTACGATGAAAATTACAGTAAGTAGATCCTTGGAATGGCTGTGACCTACTACCTATCTATTTGTCAGTGAACTGGTAGAAACACATCTGCTGTACAAATACTAGTCTCTTTCACACAGCCCTCACAACTCTGAGATGAGACACAGCCAGTATATTGCCAAATTGCCAATTTCATCTGCCCACTGATTTGAATGTTGATATCTCACCCTCTGGTTATTTAGCGTAGCTACGGAAAATCACCATTTTAAGTTCGGTAAATCAGCAATGTATTTTCATGGGCCACGGCTTCCATAGCAACCTGTTGAATAAGCAGAGGGTGTATAGATAACTCTATTATATATCCCACTATATCCCAAAATAAGATCACAATCCTTTTCCTAAGGAAACGGCTTTTCCTTCTGGTTTACCCGTTTACCCAGCCATCAACGTTCCTATCTAGGATTCGCACCTTCTCTGGCACCTTACCGCCGGACGGCAGATGTTTGCGCGCAGCGGCTGTGGAAGACATCAGCTGCGCCTGGCGATTTGCTGAATATATTGCTCCTGATTAGGGACTATGCCTATATTTCCCTATAATAAGCTTCCGTTGTCAAGAGCAAACTCAACTATTGTCTTTACATGTTTTGGAGTAAACGCAAATGAGAACAACCTTCAGTGGTGTTTTTTTCCAACGCCGTAGGTACAACTGGGTCAGAATTGCCATGAACTGAGGTTGAGATACATGGCATCGTAGAAACTGGCGATTATCAAAACTGCGAATCCAAACCGCCAGGTTCTTCATCCTCAATTAGAAACATCAGAAAAGGGGGGCTACTTGGTTCACCCCATTAGTAAGTGGGTGATAAGCCTAGGGGCCTAAACAGGATCAGCAGGTTTTTCCAGTTACAACTGGGGGTCACAACCTACTTACTGGGGTGAACCACCAAGTGTGAAATAGATATCAGGGATGGTTATCTTCGCTCTTGTTGTCACTACAAATCGCCGGGCCTGATGCGCCAAATCTTCCTCCTTCATGGACACCTGCAATAAAAATGGCAACCCAAGCTGCAAATTGCTTGGTCACGCCTTCTTGGTGGATTTGACATGTTGATTATACATGTATATATATATATATACACGGATACTTTCACGTATACATTGAACGGAGAATATGCAACTCGCTATTTTAGCAGCGGTGTTCTTGAGCCAAAGGTTGGCGTAGCAACTAGTGAGAACCCTATATCCCGTCACCCCTCCTGTACAGAGGCTGGGATTTTCCTAAGCTGATGTACACTCATTCCAAAGCCTTTGCAGCTTCGGCTCTACCATGAGAGTACTCGAACCCCATGCTTTGCATGTGTCTTTCCATCTCATTCGCAGGTAAACCTTTGGTGCACAAATCAGCTACGTTCTGCTTTGTCGGGATCTTCACCAGTTCGAATTCATGTAGTGCAAGCTTTTCTTGCACCCACAGAAAGCGAGTTTGAACATGCCGTGAGCGGCCTAAGCCCTGACGGTTACATGTTCCCAGCGCAGCGGATGAATCTGTGTGCACTTTAAGTTTTGGTTGTAGGCCCCATCCTCGCAAGATCTCCTGTAGCGACATTCCGATGGAAACTCCTCGAACGATCGAGTAGTATTCCGCTTCACCGGAACTCAAGCTGATCGTGCTCTGAAGAGTGCTCGAGGCCTTCACCGTGTGGCGGCCAAAGGTTGCCACAAGTCCACTTGTTGAGCGCCTTGTAAGAAGACACCCAGCGAAGTCGGAGTCCACGTACATGTGGATCGTGTCAGCAAACTTCTGGCGACCAAACTTCAAAAGTACACGTGGTTTCCCTTTCAGAAATCTCACCAAGCGTTTCAGATCCTGAAAGTCAGATTCTTTGGGCTCATGCATTCTTCTTGATAGGCATTTCACTGCCTCCGCGATGTCAGGTCTGTCCTGTGCCACATACGACGCTCTCATCACCAGAGACCGGAAGAAACTTACACGGTCCGGTGTGATGGTCGGGGTGGTCAACTTCAAGTTGGCCTCCGTGGCTGACATTTTCTCAGATGGTGTCTTGACTGGCTTACAGTTTTCCATTTCTAGATCTCGTACCATCTGGTCAACGTGGCGGGGATCCGCCTCATAGGATACAGAGCCTTCCTGCTCGTTGTAGGTCACGATTCGATTGAGCACTGCGAACTGCTGATGCCGTTCTCCAGGACCGATCGATCCATCGACCCGCAGATCATATTTGGACCTCAAGGTGTCCTCAAGGTATTTCTGTCCAGCATCATCAGCAAGCACCACGAAGTCATCTCCGTGTACAAGAACTCGAATACCACCGTAACCTTCATGGTAAAAGCAGGATGGCCAAGCTTGATTCTTGGCAAAACCAGCTCGGATGAGAAGTTCTGTATATGATCTTTGCCAGATCGCTGATGCATCGCGTGTTCCATACATGCTCTTAACGAGCTTGCCACAAAACCCTTCTTGTCGATCTCCTTCAGGTAACTGCACGAAGATATCACGCTCTGCCTCTCCATAGAAGTGAGCGCGTGATATGTCAAGAAGACGAACTTTCAGTGCATTGCCAGACTTGGATCGTCTCAAAGTCACCATAAGCGATAGAAGCAATTTCAGCGATTCCAAAGGCGGCATCGAACTGAAGGACGCATAGTCCGGAATGAAGTCAGCATTGCTGGCCCGTTTGATCTCTCTACAGACCAGACGTGACCTGTAGTTGGGGTGTGTTGCATCCCCTTTGTTTCTGTCAATCCATTTCATGGTGATGACCGGTTTTCCAGACTGTTGGGCTTCTGTGAGTGGAACTTTGATATAGATACCCTGTTTGTGTACCCATGCTAGTTCTTCTTGTCGAGCAGCTCTGACCTTGTCAACATCCAAGACAGCACCGGAGTGTGCGTCAAGCACTGGCTCCACGATGGTGTCATCGCTGTCGGGCAGCTGCTTCCAAAACTCCTCCTCTTCATTGATCACAGGTCCAGCATCGGGTACTGGGCCATGTGAAAGTGAGTGTAGTTCTCCATCACATTCCAGTTGGCGCCTAATGGCCTTGAGAATTGCGTGGACAAGCTTTGGTGGGTATTTCTGGGCAGCTCGGGCTCGTCCATCAACAAGATGTACATGGCGGTGCCAAACTTTGCCTTCTTTGTTTGAACAGCACCCTTGTAGGGTCTGTGCCAGGATTGGAGAGTTCGTGAGCCAGGTAGTTTCTTTCTTCACTGACCCTTCACCTTGGTCATCGGCGGCCTTCATTCCCCAACGGCACATTGGTCCAGTGACCTCATACACCCGTTCATCTGCCCTCAGTCTCTTCACAGCTCTCTCTTCCCACGAAGCGGCCCCTTTAGGGTGCTCATGGTAGAAGTACCTTCCAGCATTCATTTGATGCTCATACGCTGAAACTGCCGTGCGCAGATGTTTGCGACCATCTTTTAGTCTCTGCGCTCGAACTTCAGGTGAAACATTGCCCTTCGCATCCACAATGTTTTGCAGCTTCGAGAATGGCCCACAGGGAGGTGAGCCGCCGAGGAACTCTGGTTTCTCATAGTCAAGCAGTTGAAACAGATCACGAATGTGTTCATCTTTACTCAAGTCCCAGTGAGTTCCATCACCACGCTTTGTCTCCAAGTCAATCGAGAAGCCAGGTGCTAGCCCGACCACTTGGGCTTGTGCAGCCACACGCGGTGGAGAGAAGATCTCAGCAACCTTCCCTTTTGCGATCACATCTTTGAGCAAGGAACACAGATGTAGCATCTCCTGGTTTGTCTCAGGACTTGTTGGTGCAGCGGCAGCACCTTCCGGAACACCAGATGAAGCATCCGGTGCCGGTGGTCCGGCTGACCCTGAAGCCTGAGCTGAAGATTCATTGTAAAGATCTTCAACGTCGACTTGTGAACTCCTTTTCTCTCCTCGGGATTGTTCTTGTTTCTGCCTCTTTGGGCTTCCTTCTCTTTCTTGTTCTCTCTGTCTGAGTTCTCCACGAAAATCGGTGTCGACCAGTGGTTCACCAACAGCCTCACTTGCATCCATTTCCGCATCCAAAGGAACACGGTCTTGCAAGACTGGTTGTTCAACTTCCCCTCCTGGGACAACTGGTGGTGCAGCTTCACCACCTTCTGCCCCACCACCCTCAGGCGGTGCAGCCGCGCCTCTTGGGCGCCTGCCTTGTGCAACTCTCTCTCTCGCTCTTTTGATCCTTTCTTGACCTTCTGGAGTCTTGTCAAGTTCGATCTGGATTCTTTGTCTGCACTCAGCATTGTGAGCTCGGCTTGGCATCTCAAGTATTGCTGCTTCACATCCAGGACACAAAGGTGTGTGCCCATGCTTTTCCAAGTCATTCTTGGTGACATAGAGGTTCCTTGGGATCACTTCTTGCACTGCAGGCCTTTCACGAGGCGCTGCAACATCGGGAAGGGCGATCCTCAGTCCACCATGTTCTCGTTCTTGCAACCTCCAAGGAAGGCCACGTAGCGAGTCAAACTGATCATGTTTGAACTGATCGTCAGGTGGGCGTCGATGGATCGAGTTCCCCTTCATGATTCCACGTTCCGTCATGACAAAGACGTCTGAATTTCTGTTTCCAGTTCCAACGTACATCCCAATGGATACCCTTGGAGCAAGGTCATTTCTCTTGCCCCCACGATTGGCCCTCGGCCTATACAGGATGCTTTCACCGAACCTCACAAGCGGAATCCGCCATTTTCGTCCATAGGTCCGCTCAAAAGCGGTCTTTCCATCAGTACCTACTCGGTATCTCGTCAAGAGAAAGGCAGCATGCCGCGGGAGCCAAACCAAAAGTGGATGGCCCGGATCTACCTTCCTTTCCAGCTTGAACTCCAGGTCGCTGAGGAGAGCACGACATTGTCGTTTTATCTCTCGCACTCCCACTTCGATAAACCCATTGGCTTGATGGTCTTCTACTGGGGTTTCCACCAAGTGCACTTCGATGTGGGTCTTTATCTCCTTAACCTTCTGTTTAAGGGATACCAAGGAGGGTTCACCGTCAGACTTAAGGATTACCTTATTAAAACCAGCATCATCCAAAACTCCCCCAAGCCACGCGATTGCGAACGCATCCGCCCCTTTTCCCGGGAGAACGCTCGCCCAAAATCTCTTGGTCTTGTGGCACTTCGCCACAATGCTCGGAAGGGTCGCCTCATCCGCAACCTGGTCCTGGTTCATATAGAAGTAGTCCAGGCTCAGCGTGGGCAACTGCGTTTCTGGCTCATCAAGTTCCTTAGGCACATGGCGATCAGCAGTCACACGTGCCCTTTTGCAGTGCAAGCACCAGCTCCGATGGACAACATGTCCAGTGCTTTCATGTTCGTCAACTTCAGCTTGGGATGGTTGATGTGGTTCTTTCTTCACAATGGCTTTCCTCTGTTCTTCACCGATTTCCAAATCAACTTCATCTTCAAAGGCATCTGCTCCGGCTGAAGCAGCTGGAACATCGCCTGAGGACCCTGCTCCGGCCGAAGCGGCTGAAACATCGCCTCCATCTTCCATGGCATCGGCTCCGGCTGAAACAGCTGGATCCTCGCCAACAGCGTTGATTTGTGGTCTTACTCCTCTTGAGGATGCCCCTGAAAAGGTGACACCCAATAGTCCAACACATAGATGCCTCGGCGATTGTGCACAATGGGCATTGAATCGCCATAATCTCGGATCAGATCTTTCATGGCCTTCGAATAGGCCCGTCCCGCAGGAGTGTTTCTTGGGATCAATCTCCCCGAAGATGGTCCAAGGGCGATGTGGTAGTTCTTGGCGATCTCGGAACCTGAAAGAAGTGGCCGATGCACATCTGCAACTCGGCAATCGATTGGGATCTTGTTGCCAGATTCGTCGTATCCCACCAGCTTCACACTTCCCTGATCTTCGATGGGTTCCGCATTGGCTGCCTTGTAGCTTGCTCCATTGGACTCGCTCCTCGGGTAGTCCTTGGCGAAGTCAAGTGGTACTGCAGTGATGGCAGCACCGGTGTCGATGTTCAACTCTGCTCGTTCCCATTTTCGCCAGTCGTCAGAGGCCCCCAAGCTGTAGACTGCAGCAGGAGCCGATCCAGCTCCACCATCGGGGTCTCCTCTGCCTGGTCGGTCTCGAGGCTCATCAGGCTCTTCGATGTAGACCTCTTCCATTTCATCATCATCTTCATCTGCGTTCACTTCAGTGTTTTCCTTCAGAACCAAGGCTGGTCGGTTCTTCCTCGCCATCTTGCGCGCCACATTGCGGTTGCGATTCTTCTTCACCCTGTACCCAACGCTTCGAACACGCTTGGTCATGGGTTTCTTCTTGGGGTCCTTCTGCAGCAACTTGGCCTCGTCGTCCGGGAACTGCCTCAAGGTTTTCCGCTCTTCCGCTGAAAACTCTATCACTGTGCTCTGACCAGCTTTGCCCACAACCACCGTCTCGATGCCCGCATCCAAGTTGTCTTCATCCTCGATTCTCACTATGCCTTCTGGATTTTCTGGGTTGTCAAAGCGTTCATGCCATTCTTTGTCAAGTCGAATCCTTTCAGCCGCACGTGCCTTGACTCCTCCTCGTCGGTGGACGATTGCACGTCTTCTCAAACGTTCATTTCTCCAGGCCACATTGTGTGCAACACCTTTGGCAATCTCGGCATGGTATCTCGAGTCGTGGAAAGAAGGATCGCTGATGTTCTGCTTTGTGATGTGCGGTGCCTTGACAGATCTAGTCCTCAAAGCCGCTAACATCGCATCTGCCTGGCCATCTCCTGAACCAGGATCTTCTTCTTGGACTTTGCGGATTTGTGAACTCAGCGCAGCCTTCAGCATCTGGACAAGTCGAGAACCTGAAGTCGAAGCTGCCGATGATGCCTTGACAGGTGGTGGTGGCTTCACCTGAGAGCTTTGCCATCCCGGTGGTGGACATGGCGGAGTCTTGGGTGAAGCTACTTGGCTTTGCCATCCTGGTGGTGGTCCTGGTGGAGTCTTGGGCGAGGCTATCGGCTGTTGTGGAGGTGATGCAGGCCATGCTATAGGTGTCGGTGGTGTCTTTGGCAAAGGTGTAGAGCTACGAAGAAGTTCTTCTGGAGTCTGTGGCCCATGCCTCAACCTTCTCCTTGGTGGTGGTGTCATCGAAGTCATTCGAAAGCGTCGGAGTGCTGACTCCGGAGTGACTGGCCCTGATCTGCTTGCTTTGCCTCTCTTTGGTGCTGAGCTCTTTGGACTTCTGCCCCTCTTGGGTCTTCCCTGTGGCGTTCGAGGTGCCTTGGAAGACGCGGACTTGGATGTAGTGGTCTCGTGCTCGGTGACCTCCTCCAGTCGAAGCGACCGAAGGGGTCTTGAGCCACTCGATCCACTCGGTCCATCATAGTCGGGGTCGTCCCACTCTTCAGGCCATGACGCACGTGGGTGAGGCAAAGAAAACCACCTTCTGCGACTTGTCGAGGCTTCCGACTCCTCGGACTCGGGATCGACCTGGAAACTTTCGTCGTCATCCTCGTCATGTGGTGGCCCATCAACACCATAGAGCGTTAAACCATTTGCTGCTTGTTGACCATCGTCGCCATCAGCTGCGTCCCAGTCTTCTGCTTCTGGTTCACCTTGTTCGACATTGTTCACAGATTTGCCTCCTTTGGGCTTCTGCTTGTGCTTTCCGGGGCTGCCTTTGCCCTTGCCCTTGTCCTTATTCTGATTGCTGTTGCCTTTGCCACCCGTCCCCTTATGTTTGGGGCCTCCAGGTGCCCAGCAATCTGCCCGCAGATGTCCTGGGCGTCCGCAGTTGTGACATGTTCTCTTCTCAGCTGTTGCATTTCCCTTTCCAGGTTTTCCTCCAGCTCCCTTCTTGCCCTTACCTTTTCCCTTTGCATCTTTTCCAAAGCTTCCGACATCCATAGGATCGTCCCCACGGCCATGTGCGTCGTAGGGCTGGCTGTTCACCACCTTGATCTTGTTGCCGGTGGCATGTTCCACATAGGACTGGATCTCGGACAGCATGGACTCGAACGTCTTGAAGCGATCTCGATTGAGAACGAGATGACGCTCGAGCTCTGCCGGCACCAATCGTTCAATCACGTTGATCTTGATGTCTTCTGCCAACATCGTTCGGTTGCCAGATGCGTCTTTGCGACGTTCATAAAGTCTGATGCTGTCAAGAAGCTTCTCCAGGTTGGACGGCAAATCTTCCATCTTGGATCGAGCCGGTGACAAGATTGCATTGAGGAGAGCGCGTTTGCGACCACCAGTGGATGGGTCGTACCTCCGCGTGAGCTTTCTCCAGCTTTCGATGCCGCATTCCCCGGTGTTCAGCACGATGTCAAAGGGCTCACGCTCTGTCAGCATTAGCAGCGCGTCCCAAAGCTCGCGTCTCAATTCACTGATGTTCGACACCTGGTCAATGGCATCTGCTTGACTCCCAAAAGCCTTGTCGATGTCATCTGCAGTGATTGCATGATCGCAATCTTCGGCCCAAACCAGAATCTCACGAAGGTCTTTGCGAACACTTGCAAGATAGGAGGACGTCTTGATTTTCCATGACAAGAATCTTTCGGCTGTCCCATCAAACTTGTCGGGCTTGCCAAGGCCCTTGTTGTCGACCAACCGGACTTGTTCTTTCGATCTAAGGGCGTCCACAAGCTCCTTTTGTGACTGCACCAACTGTGCCAGTGCACTGCCAGGTCCAGCTGAAGCAGCCGAACCGGCACCAAAAGAAGCGACCTGTGCTGTCAGTTCAGCTTCTCGGCCTCTTAGTCGATTGACCTCGGTCTGTAGTTCCTGGAGCGACTGGAGGACCTGTGCCGCTTGTTGTTGGTCCATTGCTAAGACCCTGGAGCGTATCGCTCCGCTACCATGAACGGAGAATATGCAACTCGCTATTTTAGCAGCGGTGTTCTTGAGCCAAAGGTTGGCGTAGCAACTAGTGAGAACCCTATATCCCGTCATACATACACACATACACATAAAAAATGTACATATACATATACCTGTACATATGCATATACATGCACATGGACATATACATACACACTGTGTATATATATATACTTTATGTATCCATACATACATACGTATATATATATATGTATACATACATACATATGATAATTATGTAACCTTGACACAGTCAACTATCCTGTGGTCGTTAACTACAGTTAATAGGATTTGAAGCAAACACACGTGCTTTATAGCCAATATTCCTTGATGAAAAGTACCCAGTGTCTCCAATTTTGGGTATGTTTCCAGGGACGCCGGCCAGCAGTAGTCAAAAAGAATGCTTCGGACTTTCTGTTGGTTTAGGGTTGGTATATATATATATACATATTATATATACATCATCCATTAGATTAGATACTTCTTAAGATATAGCAACCATATTTTGCTATATCAGAATACCTGTTGGTTGAGGGTCCTTTTACTTTGCTATCTTTACTCCAGATCTGAATAACAAGGACCAAACATTACCCTCTGGTAAACTAACATAACTATGGAAAATCACCATTTTTAATGGGAAAACTCACTATAAATGGCCATTTTCAATAGCTATGTTAAATTACCAGAGGGTATCCATCAGCACACCTGCCTGCACTCTGACTCACCGAGTTCGAGATATCCCACCCTGACCCGGCAGCTTGTGGCACCTTCCGATTCCTTTGCTTTGCCAACTCCTGACAAAGACTGCGCTTCAACCACTTTCTGGAGGGTTTTTTCCATGATTTTGGAAGTTCTGAAGCGTGGACGGACTGCTTTAGGATCATTGGTAGTGATGTTTCCCGCATAGATGATGTTGCAATATGTTGCACAGAAAGCCGGCGGCCTGGTTGTAACAAACAGTTGTTACCACCAAAGGCAAACCAGAATCATTTCCAACAGGTTGGAAGTGTTGCCCCTCGAATGACACCGAACCTAATGGCTGCAAATGCGTGTGGCAAGAATGACTCACAACTTTTGGTCTCTGAGGTCATTCACAGCAGGGCAAATTTGCCAGGCGCCTATGTATATATCTATTTGTATACGTATAATATTGCATATCAAATCGTATCATTTTGATCGCGTCAAATCATATTATATACGTTATATTTCAAATAGAATTCAACTAGTATGTCTGTCATGAGTCTCATCATCATGATTAGAATGATAACGACTATTGGTGTTATTTGTGTTATTATCATTGCTATCGTGCTTATTATTGTGATTACTTCGTAATATGTTTTATATTTATTTATGTATTGTTATTACTATGTATATATATATATATTGTCATTTTGTACATATTATCATGGCAAACATGATATTATATGCAGTGTCCCGCTTCAGCAGGAAAATTAACGCTATGAACGGCCAATGTCAAAGCCACAGAACGAAACCATGTCAATCTGACCGAAAGACTCACATGTTCAAACAACTTATCGCCCGTGAAGAAAAGCATGTGCGACCAACAAACATCAACTAACATTGGCAAATATCAAGAAGCTATCAGCAGCTATCAAAATCCATCAAATCCATCAGTTATCTGGCTAAACATGTCTAAACTAAAAAACTCAAATCCATCCCTTACCCTCTGGTTATTCAACATAGCCATGGAAAATCATCATGTCATCATTTTTAATAGGTAAACCATCTATTTCTATGGGCCATCTATACCATGGCTATGTTAAATAACCAGAGGGTATTCTAGAATTGAACAAACAAACAGTTCCAACATCATCCAACCATCCAACCAATCCCACCCCAACGCTTTTAAGCGCTCCTTATGCGCTTGTGGGTCTGGCCGGAGATCCAGCTGTTCCGGAGCCAGAAAGGTCACCTGCCGGTGGTCTTCTTCAGGGAAAAAACATCGATCTCTGTGGAAGCCATGAAGTTTGGAGCTTTGGGAGGTCCATTCGCTGTGAATTGGTTCAAACCACCAACCAGTTGGGAAGTCAATGGTTATAATACCAATTTCATAGTGGTTCTATATGGGTTATATGATGGGATAAATGATCATCTGGTTGGTGGTTTGAACCCCTCTGAAAAATGATGGAGTTCGTCAGTTGGGATGATGACATTCCCAATATGATGGGAAAAATAATCCAAATGTTCCAAACCACCAACCAGATCTAAGACTCACGAGTTCTGATGTTGCTAACTTGAGTATCAGGGATCACAGATCCAGGTTTTGTCCCCCTTCTCCACCTCGTCGCCAAAGCGCAGTTGCCATTTTCCATTGTGGAAACGCTCCAGCCTTACCAGCAGCTTTCCATCATCATCCCCAAGAACTGGATGGTTGATATATTTCATGGAAAATCCCATACGAAAATGGATGATTTTGGGGTACCCCCATTTTAGGAAGCCTCAATCTTCAGAATTGTCTGGAAATTCGCCCATTCATGCAGAACAAACCTGTCTTTTTGACTCTGGACATGAATAGACAACGTCTTTTTTATTTTTATTTTTAAATGCATGTGAATAACTAAATCCCCACAAGCTTGAATCTGTAAAATGTCAGCTGTACAACTAAATGGCTCAAATGGCCTGTGATGTGTTTTTGCACTTCGATCAATCCTCTGCTCAAGCAGATAGATCCTGACAACTAGAACATCATCTAAAATCTATACCATGATCCATATATTTGTTTTGTATTCATAATGTAAACAACATACCCTCTGGTAAACTGTCCCAGAACTATGGAAAATCACCGTTTTCAATGGGCAAATCCACGATTCAATAGCCATGTAACAACCAATACCAGAGGCTATTGCTGAGCCCCATGCGCCGATGTCTTCCCCAGCAACTCGCCCGGGCCAAGCTCGTTCACGGCAACCTGGTTGAGTTGGTACCATGGTGGTTGGTACCATGGGAGATCCGCAAAAAAATGAAGCTTTAGAGCTGGGAACATGATCTATAAATATGGTTTTATGATGTTTTATGGTTTCAAATGGAGGTTGAATGGCAGTTTCATATGGGTCTTGGTGGTTTAATGAGTTTAATCATAGGGATGATAATGGGATCATCATATTGACGGATTGATCCTCTGCTGTCCTCAAACATGGCCGCTGGGAAATCCCCGCGCCCAATGGAGGTTTATAGCTGGAAAAATATCTACAATATGGAGAATGTTCCAGCAAGCCATGTTTGATCACCAGAGAGTACATGAATCAAACGGTGTATGAGCCTATTATATAGAATTATATGTATACATATATATATATGGATAAATATGTTTAGCGTACAATTCACTAACCTGATCTAGCCTGCAATATATAAGGCCATGTGGGGATGATTCCCCTTTAAAACCATCATTCCAATGATGTTGCAGGGAGGTCGACCTCAAAAATCAATTGGCCCTTTCTGGGCCATTTCCTTTTACAATACCCGTTGCGGTGACGTTATAGTTGAACCTCCAATTTATTATACTGGTTGGTGGTTTCAACCCCTCTGAAAAAATATTAGTCAGTTGGGATTATGACATTCCCAATATATAGAAAAATAATCCAAATGTTCCAAACCACCTACCAGTATTATATATATATATGTATATGTATATATACATTCTATAGATGTAATGTATATATATATATCATTATTATTATTATATACTATATGAATAAGAATCCAATGATGTACCTGTAGTGTATCCGTGTATCCCACATGTTGCTCCTATGGTATGTTTGGGTAAATGCCTGCGGGTAATACAATAATATGGGTAATAAGTATTCCATACCTGGAAAGTATGGATACTGCATATGTCCTGCAACCTTGGGAAACAGCACGCAACTGACAGCAACACCCCGATTTATCATCATAGTATCTTTATGTATCTTTTCTAGCGGCAATTCTTGAATAGACTGTTTTTGCTCAGTCCAGCTAATGTTTGGATGTGTTGAAAGATAGCTTTGCAGTGTGGGCAACAACAAACCCAGGTGCCCTCGGTCCCAATGGCAATCAAAAAACAACTGACAACTGACAACTGACAACACAATTGGGTGATTTCAATCTATTCCACACAAAAACGCACAAAAAAAATATTTGCCATACAATATGTGCGTAGAGGCACAAATGCTTCAGAAAATCAGTTCACTCTGACTCCGACGGACAACTTCTAGCTTTCATAAAACTTAGAATGTTTTGTCATTCAATCTCCCAAACTATTGTTTGGTTGGCTTTAAGCGGACACAAAAAATCATCAAAAATCTAAAGGATGCGAAGCAAATTTCAACAAATCAGTTGCTGGTTGAGCCTCCATCCCTTTCCGCAGCTGGGTAAGGCCAAACCAGCCTCATGGGATCAATGGCGTTTTTTCAAAACGTGGAAAAACAATCTACAAATTTTTATGGTATCTGTATATCATACATGTCACTATATCTAAATAAGCACAATGCATATACATATATATATATATATAATAATAATAAGAATAATAACAATACTTTATAATAATAACAATAATAATAACAATAATAACAATCATAACAATAATAACAATAATAACAATAATATACTGTCATGAATATATTGAAATTTCAATAACACATGAAGACATGAAACCATTTAACGTACAAATAGCCGCATCCCCTAGGACAACCAGGGTGAACGTGAGAACATATAAAACAGTTGCAGGGTTCAGAAGCAGGACAACACCCACCGAGAACAACAATCACCGAAACAGAGAAACAACAACAACAACAACAACAACACCACCAGCAGCAGCAGCAGCAGCAGCAGTAACCCTTTGATGTACAGTATCTGTATGTATACATATATACATACACATAATACATGTATATATATAATATAATAATATAATATAATACTGTATACATATTCAAATCGATTGCCATAATATCCTTGCTCATATTTTCTCTTTTTAAACTATCATCTGCAGGGAAAAAGGAGGCACATCATGAATATTGACCAACCCCCCAGGAGAGTCTCAATAGAAGGCATCATTGATCCTTGGGCTGAAGTTCTTCGACATCAATGATGCGAGCATGTGGTAAACCCACTGCCATAATCGATCCCCAAAATCACCATTCTTATGGGTTGCATAAACTATCCCCAAAGCGTAGGTTTATGATGATTTATGGCATTGGCTTTAGCAACCCAGGAAGGCCATTGTTCGACTTGATCCGGCCGCCTCCCGCGGGAATCTGCAAGGCCATCTCGATGTTGGTGGCCTATCCGGTCAGCTGCAGTTAAGAAGAGCAAGACATCTTCTATCATTCTAAAAAGAAACAACAAAACAACTCACCTAAAAAACTGCACTGCAAGACATCTTCTATGAACTCAACAAAAACAAACTCAACAAAAGAAAAGAGGCGAGACATCTTCGATCATGTCCCCCCCAAAAGTCAGCATCCCATCCCTGCGCACCACGATGTAGACCGTGTCATCGTGCTCGTGTTCCCGCAGCCTCGAGAATGGCAGTGTTCATCACTGGGTTCTCAATGTTATACATTCACGGCATACATATGGGTCGCTTTTTTGAGATCAGTCACTGCAATACGCCATAGAAAAGATGCTTTGTTTGAGGGGTGCAAATGCCAATGTCAGTAACATCTGGCAGCTTGCGACGTTTTAGGAACGAAGGAGCTGCTCACTGGAGTAAAACAGTTTGATAAATGTACATATAATATATATATACATATAGACTTAACTGAACTGTGTGCATATGTTCGCATTTCTGTATCAAATACCTCAAATTGACTCAAGTTGTATATGTATTTTTCCTTATATATTCAAAACAAGTACATACATCATATCAATATATACATACAAATATACACTGCAAATCAAACCTATGATTCAAACATGTAACATGTAACATGTACATTTCATATCTGATATATGAAATATAGTATATTAATACATATATCATATATCTATGATTACATACCTTATACATCTCTTATACCAAACAGATTATGATTACAGTATTGTACTGTATGTATATATATATAATAAATGGATATATATATATGTGATATATGGATATATATATATGTATACTGTATATATATATATATATTATGTGGATCGCAGCATTGAAACAAACGCTGGTGGTCATCTGGGTTGCAGGACGCTTCGATCAGCTCCTCCTGGCCTTCTTGGGACACCTCGAAACAACTCGAGGTAAGTCGATGTCTTAGGAGCGTTGGCAGCGTTGGATCATCGTTTTAAGTTATATCATAGATGGTCGATTATGTGCATGTGTACGTGTATAACATTATATATATATGATAATGACTATATGATTAAATAAGATTAAGTACAGAGAAAAAAACAACAACACTATAATGTACATATATATACAGTATAGTAATGAATATCATTAGTTTTTTAGCGTCCATGCCATGTGATTGTTCTCTTTGTTAAACATCACTGACATACTATGACAGAACTATTATTATAATTTATCATCATCATCATCATCACCATCATCATCATCATCAATATCAGTATCATAACTGTTGTCACTATGATTTTTCATCACTGTGAGTGTTCTCCTTATGAATCTCAATTACTAGTTCCACTCGGAAAAATAGAAACATTTGGGCTACCTCAAAGGATTTGATCTCCATTCCTATTGCAGCTTGCAGCTTCCTGGTAGATAGGAGGCTTGGAAGGGTCCATGTAGATCCATGAAAATGCTGCAAACAAGATATCACAAGTACAGAACCAAATCCTAGGACAGAACCAAACAATAGCCAACACCAGAAATCATGAGAATAGGTGTATTGTATATAACTATATATATAATACACGTATTGTATGAGAATTTGCACTTCGCCCAATGCAGCTATTAATGCACCGACAAACATCTGGGAGTGTCTCAAAAGGGTGGTTTACCTGGAAAACTTTAGCCCTGTTTAGATAAGGACAATCAACAGAATAAATCAAACGTAGAAATTTGCGGTAGCCCCCAGTTGGGTGTTTTGTTCAGCAATTGGTACCGTACTCCTAGATTCCATACTGGCTTCCCCATGAAAATGACCAATAAGATCTGGATAGATAAATCATACTATTTTACCAACCTGAACATACCAACAATCATTCTGTCATGACGTCGTGACGCGAGGTCGCAGCATTGGCATCATGTTATCTGGATGATTATCCATATCCCAATATTATTCAGCTATGCCATCATTTTTGTTGATTCAGTCCCAATCTTTGATTGGAAAACCATATCATATTCATCATGTCATATCATATTCGATAAGTTCCCAACAAGTTCCCATAAAGTCCTTTATATATCATGTAATTATATACTCTTTATATCCCCATAAAATATCAATGGTTGCAATCCCAACTATCGTATTATAGTTACTAGTTGGCTAATGCTTGTTATATGTATTCATGAATATAACCAAATATACCAACATATTAATAAGAATTCCATGAACAATTCCCATAAGTTCCCAAAAAAGAACCAAGTATATAAAATTATCTAATATTAATAGTATATTGGCCAGCCCGTAGCTGGCTTAAAACGTGGGCTCTGGGGGGGCGGGGGGCGGTGCACGGAAGGTGCTGGAAAACGAAAAAGTGGTGCTGGAAAAAAAAAATGTGGGAAAAATGTGGTGTTCAAAATCAAAAAATTGGTGTTTGGGCCTGGTGTTTGATAATCCCTTTTGTGGTGTTAAAAACGGCTAAGTTTGGTGTCAAAATTCTGGGGGGGTGGAGGATGTCAAAAACCAACCAACCAGTCCCAACATATGGGAAGTCAATGCTCAGGAGGAACCAAATTGCAGCCACCATTATCTACTGCAATGTTCTATTGCTACAACTTGAACTACAATATTTTAACAGTTTACAACAAGGAACACCCCCCTGTGGGATCCTGTGGGAACACAGCCGCAACCCTTTCGCTCTGGCCCAACATGACCACATTCTACCCGGATCCAGAAGATGCTGTGAAACCGTGAAACTGTCAAGTGAAACTGCCGGGCTTTCGGAAGCTTGAAATTGGAAACAAAACCTGTGACCCAACTGGCCCAACAAAACCTGTTGACTCAATGGCACAGAACTATCATCAGAATCCGCGCTCTCGGAAGCGGAATCTTCAACAGATGAGAGCGCAGGTAATTTTCTGTTTGGTTTGGGATTTTAGGTCGCGCCCTTTTTCTCTGTTTTTGGGATCCTTTTTGGGCGCAAAAAGGGCGCGCTTTTTAACCCCTTTCGAAGTGTCAATCCAACGGGAAAATTACCAAAAAGCCTAGAGATTGGGAAGGGTTTGGTCTGGTTTCAGCCGGTTTCAGCCCGAAACAGCGCGTTTTTTTGACACCCAAAAAATTGAAATCTGACACCGCTTTCGGCAAATTCGGAACCAGTCGGGAACCAGTCGGGAACCAGTCGGGAACCAGTCGGGAACCAGTCGGGAAAATCCGTGCACCGCCCTAAAAGGCACAAAAATGCTGGTTTTTGCAGGGATTTGGCACTTTTTTGGTCGAATTTGGCACTTTTTGCAGGGTTTTTGCCAAAAATCGACCAAAAAAGTGCCAAATCCCTGCAAAAACCAGCATTTTTGTGCCTTTTGGGGCGGTGCACGGATTTTCCCGACTGGTTCCCGACTGGTTCCCGACTGGTTCCCGACTGGTTCCGAATTTGCCGAAAGCGGTGCTGAAATTTGCCGAAAGCGGTGTCAGATTTTGGCCCGAAATTTGCCGAATTGGATTATTTCTTAGGATTTGGGAAGTGTTTTGGTGGGTTTGGGGCGGGTGGGGGCCAGTTTGGGGGTGTTCGGGTGGGTTCGGGGGGTGGTTTTGGGGTGGCTGGGGCGGGGGTTTGGGTTTTGGGAAAGTTTCTGGTGATTTTTGGTGATTTGGAAAGATGGGGGAAGATTTTTGGGGATTTGGAGGGTTTGGAAAGATTTGGAGGGGTTTGGAGGGATTTTGAAGGGTGGAATGATTTCTGGTGATTTTTACCGCTATGTGACGCCTTTGGTGAGCATTGGGATGGTTTTTTATTTTTCCCGAGAGCGTCTGAGCGCAGGGTTCTTCCAATAGTGGGGGTCTGTAAAACATCTTCTCATCTTCACATCTTCTCTCACATCTGCTCATCTTCACATCTTCTCTCACATCTTCTCTCACATCTGCTCATCTTCACATCTTCTCTCACATCTGCTCATCTTCACATCTACTCTCACATCTTCTCTCACATCTGCTCCTCTTCACATCTTCTCTCACATCTTCTCTCACATCTGCTCACCTTCACATCTGTTCTTCACATCTTCTCTCACATCTGCTCATCTTCACATCTTCTCTCACATCTTCTCTCACATCTGCTCATCTTCACATCTGCTCATCTTCACATCTTCTCTCACATCTTCTCTCACATCTGCTCATCTTCACATCTGCTCATCTTCACATCTGCTCCTCTCTTCACATCTGCTCATCTTCACATCTTCTCTCACATCTTCTCTCACATCTGCTCATCTTCACATCTGCTCATGTCCACATCTTCTCTCACATCTGCTCATCTTCACATCTGCTCATCTTCACATCTGCTCATCTTCACATCTGCTCATCTTCCCATCTGCTCATCTTCACATCTGCTCATCTTCACATCTGCTCATCTTCACATCTGCTCATCTTCACATCTCTCACATCTTCTCTCACATCTGCTCATCTTCACATCTGCTCATCTTCACATCTGCTCATCTTCACACATCTTCACATCTTCTCATCTTCACATCTGCTCATCTTCACATCTGCTTATCTTCACATCTGCTCATCTTCACATCTGCTCATCTTCACATCTTCTCTCACATCTGCTCACATCTTCTCTCACATCTGCTCATCTTCACATCTGCTCATGTCCACATCTTCTCTCACATCTGCTCATCTTCACATCTGCTCATCTTCACATCTGCTCCTCTTCACATCTTCTCATCTTCACATCTTCTCTCCTTTCTCTCTCCCTTTTCTCTCTCTCGCCTTCTTTATCTTTCTCTCTTTAGGCCGAGGGTGGTGCCGGCGGCGAGTCACGAAACGTCAACCCTTTCGCACGAAATGAGGGTCGATCGTCAAAAACTGAGGAAAAATTGCGATTTACTTGTCCTGGAGCAACCCTTTCGCACGAAATGAGGGTCGATCGTCAAAAACTGAGGTAAAATTGCGATTTTACTTGTCCGGAGCAACCCTTTCGCACGAAATGAGGGTCGATCGTCAAAAACTGAGGAAAAATTGCGATTTTACTTGTGCCGGAGCAACCCTTTCGCACGAAATGAGGGTCGATCGTCAAAAACTGAGGAAAAATTGCGATTTTACTTGTGCCGGAGCAACCCTTTCGCACGAAATGAGGGTCGATCGTCAAAAACTGAGAAAAATTGCGATTTTACTTGTGCCGGAGCAACCCTTTCGCACGAAATGAGGGTCGATCGTCAAAAACTGAGGAAAAATTGCGATTTTACTTGGAACAACCCTTTCGCACGAAATGAGGGTCGATCGTCGAAACTGAGGTAAAATTGCGATTTTACTTGTCCCCCGAGCAACCCTTTCGCACGAAATGAGGGTCGATCGCTAAAACTGAGGAAAAATTGCGATTTTACTTGCCCCGTAGCAACCCGTTCGCACGAAATGAGGGTCGATCGTCGAAAACTCGGAAAAATTGCGATTTTACTTGTGCCGGAGCAACCCTTTTGCACGAAATGAGGGTCGATCGGCAAAAACTGTGGAAAAATTGCGATTTTACTTGTGCCGGACTGTGTGTCCTGTGTAAAAGCTGTCTGTGTGTAAAAGCGTCTGTGTAAAAGTCTCTGTGTGTAAAAGTGTTTGTGTGTAAAAGTGTTTGTGTGTAAAAGTGTTAGTGTGTAAAAGCTTCTGTGTGTAAAAGCTTCTGTGTGTAAAAGCGTCTGTGTGTAAAAGTGTTTGTGTGTAAAAGCCTCTGTGTGTAAAAGCCTCTGTGTGTAAAAGCTCTGTGTGTAAAAGCGTCTGTGTGTAAAAGCGTCTGTGTGTAAAAGTGTTGTGCGTAAAAGCGTCTGTGTGTAAAAGCTCTGTGTGTAAAAGCGTAAAAGTGTCTCTGTGTAAAAGCGTCTGTGTGTAAAAGCGTCTGTGTGTAAAAGCGTCTGTGTAAAGTCTGTGTGTAAAAGCGTCTGTGTGTAAAAGCGTCTGTGTTAAAAGCGTCTGTGTGTAAAAGCTTTTGTGTGCAAAAGTGTCTGTGTGTCAAAGTGTTTGTGTGTAAAAGTCGTCTGTGTGTAAAAGCGTCTGTGTGTAAAAGCGTCTGTGTGTAAAAGCGTCTGTGTGTAAAAGTGTTTGCGTGTAAAAGTGTTTGCGTGTAAAAGCCTCTGTGTGTAAAAGCCTCTGTGTGCAAAAACGTATGTGTGTAAAAACTTCTGTCTGTAAAAGCGTCTGTGTGTGTAAAAGCTTTGTGTGTAAAAGTGTCTGTGTAAAAGCGTCTGTGTGTAAAAGCTTCTGTGTGTAAAAGCTTTTGTGTGTACAAGCGTCTGTGCGTAAAAGGGTCTGTGTGTGAAAGTGTCTGTCTGTAAAAGCTTCTGTGTGTGAAAGCTTTTGTGTGTACAAGCGTCTGTGCGTAAAAGGGTCTGTGCGTGTTTGCGATGCAAACTATTGTGTTGCACTTCTGCTATTCTGAGGAAAAATTGCGATTTTACTTGTGCCGGAGCAACCCTTTTGCACGAAATGAGGGTCGATCGGCAAAAATTGTGGAAAAATTGCGATTTTACTTGTGCTGGACTTGTCTGTGTGTAAAAGCGTCTGTGTGTAAGAGTTTCTGTGTGTAAAAGTGTTTGTGTGTAAAAGTGTTAGTGTGTAAAAGTGTTAGTGTGTAAAAGCTTCTGTGTGTAAAAGCTTCTGTGTGTAAAAGCGTCTGTGTGTAAAAGACTGTGTGCACAAGCGTCTGTGTGTAAAAGCGTCTGTGTGTCAAAGCGTCTGTGTGTAAAAGCGTCTGTGTGTAAAAGCGTCTGTGTGTAAAAGTGTTTGTGTGTAAAAGTGTTTGTGTGTAAAAGCCTCTGTGTGTAAAAGCGTCTGTGTGTAAAAGCGTCTGTGTGTAAAAGCGTCTGTGTGTAAAAGCGTCTGTGTGTAAAGTAAAAGCGTCTGTGTGTAAAAGCGTTTGTGTGTAAAAGTGTCTGTGTGTAAAAGCATCTGTGTAAAAACGTATGTGTGTAAAAACTTCTGTCTGTAAAAGCGTCTGTGTGTGTAAAAGCTTTGTGTGTAAAAGTGTCTGTGTAAAAGCGTCTTTGTGCAAAAGCTTCTGTGTGTAAAAGCTTTTGTGTGTACAAGCGTCTGTGCGTAAAAGGGTCTGTGTGTGAAAGTGTCTGTCTGTAAAAGCTTCTGTGTGTGAAAGCTTTTGTGTGTACAAGCGTCTGTGCGTAAAAGGGTCTGTGCGTGTTTGCGATGCAAACTATTGTGTTGCACTTCTGCTATTTTGTCTTAATACTCCTCTTCTCGACTGCCTATAACACATCTTTAATATATTGTTTCTAATATGGTGTCTCCATACTAACAAGAGAAGACCTGCTCCTCTACGCTCTCGGGCCATCCGTCGTCTAGTTCGAAAAGTGGAAATGCATTGCCATGTTGGTAAAGCCCACTCAAAGCCATGTCAAACACGGCAGAGGGCACTTACACGGTGCCTATCATTTTTTCGTCCTTGAGCCTGTGTGTAAAGTTGTCATGTGAATATTGATGATAACACGAAGCCTAAGACGGTCTGAAAAACAGTAATCTGTTTAGATATCCCCTGATTGGCTTTAAAAGTTTGGCCAGTTTTGGTGCAAGGGGGGGAAATAAAAACACACACATCGTTGACTTCACCACCTCCATGCTTCCCTGGCAACTTCATGGAAACCCTCAAGAAGTTTCATCAAAGTTTCCGAACCCCAAAAAATGCATTCTGAACCCCAAAAAATGGATTTTCAGCACCAACTTTTCACCAAAAAATTGAAATTTGACACCAAAAAATGTGTTTTCCAACACCAAATTTTCTTGTTCCGGGCACCGGCTAGTCGATGCACAAAAAACGGCCAGACCCAGGTTTGCACCAGTCGTGCACCACCCCCGCCCCCCAAGCACCAAAACCTGGCCAAACGTTTTAAGCCAGCCAGGGGCTTGGCAAATAGTATATTAAAAAATATCCCCATTGTATTCCCATATTTTTTTTTCATTTTCCCAATTTTTATAGGTCCCCCCGCTTCACTCGCCCCATTCTTTCGCTCCCAATTTTTTATGTGGCACCTCGAAGCCAAAGCGCTTGAAAACGCCTGGCGTTTTTCTTTTAAGGGGATAGGCTCGTTTTTTAAGGGCCCGGTTGGCAGGCTATTCATATGAATATCATTGAAAATAGGTTGGATTTTGTTGGTTTAACACCGAAATGGTGTTGACTTAAATGTTTCAATCAGCAAGATTTAATATGATTTAATCATCAAAATGGGTTTGTACCAGAAGATCCTGAGGTTCATCATATTCCCCATTGAAATTGCGAGTGTATCCCCATGCTTGGACAAAACCCAAACAATGTTAGGATGAAGGATTGAGCCAAACATGGGTATGAAACCGGGGGAATATCAGTGGGTATTTGGATGTAGAACCAGCATTTTTTGAAGGTTTCCATAGTCATGGGGGTACCCCAATAGCTAGATGCTTTACAATGGAAAATGCCATTGCAGTAAAATGGATGATTTGGAGGCACCACTATTTCAGGAAACCTCCATATCATGGCTGGTTTTGTCTAAACATTTTTTTCCCCCCAAAGAAAGAAATGCAACTTTCGTTGGCAACAAAAAATGAGAATCTATGAAAAATGCCTCTGGACTCTGGAGTACCCCATGTTCAGCTACTGCACACCTCATTGTCAACCCCTCATCAAAACCCCATCACTTCATATCATTATCAACTAATCCCAGCTCTGAAAAAGATGGATCAAGTTTGATCCTTGTTGGCCTTCCATTTGATGCTTCTCTTCAGTACCGGGGTACCCAGTGGAATCCAGGGGCTTGTCACCTTTCCAATCAAAGGCGTAATTTTGGAGGGTAGCCTCAATTTGAGATAGCTGACATTGGCTGACATAGCAAACTGCATTTAAAATGACCATTTCATACCATTTCTAGGTACAAAAATCGAACTGAACGGGCCATGTTTATCTAATTTCTATGGCAAACTGTTAGATTCCCACAGGGTATTCCTCCAAAAAATCTGTAGTTTATCATCATTTTCCCAAGTGTCCATGGGTTACACAAAAACGGATTCCCTGTAAACTACTATAACATGTCTGTGGAATACAGACATTGCTAGATCATTGTCCGAACGGGAAACCATCCGTATTTTTCCCACATCTTTTTGTATGTTTTTTCCCATAGTACCCCATATTTGGGTGTTTCAATACAAAGTCATGGGGCATCCCCTTTTTATCACCATGGTTCAATACATTTCAAGACAAAGTCATGGTCATCCACTGGATCATTGAGTTAAGGGGTCCCCGCATCGACAAACCCGTCGCTTAGCCCGCCTTTGCAAGCATCCACCAGCAGCCGCTTGGCCTGGGATCATAGGATGAGCCTTCGACAAATCCAAGTCACTGATATGTAGTTTTGATGAATATCAGATGAATATCAGATGAATAATAGATTTATAATACATATATTAATATATATATATATTAATATATATATGATATATGAATAACTTGTTGATTGTGTTTAATATCAGTTGGCAGTGTGCTTCTTTTTGTCTGCAACTGGTTCAATGGTACTGATGTGTTGTGACATGTTGTGACTCGTGACCTGGGCCGGCCGGTCAAATCATTCAATCCACGTGATGGTGCCTGGTCAGATTTATGAATGATTTGACGATCTATCAAACCTGCCTATATATATATTTATTTCATTGCTGTTCATGGTTGCGCTGAAACGATCTGTGCACCATATGCAATTTCACTGGGACTAGGGTTTGGTGGGTATGGAAAAGCGTCACATGCTTTTCTCCACAGGATACTTTGAATTGCAAGTGGGTCTGGGTCATCGTCGTCTTTTGAATGTCTGAGCTGTGACAATGTGGCACCATCACAGAACTTGACTATATCAAGAGGTCATTTCATTGTTGATGTATGGATGATTGATACCCCAATATATAGGGTACATATTGGGTACAGTAGTATAATATAAGTATATGGTCCCCTATATTCGTCACCCAACAGCCGTTAAACGATGTTAAACGCAGCCACTAAACGCAGCCCCCTAGAGCTGCACCTTCTCTCGAACCAGTTCCATCTCCAGCCCTTTCTGCACCTGGAGAAGCCAACAGTTTCTATATATTCCCCACTGTGGAAATGGCCGGGATGATACCGTATCATTTTCAGATACACCCATATTTATTTATACTGTATATAATGTCTGTAATGTCTTTGCTTAAATATGTATATATATATATATATAATTAATTGATTAATTCTCATTATATATCATTATATATCATATATATCCAATATATATCCCGATTTTGTCCCACAATTTGTTGGTTCTCTCCGAGTATTGCCGTTCTGACTGGCCATGACTGTTGGGTCTCCACCATCGTCTCGAGCCGTCAGAGCACCTCTGTCAGATGTTGCTTGTTACCTGGAACCTCGCGCAGGCCTGAAGCAATGCTGCCGTTGGTTCCAGGCATTGGATACACCTAAAATATATCTGGTTGGTGGTTGACCTACCCCTCTGAAAAACATTAATTAGTCAGTTTGGATTATTTTCCATATATATATATGGAAAAAATAAAAATGTTCCAAGCCACCAAGCAGATATGGAATTCAGTTGACATGTTGACACACTGATTTACAGATGCTTTGGACTCAATCTGACTCAAACATGATTTAAAAGACAAACATGATTGATTGGTTTTCAAGTGTCGAACGGAGGAGACTCCTGAAACTTCTCCACAAAACATTTTACCCAACGTGACAGTCGTGTGACCCCGTTGGGTCATGATTCCGAAGATTCCCATTCAGTCGACTGAACAAGGTTGAAACATCTTGTAAACTCGACCGACAAATGGACCCTTAGATGAAAAGAGAACATAGCAACTAAAATAGTAAACTATACTAAAACAACGGTTGAAACATCTTGTAAACTCACTTGAGAAATACGAAATTCCAATATATTCCAATGATTTTTGGATGGAGTACTAAAACAACGACATGAAGTCCTGTTTCGACATCTGGACGCCTTTGAAAAAGGACGACCCCCCCGGGCTTGCTGCGGCACCTTCCACAAGTGACTGCACTGGCTTCCTGGGTCAAAAAGCTCATCAGTGGCTGGTAAATCACCAAACGAAATGGGCATTATCCTCTGGTTATGTCAAATAGCTATTGAAAATGGCCATAGAAATAGTGGATTTACCATGATTTACCCATTGAAAATGGGTGGTTTTTCCATATAGTTTTATGTAAACGTTTACCAGGCCGGGTATCCTCAAGCGACGGACCATGTTTTCCCGAATTTGAATCACCATTTGGTCATCCATCTCCTGAGATTTGTCAAACCTAGCGCTGGAGCCAGCGCCGTTCAAGGTTTGCAACTGCCCGATTTAGCCCATGTTGGTTGGAGTCCTCAAATGTCAATTCTTGCAAAGATTCTGGCAAAGTTCTGCTACCCAAGCTTTGGTTGAAACATGTTGAAACAATAGCCAAATGGCCAAGTGTTTGCAAAGATGCTGGTAAAACCACGCGATCCAAGCTCTGATTGAAATCCTGGCCAAATGTCAATTTCTGCAGATGCTGGCAACCGTTCAAGCTTTGGTTGAAGTCAGCACCAAAAGTCAAATTTTGCAAAGATGCTGGTAAAACTGCACCATCCAAGCTCCGATTGAAGTAGCCGCTGAAAGTCAAGCTTTTCAATGATGCTGGCAAAGTTGCACCATCCAAGCTTTGGTTGAAGTTTCTGCCAAACGTCAATGTTTGCAAAGATGCTGGTAAAACGACGAGATCTAAGCTCTGGTGTTTCAACCAGACCCCAAGTCGCCAAGTCTTGCTTTTCGATGCCGGTGAAGTTTGGCTGTCTAAGCCCTGATGAAATATCCACTATCCAACAAGCTTCCCAGGGTCAAGCTGTGCAAATTCTGTGGCAAAGTCACGCCCTGCAAGGACTTGTTGAAGCCACTCCCAAGAGACAAAAAAAGTGCAAACCTCTTGGCATAGTCACGCCATCTAAGCTTTGATTGAAACTTCTCCAAAAGTCAGAGTCCGCAAGCTTTGGGGCAAAGTCATGCCCCCTAAGCGTTTGTTGAAGCTATCACCAAACGACAAAACTTGCAAACCCTTTGGCAAATCCACATCAACTAGTCTTTGGTTGAAGCGGTAGCCAAAAGTCAGATTTTGCAAACTTCGTGGCAAAGTCACGCTATCTAAGCGTTGGTTAAATGTCCCACCAAAAGACAAGCTTTGCAAACCCTTTGGCAATTCAACATCAACTAAGCTTCGGTTGAAGCTGATGAAATGGCAATTCACATCCAACAAGCTTTTCCAACTAGGGTCAAGCTGTGCAAATTCTAAGCGTTGGGCAAAGTTTTGGCCAACTAAAGGACTTGTTGAAGCCACTCCCAAGAGACAAAAAAAGTGCAAACCTCTTGGCATAGTCACGCCATCTAAGTCTTTGATTGAAACTTCTCCAAAAGTCAGAGTCCGCAAGCTTTGGGGCAAAGTCATGCCCCCTAAGCGTTTGTTGAAGCTATCACCAAACGACAAAACTTGCAAACCCTTTGGCAAATCCACATCAACTAGTCTTTGGTTGAAGCGGTAGCCAAAAGTCAGATTTTGCAAACTTCGTGGCAAAGTCACGCTATCTAAGCGTTGGTTAAATGTCCCACCAAAAGACAAGCTTTGCAAACCCTTTGGCAATTCAACATCAACTAAGCTTCGGTTGAAGCTGCAGCCAAAAGTCAGTTTTTGCAAATTTTCTGGCAAAGTCAAGCCATCTAAGCGTTGGTTAAATGTCCCACCAAAAAACAAAACTTGCAAACCCTTTGGCAAATCCACATCAACTAGTCTTTGGTTGAAGCTGTAGCCAAAAGTCAGTTTTTGCAAATTTTGTGGCAAAGTCACGCCATCTAAGCGTTGGTTAAATGTCCCACCAAAAGACAAAACTTGCAAACCCTTTGGCAAATCCACATCAACTAGTCTTTGGTTGAAGCTGTAGCCAAAAGTCAGTTTTTGCAAATTTTGTGGCAAAGTCACGCCATCCAAGCGTTGGTTAAATGTCCCACCAAAAGACAAAACTTGCAAACCCTTTGGCAAATCCACATCAACTAGTCTTTGGTTGAAGCGGTAGCCAAAAGTCAGTTTTTGCAAATTTTGTGGCAAAGTCACGCCATCTAAGCGTTGGTTAAATGTCCCACCAAAAGACAAAACTTGCAAACCCTTTGGCAAATCCACATCAACTAGTCTTTGGTTGAAGCTGTAGCCAAAAGTCAATTTTTGCAAATTTTGTGGCAAAGTCACGCCATCTAAGCGTTGGTTAAATGTCCCACCAAAAGACAAAACTTGCAAACCCTTTGGCAAATCCACATCAACTAGTCTTTGGTTGAAGCTGTAGCCAAAAGTCAGTTTTTGCAAATTTTGTGGCAAAGTCACGCCATCTAAGCGTTGGTTAAATGTCCCACCAAAAGACAAAACTTGCAAACCCTTTGGCAAAACCACCCCATTCAAGTTCTGGTTGAATCCAGAGCCAAAATTCAATTCCAGAAGTCTATTGGGGAAGTGGACTCCGGCAAGGCTCTCATTATATTATATATATATAATTTTATTTTTTATGTACATTATGTACATATATATCGTACAGACTCGTACAGGGTAAACCTATTATTAATTATACAACCTTGCCCAAAGATTTGCGCAAAAAGATGATCTTGTCCAAACATTTGGACATGTCTGGGGATCTCCCCGGATCTCCCCGTTACGGCGCAGCATCTTCTATAAAAATCCAGATCCCCCGGGGGTAAAGCGACAAAAAGATGTGGAAAAGCCCCATGGTTTCCCCAGGAAATTTAGTCTACAGATGGTTGATTTTTCTCATCGAACTGTTAGTTTCCCCTAGAAAAAAAGGACCATGACTTCGTATTAAACCAACCATGGTGACTTGGGGTATCACCTATTTAGGAAACCTCCTATATATAATATACATTTCATGTATAAGGAGGATTGCAATGTTTGAGCTGGAAACCCATGCTGCACTGCGAGCCCAGGGAAATCATCTGGGAGGAATGAAACTGACATTGGCGCATCCACAATACCCCATCCCAAAGTTGTAAGGAAACCCTACAAATCTATAGTTTATTGTAAGCCACTATTTTACCCAACTTCAACCTGAACTTGGTGATTGGTTGATTCATATGGTTGAGTAATGTTGATTAACCACTATCAGTTAATTTCTATGGTCAATTACCCCAACTATCACCCTCTGGTAATTTAACATAACTATGGAAAATCACAATTTTTCATGGGAAATCCACTATAAATCATCATTTTCAATAGCTATGTTAAATTACCAGAGGGCATGTTTCATGGTTCAAGTGTGAAACATGAAACCACCCACCTGAAAACAGGATGCCTGAGCTCCGGGCGAGGCCAGAACCTTGTCCATGCTAATGAGAAATGCCTCTTCGACAAAGTGTGGCGGAACATCATGGACCAAAATACGCTTCATATAGGTGTATAATATATATATAGTATATCTATCTATATCTATATATAGAGTATATCTATCTATATCTGTTTCTTGAAATTTATCCCCACATCATGTGCGATTTTTGATTCATTTGGGGAGGTCAATATTGGAAACCTATTCTGCATATCATCATCTCGGGTAGGGACGGAATGCTGCGATGTTTCCCCCTACTAACCATCTATAGTGACATCGTTACCTGTCGGACTTCAGCCAAATTAGCCTCCAGTAAACTCACATACATGTGAGCCATTGAAATACCAGGTTTTTCCATCTCATTGTACTAGTTAGTTGATAGGTTTCCCTACTATGGGGTATAATCCCCAGTAAATTAGGTAGTATAAGACCCTATAGTAACCAATCAACCAGGGTATTTTGAATGGCTCATGTATGGAACATCCAATGTCTGAACGGAAGACCCATGGATTCCCACAGCCATGTCTGAACAGGAGGGTAGGATCGGGTAGTTACCCCATTTATATAAATCCCATTAAATCCCATTAAATCCCAGTAAATCCAGTCCTCACCACTAAATCCCATTAAATCCAGTCCTCACCGTTAAATCCCATCAAATCCCACTAATCACCTCGTGCGTTGTCAGGTTCCAAGCCCCATCCATTCCAAGCCATTTCTGGTGGCCCATGGTGGCCCTGATGCCTTCGCATCCTCCACATGCATGATCTTGTCATCGTCCTCCTGTCGACCTGCAGGACCTCCGCAATCCGATGACATGGTGAATATCATATCCACTGGCAACATGCGTATTACAATGGTATATCCACGTATATATATATATATGTCAGCATAATTCAATCATTGGATTTTACTTTTCCTGTTGTATAGAGAAAACGAACTGGTGACTTTTTTAATCATGGTGAAACCGTGTGAAACCCATCAAATAAAGTATTACCAATGGATTGTTTTTAGGGCAAAATCTACATGAAAACCATTGATTTTACCATCAAATAATCAAATATGTGTGAGTTTTTTTTCCGGTTTTCCTCTAAAAGTTCCCTTAAACCAAGCCATTGATATTAACCACATTTATACACCGTTTTCCACGTTGCCAAAGATCCTCCAGCCCGGGCAGCCCATCTGTTAACTTCCTCATACGTCCGAGGCGCCGCCCAGCCGTGCCAGGAGGTCCTTGGGCATTCCGCCAGCCTGAGCATATCTTTGGGAGAGTTAATTATAGTATGTATATACTATAGAAATAAAAGTACATATACGCTAAATATACTATAGTAATGATAGTTAAGTATAGTTAATTATAGTGACTACTACGGTAATTATACTGTGTATATACTATAGTAATTATAGTTATACTACAGTAATATGATGTAATTAATAAGCATGGATACATATGTATCGTGGATATAGATGGATAATGATGGATATATATAGTAGGAAAGAGCAAAATAGCTTACTGGACACATCGACTGCTATTGGTTTTAAACATACTTTTGACCAAGAGCCTTTGACCAAGAGCCGAAGGTAGGCAGAACCAACATGTCATCAATATATATATATATATATAACTCCATCTGATTTTTAGATATGTTTAGTTGGATTTGCCCTTAGTTTGAGCAAACAACCATTGCAAAGGACCCTTAGATCCAGCTAGGTTGGTTCTCGTTTGCGTTTCCAGCTGCGTTGCCACATTGCCACGCACCTGAGGGACACATAGTGTGCCACTACCAGGTTTGCTCTCAAACATCCAGCCAGTACCTCAGCAGTCTTGGCCCCAAGGGGCGTTGGCCACTACATGGATTTGAAGGTTTCCAAAGTCATGGGGGTACCCCCAAATCATCCAAGTCGTTCGACCATGACTTAAATGAAACGGGATCCCCCATCATTTTTAAGAAACCCATATACTATATATATATACACGTAATTTAATTATATATATATATATAATATGATGTTATATGTGATACACACACACATGTACGTGTGTTTCATGACCCAACTTGAAACCAAATGAAGGTAGACTTACGTGATCGCAAAGATGATGGACAGCTGTAGCGGCTCAAATCCGACATCTCTAAGTTTAACTACAGTTACAGGGGGGCTGTCTCACAATTGGAACCCCTCAAACATCCATAGTTTATATTCTCATTCGGAATTTTAAGAATTGGAACCATGGAATATAAATTGGATCCCCTAAGAATCCATATGTTTTCCCTTTTGAAATTGTATGAAATTCTTGTTTTCGGGTATCTCCCCATTTGAAAAAACTGCAGGGACCAACCGACAAAGGATTTTTCGCACTTGAGCCGAGTTGCCATCAGCTAGTCTCAAGTACAGGATGCCGTCAGAACCAATGATTTCCTGCAGCTGATCTGGATGATCACAAGGGAGCCGCTTGCGGGAGCCGCAAGTCAAGGTATCTCAATTTGGGTGTTCATATCACCATGCTCAACCATTGCACACATGATTTACATTGATTTACATGATCTACAATCTGCTCTTTTTCGTATCTCTCACCTCGAACTTAGTTCGGTGCTTGTTGAAGACACTTAAAGCAGCTGCTGTGATTTCGGACACCCATATAATGCACGGCTGCTTGACACACAAGCAGATTGTGCTTCTAACCTAGTCAGCCCATCACATTAAGCCCTTGGCATCATTCACAGAAATATATGGCAGATGCCCTAAAATTGCAAATCCAAGTATAATCCAAGAACTTTAAACTTTGAAACATCAATCATGAGGTAGATTGATAAGATAGATAACCAATTTAAAGGTAGCTAGATAAGATTGGAATCATCTGTTGTTTTATCCCACTATGGTCCCTATGGTTTCCCCGTATCCCCATTGAAACATCACCCATTTTTCAGCGTGCGCTTCGCTTTTTTGTGCCTCCGAAACCATGAAGCGCTGGCCAGGTCTCAGGGTCAAGTTGGTCCTCTCCGGACGCGGATTTTTCGACCCAAAGTCTATGTGACATTCAAAGGCTAGGCGGCTAGTTGAAGGTCTGTACATAAAATATCATAAAATATTGATGATAAACAGATTCAGGGAATCTTATACCTTATAATTGAGAGGACCTTAGGTTTAATTTTGATAAGGACATATCAAAAAATGAAAGACAGGGTGCTAAAGGTTAAAACATCTACCATGGTTTCCTGAGTCTTCCCACACCAGCCATGGCTGCTCCACCTTGGACCTTCGATGGAAGGAGTGGTACCTCAGCATCTCGATCTTCTAGATCTATCTCTACAAAATAGTGATGATTGTATAGTGTTTGGCAAGCATGTATGTATTATATATATACACGTATAATCGCATATATTACGAATCTATACAACTGCTAGGATATGATGCAAAACAAACAATAGCCTTAAATGTCAACATATATGTCCACACTAATTCTGATCAAAATCGGCTATTTGCTGGTCCCCAAGTCTCACCATATTCTGAGCATCGGAACGGATGGCCACGTCGCGAAAATGCGGCGGATTGTACAACCAGAGCTTGGCCTGGTGCCAATCATCCCATGGCGGAAGAAAGATGGCTTGTGAAAGCAACATAGGGTTGGAATGTTTATAAGTTGTGAGTTGTGACCATTACCTACAAAGAATATGGAGGCATATGGGCCACGGTCAATATTTGGTATATAGCTCCAAGTCATCACTTTTTGAAGACTGTATGATCGTTTTCCAAGCCCCAGCTCAATTTCCAAAAAAATAGATACCGCTCGAATACTACTCTCCATTAACCTAAATTTTGGCTGTAGCTCATATAGAAGAGCGGATATCATTCCAATTCCCGATCTTCATTAAAACTCGAGGACTACATGGCATCCCCATAAAACGGTTCCGATTTCCAATGCTGATTTGAGGTTTCTGGGGAAGTATGATAAGAGGGGAAAAGGATTACAAGCTTCCAACATCTTCCAACATGCAGCGCAAACGGTGGATCATCTTTCAGCGGAAATTTTGGTACCCAAACATATGAGGGATGTCACAATGTGATTCCGGAGATCATACTGCCAAATGATGCAAACACCACCATTTCAGTATTCATATGTCTACCACTGAATACTTAAACATATACATTAGCATATCAATTGCTAATACTATGGGGATGGGTCAAAACCCTGGTACCTAGTGAGCCCCAAGTCATAGCTGGGTTAAAATGGATGTTCATCCCACTAAAAATGTATCTATAGGTATTGACCCATACCCATATGTTGAGGATTTGAATTGCTTAGCCAAATCTCCGCCGCACCTCCTTGGCTCCAGAAGCTGCTTTGGGCTTCTCCTCAGGTGAAAAACTAAGGGAGTTTTGCGGCATGTCACCAGGATGTATATTTCAAGTTTCAAAATGTTCATTTCAACATATGTCAACATATTTCACAACATATTTCAAGTATTTTTTATATGCAAATCATATTATTGGTTGAATCAACATTGATTTCTGTTGGGTTTCACATAAAAGCGAGTGTCTCATACTGTCCCCATCAAATTTGCCAACCTTCACAAGACCATGAACCGCTCTGCCGCTCTGCACTTTATCCTGGTTTCAGGATGGTTACTCCAATTAGTAATTTCACATGGCAATGGAAAACCCCAACTATTTAAATGCCAAAACATCGGATAGAATTCATCACCGCTTGCACATTGCCAATAGCCTTCTCCAAGAACACCAAGCTGTAGTATTGGACCTTGGCTTGGCGCGTCATGTCAAATCCATCAACACCAATTGGTTTCACTCCATTTTGGGGGGATGGCTTGGATGATTTCCAGCAACTCGACATGGATTCAGAGAGAGAATGTCTTGTTCTTATCGATGACACAACCTCTCCAAAAGGAGATCAAATGGACTGTCATGATCACGGTGCAAAGAATTACTTAATTCCAATTCAACTGCGAGTCAACGCTGCTGCTGCTGCTGATGATGACGATGATGATGATGAGGATGATGACGAGGATGCTGATGATGATGATGATGTTGATGATGATGATGATGATGACGAGGATGCTGATGATGATGATGATGATGACGACGAGGATGCTGCTGCTGCTGCTGCTGATGATGATGATGATGAGGATGCTGATGATGATGATGATGATGACGAGGATGCTGGTGATGATGATGATGATGATAATGACGAGGATGCTGATGTTGATGATGATGATGATGATGATGACGAGGATGCTGATGATGATGATGATGACGAGGATGCTGATGATGATGATGATGATGACGAGGGTGCTGATGATGATGATGATGATGATGACGATGACGAGGATGCTGATGATGATGATGATGATGACGAGGATGCTGATGATGATGATGATGACGAGGATGCTGATGATGATGATGATGACGAGGATGCTGATGATGATGATGATGACGAGGATGCTGATGATGATGATGACGATGCTGATGATGATGATGATGCTGACGAGGATATTGATGATGATGATGATGATGAAGATGATGATGATGACGAGGATGCTGATGATGATGATGATGATGACGAGGATGCTGATGTTGATGATGATGATGACGAGGATGCTGATGATGATGATGATGATGATGACGAGGATGTTGATGATGATGATGACGATGACGAGGATGATGATGATGATGATGATGATGACGAGGATGCTGATGATGATGATGATGATGACGAGGATGCTGATGTTGATGATGATGATGATGAGGATGCTGATGATGATGATGATGATGATGACGAGGATGTTGATGATGATGATGATGACGATGACGAGGATGATGATGATGATGATGATGATGCTGACGAGGATATTGATGATGATGATGATGAAGATGATGATGATGACGAGGATGCTGATGATGATGATGATGACGAGGATGCTGATGATGATGATGATGATGATGACGAGGATGCTGATGATGATGATGATGACGAGGATGCTGATGATGATGATGATGACGAGGATGCTGATGATGATGATGATGACGATGACGAGGACGATGACGATGATGATGATGATGATGACGATGAAGATGATGATGACGATGAAGATGATGACGAGGATGCTCATGATGATGATGACGAGGATGATGATGATGATGATGATGACGAGGATGCTGATGATGATGATGACGAGGATGCTGCTGATGATGATGATGATGACGAGGATGCTGATGTTGATGATGATGATGACGAGGATGCTGATGATGATGATGATGACGACGAGGATGCTGATGATGATGATGATGACGAGGATGCTGATGTTGATGATGATGATGAGGATGCTGATGATGATCATGATGACGAGGATGCTGATGATGATGATGACGAGGATGCTGATGATGATGACGACGAGGATGCTGATGATGATGATGATGATGACGAGGATAATGATGATGATGATGATGACGAGGATGCTGATGATGATGATGATGACGAGGATGCTGATGATGATGATGATGACGAGGATGCTGATGATGATGATGATGACGAGGATGCTGATGATGATGATGACGATGCTGATGATGATGATGATGCTGACGAGGATATTGATGATGATGATGATGATGAAGATGATGATGATGACGAGGATGCTGATGATGATGATGATGATGACGAGGATGCTGATGTTGATGATGATGATGACGAGGATGCTGATGATGATGATGATGATGATGACGAGGATGTTGATGATGATGATGACGATGACGAGGATGATGATGATGATGATGATGATGAC